AATTTTAAACCGATCGGGCTGAGACTTTGCATACATAAAGCTACTATAACGTAGGCATCCTCTAAGAAAGGATTTTGATAAATTCCACTCCTAAGGGGATAAATTAACGCGAGCGAAGCCGCAGGCAAAAGCTAGTTATGGATAAGGCTACTGATAAAAAGATATAAATATTTTTTTTTAAACACATGACATACATAAGAAACTCCTATGCCAATACGAACAATCATACTCATGAATATAAATGTTGATTGTTGTATGATATATTAGTAAGATAACAATATTTTTTTATTAGACGTGAACATTAACTCAAAAAAAAGGCAGATATTGAATACTCACTCATCATTTTATATATTTAAAATCAATAACATCATCATCAATAGTGCTATTTTTTTTCTAGTGGCTCCACTGAAAATCAGCGCTGCAGTGACACACTGCGGCACCAGCTAAGTGGAGGCCCTTTCAGCTCATAGCGAAATATTATTTTTTAAGTTTTTCATATTTTTACTTTGTACTATGTACTTTGAATATTGTTTTTATTTGTATTGTGTTTAAGGTGCAATAAAGAGTTATAAATAAATAAAAAAAAAGAAAATATGATTCTGAGTAAATGATTATTATTTAAACTTAAGAGAAATTCTCATCTCTCCTCTTATGGAGAGGAGATGACAACTTACCCCCGGCAGAAGCACAGTCGGCCGGGGTTCAGGGCCCCAGGGAGAGAAAACGGCGTACAACGCCGGAAGAATCTTATTATTATTATTATTACAATACAATAGAAAATAGATGAGGGAAAATGTTAGGACACAGAAGAGGGGAAGGGAAAGACCAAAGCACATGCAACAACAAGCACAGCTACATCAAACAAATTAAAGACAAAATTGGTGTCGTGTCGTATCAACATTTACAGAGCATGATGGAAGATCATGGAGAGTGGTAAGAGCTCCATCGAGAAGAACTTTTAAACAATGAATGAATGAATAAGTTAATGAATGATTGAATATATAAATGAATGAAGAAATCCGTAATATTGCCAACTTATGCAGGCCATAGTCAGCGCGCGCTAAACCACATGGCCCCTGGGGGAAGCGCGCAGTAAACTGTAACGAAATTATATATACAACCTGCACGGACGGACAGAAATAACTCTGTTTATATTATATAGGTGTTACAACGGAAATTAAAAGGAAACTCTGTTAATTTCATACAGCAGATGTGTAAAAAATTAACAATAAAACCGACTATATAAACTACCAAAAAAATAAAGAAATTAAAATATACTTTGTAGATAGCTAGCGACCCGATCCTAGAGAATAAACAAAACGCCATCTAGTCCCAAGCTAAGCAGAGCTTGTGTTATGGATATTTAATAACTTCTGGATATAATATTTTTGTCATTATATATGGAAAACCCAGTATGATACAAACAAACATACTCATGAGTACAAATGTTTGTATCATACGAGAATCGAAACCGAATATTACAAGTAAGTTTTCCTACCGCATACCGGTATGAAAACAGAAAATTGACAATGTACGATATTTTTTTTCATCATCTACTTCTTCAAAAAAAATTGCTTGGACTTTAGGTATATTAGCTCTACCAGTTGTTGTGTTGGGGTTCTTTTTTATTGAGATGATATGTTAACTAATAAATAATATGTATGTACGTTTGCAGAATTGTACGGCCTTTTAATATTTTCTTACAGTAGTGCCAATCAATATTTGACAACTAAACTATTATAAAACCGTAATCGGTGAGGAGGCCGTATGTACACCTAACAACCAGTATTACACGTTTAGCTTTTCTCCTACATGTAACATTTATATTCACTACATTTATGTATTTCAAGCTATATAATGATGATGATGATGATGAATCTACTTTAGGATAAAGACCATTTTATTGAAGAAATCCTCCACTGGTACCCCGCCAGCATACTGTTAGCGCAGGTGGATGGATTATTGTAGATATATACAAGAGAACATTCGACTTTTTTATCATTTGTATATGCTATCTCTACCAACTCATTAATAACTTCATACGTCTAAATGAGACAAATGTATAGGGTACTTGCTATTTTAAACAGTACTCTGTTTTAGAAATAAATTAAAAAACAGAGGGTTCGAAATTCAAAATGTATATTTTTTTTAATTCTAATAGTTTTTAATATGAACATCTGTGATAAATTTGCAAATTTTTAATATCATTGTCATCTCTTCTGACTTATTAATAATTTCATGCATCAGACTGAGACAAATGTATAAGTTTAGTTCCTATTTTAATTTGAAACACAGGTCTCCGTTGAAAATAGATACTGTCAATCTATACTTATAATAAATCTGTGGAGAGGTCAATTCTGTACATGAAATATATTTCCAAAATAACTATCAGGAGGTGATTAGTGATCGATACTGATGCCAAAAATGCAATCAGTAAAATTTTTGTCTGTCTGTATGTTCGTTATAGAAACAAAAACTACTCGACGGATTTTAACGAAACTTGGTACAATTATTCTTCATACTCCTGAGCAGGTTATAGTATACTTTTCATCACGCTACGATCAATAGGAGCCGAGCAGTGAAGGGAAATGTTAGGAAAACATCAAAACCACTGAACCGTGAGGAAGGACATGGGCTACTTATTTCACGAAAAACGACGGAAATGCAGACGAAGTCGCAGGCAACGGCTAGTATTTAATAATCTAATAAAAAAACATGTAAAAAGTTTCATCGATCTATTTTCAAAAATGACGAATTTCCATACAAAATTTCAACCCTTATATTATTTAACTCCTTTAAAGGTAATATTTTTAAAAACCTTGAATGTCATATATGTATATGTATATTTAATCAATAATAAAAAAATGGTCGCGGGTCGATTTTTTTTTTTATGAATTTTTTTTCTATGAATGTCATATATGTATATGTATATTTAATCAACATCCTAAAAATTATAAGTTTCAAGCTTCAACCTTTAAAAATGACGACTCAAACAACCTTTCACCTCCCCTTTCAACCCCTTACAAGCCTTTACCCGTAATAAAAAGTTAAAAAGCCTGCGTCCTTTCTCAGGGTCTAGACTATTTGTGTATCAAATTTCATTGAAATCGGCGACGACACGCAGACGACGTCGCAGGCGACAGTTAGTCAAACAATAAACCTTTTGTCGTCATAATAAGTCTTTTGTTCGTCATACTCGTGAACGGGTGCTGCTTGTGGGGACTGGTCTGTTCAGGTTGCGAACACTGATTAGATTTTTTGATTTTTTTATATAGCATATGCTGGTGGTCACTCTATTCTCCCAAATTTGAATTTAAATGAAATAGTATTATTGTAAATATGTACATTAAAAAAAATACGAGCTGAGTTTCTTGTCAGTTGTTCTCATCTCGAAATCATTCCGAACTGACGGTAGATTTGACATATCATAAGAGTCTGTAATAGACCTACATGAATAAAGATATTTTGAATTTGAATTTTGTACATTTTTATAGAAACTGATATAAGCCACAGCTACAAATTACACTGTCTTTCAAACCATATATTGGTAAAATCACCGATCGAAATTGGTGGCGGCCATTAAAAATAAAGGAGAAGATAGAATGTCAGCTTTATATCTCAGTAGTTTCTAGTGTTAATGTATAAACCATAATCATTTTAATATATGGCAGCTACTTCGGACAAAGAGTTAGTACAGCTATTCAAAGGGGCAACGCTGCTAGTATCTTCGGAACCTTGTCTAAAGGGACTTCTTTTAATAATATATTTTAGTTATTATATTTTGTAAGATTTTTAGATGTTGTTTTTAACATAAATATAGATAAGGAGTATAGGAGAATAATGTTTATGATACTACAATTAGTGTTCAAGATTCTTTTTTTTAATATTATATCATTGTATTTATTTGATATAATATTTAAAAAAGGCTCCATAATTCAGAACTATTTTTTCATTCTACTAATAAATCATAGTCTCTGATCAAGTAAAATATTTAATATTATCTAACACATTTCGAGTTCATACGCTATTTTAATCTGCGCTCCATAATGTTAATTATGATTTATGTTATCTCTTCTAACTCATTAATAATTTCATATGTCAGAATGAGACAAATATATAACTTTAGTTGCTATTTTAAACAGGACACTTTAGAAACAGATTAAAAAAACACAGGGTTCGTAATTCAAAATGTATATTTTTTTATTCTAATAGTCTTTGGTATGGATCTTTATAATAAATTCACAAATATTTATTAAATACAACATATATCCGCTTTATTCTTAAATAATATGAGAGAAAAATTTAAATGAATTTTATATTAAACTTAAATTTATATTATACATTATTAAATGCTATTTATACATGAAATTCATTATTTTACAATTAATAAAATAACTAATTTTACAGTAATACTTGAGAAATAATATTATGAAATAGAATTGGCGCCAATTTGATTATTTTTTTCTATAAAATGGCTTCCATTTGGTTGCCAGTATTAAATTTAGAGATTAAAATTCAGAATTTTTTTAATACTTCATTTACTTACTTTATTTATATTCTAAATGTAACAATTACATTGTTACCAGTTTTAATCGTATTCCAATTATTTATTTTTTAAATGTTGCCAGTTTGGTCTGTGCTAATGAATTTTCTCCTATTATTTTTTATTAAATACTGATTGCCTTTAACCTCGAATCTATATATAAAATCTGTAGTATCAATTCCCATACAAAATGTTTCAGGCGTCCATAGGCAACGGTAACCGTTTACCATCAGATGGACCGTATGCTCGTTTGCCACATACGTCCCTACGTGATATAAAAAAATACATTTTTTGTTTCTGCTAACTTTTTTTGGACAAACAAAAAAATACAGAACATTTTTTATATATACAAAATAATAAGTAGATACCTAAAATCTGTAGTATTGGATCGCATACAGAATTAACAATTTTACGCCATTTTGTTTCTTCCTTTTTTGGACAATCAAAAAAATTTGGACAATATTTATATACACAAGATATTTAAATTAAGTCTGTATGTTTTGTTCTGTCTTCAATTCTAGAGCCCAAACGTGTTGCGGCCATCCGGTTCGGCCTTTACTCTTCTTCTCTGCCGCTGCATTCTGTGCCTGTAAAAACCACATCATTATTAGCTCAGCATCTATTTAAAATGTCAACTCTTATAAAACTTTCAATAGTAGAAGTGTAAATTTTACATTTCCTAAACTAACCACAGACATTTTTTTTTACTCTTTTTAGGTGCTCGACCCATTTCAGCGTGCACAGCACGACACGTGCTAATGATCAATGAATCTTTTCGTTGAAAAAAAAAACTATTCCCTCGGTATCTTGTTTATGGTGTAGTTTACATGTTTTTTTTGTTAAACGCCAATTTTATGGTGCGTGTAATTGATACCAAATATTTTAGTTTTTATGTCTATATCTATAAATAGTATAAAGCAAAATCGTATTATTTCGTTTTTGAAACCTCGCAATGGATTTTGATACGGTTTCCATCTTTATTTAGATTTTTCATTTACTTTCGAAAGGTTCATATGTATAATACATAAATATATTTTCTGTATTATAAATATATATATACATATCATCATTGCCTTGCCATTATCCCATTATTTGTAGTCGGCGCAGTATGTCATTCTCTTCCACTGCTCTCTATCGGTCGTCATATCTGAGCATACTCTTCTTTTATTCATATCATCTTTCACACAATAATATATGTATATATATTAGAACCTTCTACCTATTTATATAAAACATACAATCACGACTATAATCCCAGACGGGGTAGTCAGAGTCATTGTCACCTGTGTCCGAGACAACACTTAGCACACATGTCCACATTTCACTCCGTATATACAACGCGGCAGGAGGCTAGCCTTCTCGAAGATTATTTTTTATTTTGATTGTGTTACTATTTCTAACATTAATAATAAATGATAGACCGTGTTGGCAGAAAGAAAAGAAGTTTTTATTTATTTTTAATTACAATTATTTTACGGCTTTTATACAAAAAGAGGTTTCATGTGCTAACATATTGTATAATTGTTCTAAAAGTCACATATTACATATATGATATACATATTTATAAATAACCAGCTATCCCAGCAAACGTTGTTTTGCCATAAAATTTTAAGTACTAAAAAAATATTACGCTATTAAAAATAGAGTTTGGTTATAGAAGGGTAAAAGTTTAGGGTATATATTAAAAATATATACACTATTTTTAATTCAAAAAATAAAAAAAAATGTCCAAAAATTAAATAAAAATGTTAGGGGAGACAACCCTTATCACTTAGGGGTATGAAAAATAGATAGTAGCCGATTCTCAGACCTACTGAATATGCAAATAAAAGTTCAGAAAAATTGGTGAAGCCGTTTTAGAGGAAATTAACTAACATTGTGACTTTATATATAAGATAATAATATATATTACACTAGCTTTCATTTAGTCAAGAAGAACGAGATAGGAACTTGCTTTCTTATACCACAGATAACATAATATACATACTTATACTTTTAAATAAATGCTGTACAACTTTACAATTTTAAGTTAAGATATATGTGAATACAAACTACCAATAGCCGTATATATATAGGTCCTTTGCATTGCAGAAGACGTAGCAAAAAAAATAAACACATTTTTACAAATGCTGTACAACTTTACATTTTTAAGTTAAGATATATGTGAATACAAACTACCAATAACCGTATATATATAGGTCCTTTGCATTGCAGAAGACGTTGCACCGAAAAAAAATAAACACATTTTTAAGTTAAGATATATGTGAATACAAACTACCAATAGCCGTATATATATAGGTCCTTTGCATTGCAGAAGACGTTGCACCGAAAAAAAATAAACACATTTTTACAAATGCTGTACAACTTTACATTTTTAAGTTAAGATATATGTGAATACAAACTACCAATAACCGTATATATATAGGTCCTTTGTATATATATAAGATATATGTGAATACAAACTACCAATAACCGTATATATATAGGTCCTTTGCATTGCAGAAGACGTTGCACCGAAAAAAAATAAACACATTTTTACAAGTATAAACTTCCGTTGCGCAAAAAACTTAACGATATTAAAATCTTGTGTAAACAATTGAAAACAGACACGGGGAAGTTGTAAAACAGATTATAAACAGGAACGCGTGTCTGGCGGGGCTATTTATAGTGAAGGTACGCGGTCAGGTGCTAAACTTTGCTGTGCTGCCATGTATAGCTGTTTCTTTAACAGACAATTCTTTTTATAATAAAAAAAAAGTACAAATAAGATGACTAAGCGAGTAAACAATTTTTTAAAATTCGAATTCAAATTGAAATGTAAAAAAAGTAAAAAAAGTCCATTACGCGCGTAATTTTTTTAAAATATCGAAATCATTCTAAATTCTAAAAAAATACTTAAAAATCGTCTGAGAGGATTCACAGGCAAAACCAAAGTGGACTCAAACAATTTTTTTTAATCTCAGTCCAGTCATATCCGTCAATCGCTCGCCCTGGATAGTCAGATCGTCGTCCATTCCCCATGCATGTAAAAGTTTGTAATGAGTTTATTTGAATAAAGATTATTTTTTTCTATTTTATATATACCTAGATTGTTGTTCAAATTCAAATTCAGAATATCTTTATTCATATAGGTCTATTACAGACTTTTATGATATGTCAAATCTACCGTCAGTTCGGAATGATTTCGAGATGAGAAGAACTGACAAGAAACTCAGCTCGTATTCTTTTCAAATAAATGTTGTACATGTTACAATAATACAGATTCATTTTTAAATTCAAATCTGGGAGAATACAGTGACGAGAGTTACCATGGCGTAACGCCTGGTAAATTGCTGTGTGTGGCACAATAAGCTGACACCGCTACCAGGAACAGCAAATTACCAAGAATATTGCCACCTAACATCAATTATTATTGTGAAGGATGGAGATCAAGATGACGAGCAAAAAGTAAAAAACGGATGTCATATAGAAAAAATATAATATTATAAAAAAACATAGATAATAAAAAAGGTATAAAAATAGTTTCCAACAATTATGTTACATTTTACAGTAGTCTTGATCATTAGACATAATTATACATTTTGTACTTTAATAATTTCATTGTTTTAATTAAATAAAATATATTTTTAAAAGGCAAATATCGCCCGCCGTAACATAAGTCGAGTTATGAAAGGTTTCTTTTCATGTGTTTATAATATTACTAGCTGTGCCCGCGGTTTCACTTGTGTTAAATTTAAATATAAAATATAGCCTATGATTCTGATGCAAAAGCTATATTACTGTAAACTTTCATCAAAATCCGTTCAGTAGTTTTTGCGTGAAAGATTAACATACACTTTTACGTTTATAATATTATTAAGATGTATGCATTTGGAAAAAAAATTAACTTGTATTTATATCAGTTGTCTAGTACCCATAACTTAATTTTGTACTAGATGGCGCTGTGTGAATTGTCCAGAGATATTATCTTTATATTTCCGCTATCGATTTTCACTTGGACCGCGCTGTGTGAATTGTTCAGATACATTATCTTAATGTTTTCGCTATCGCTTTTAACTTGGACCATACTCAAATGTAACGAGATAAAACCACATGGCCCCGTTCATTACTAAATTACTTTCGGTAAAATTCCAGATAGTGAATGATTCGCCGACTTTCATGACGCAGTGGTTAACCTTGCGTTTATTGAATTAGGTCCCAGAGTCTAAGCTTGGTTGGGCCAATTTTATTTTATTTATTAAAATTTCAATGCACCAATCTATACATATAAATAAAATTGGAGTGTCTGTTTGTAATATTGAAATAACCTTTTTTACTACATGCATATGAATAAATAAATACGGTACATACACCAAAATAACATTTTTTATAATTTTTGTCTATCTGTCTGTTTGTTCCGGTTAATCTCTGAAATGGCTGGACCAATTTTGATGGGACTTTTTTTGGCAGGTAGTTGGTTTAATAAGGAGTAACTTAGGCTACTTTCATTTTAGAAAAAATCTTTTATTTTAGAAACAAAGTTAAATTCCACGCGGACGAAGTCGCGGAAACAGCTAGTCCATAAATAAATGTGCACATGGTAGAATTTGAACCTTGAGGCTATCATTTATAATTACAATTTACTATTTATGGATATAACAATTATATATAAATTAATATATACACGATTGTTTTATGATAATACTAACTGTACTCGCGGTTTAACCACTTGAAATTATAGCATATGTGTTATTCTGATGTATAAGCTATATTACTGTAAAGTTTCATTAAAAACAATTCAGTAGTTTTATAGTGAGTTTCTCGTGATATAAATAATAAGTCTACCAAATTACAGCGTGTTTGCCATTCCATATAATACAGAATAAAACTAATTAAAAAAAAAAGCTGCAAATCGCTTGCTCTTCTAAATTGTGCCACAACCTAATCTAATATAATAAAACCACATGGCCCCTCCTAACCTGATATATATTCGCATTTGTAATACTTTCTAGTTGTATATACTTTTGACGGCCTCGGTGGTCTAGCGGTTGAGCACACCGCTTTCGTTCCGATGGTCGCGGGTTCGACTCCTCGCCGGTGCAAGCATTTGTATTCATAAGTATGATAATAATAATAATAATCTCAGGACAATTCACACAGCGTCATCTAGACCCAAGTTAAGCTAGCTAAAGCTTGTGTTATGGGTACTACATAACTGATACAAATACATAGATATTTTTTTTTGTAAATACATATATATTATACATAGAAAACACCCAGACCGATACAAACAATCATACTATAAATACAAATGTTTGTGCCGTGCGAGGACTCGGTTTGTGCTACACCGCTAGACCACCGAGGTCGTCAAAAGTATATACAACTAGAAAGTATGGTATGATTATTTCAGTTTGAGTGTATTCTATGTATATTATTCAAAATTCAAAAATAATTTATTCGTGTAGGACTTTTTAGCCGCTCATTGACGTCAATTTTGTTGTATTATATGGTTTTCTCTACCATCCAGTACAGTATATAGATCCAATTGAGGGAGTCCAGGGGGAACCGCGTGGAGGACAACCTGAGATGGCACATTGCTAGCTTCATTAGTCTACATTACTAACAAACTCATTTCAAAGTTCAAAAATAAATTTCTAAATATCTTTATTCGTGTAGGTCTATTACAGACTCTTACGATTCTACTATATAGGTGCATTGGTCCTTTTAAAAGATGTTTTAAAACAAATTGCTGCAACTATTTTTACTGTTACAAAACACTTGAGTCGATCGATTCTCAAGGGAAAGCGAATTTATCTCATTTAACCGCGCATCTCATCTTATCTCACAACCATATGTGGACTTAACTCTCAACTACCGTGCACTCGTTGGCGCCACACTGCACTCGAGCTTACTGTCTACACTATTACTTGGAGATAGCGTTATAGCCTAGTGGTTGTAAGGCCGTAAGGCTAGGTTCGAATCCGGCTGATACCAAAAAAATGGGTTTTAATGTATAATACAGTTATTTTTTATTACAACCTCGGTTATTTAGCGGTTTAGCACTGCGTTAGTTCTGACGGTCGCGAGTTCAATAATACTATATAAGTACATAATATATTTCATTCATTCATTCATAATTTAAGAGCTACGCTCTTGTCGGTGGAGCTCTTGCCACTTTCCGCGATCTTCCATCATGCTCTTTAATTCTTGATACGACACGACTCCCATTTTGTCCTCAATTATATTATTATAATATATTTAGAAAACTTAAAAGATTACATCTCAATTTATAGTCGTAGTATTATTTCATTCAAGAACCTTAGCCACAGTATGTAATATTATATTATCTTCTATAGTCTTATACATAAAATTCTCGTGTCACAATGTTAGTTACCATATTCCTCCAAAACAGCTTGACCGATAGTTATGACATTTTATATGCATATTCAGTAGGTCTGAGAATTATTTATTTTTATATACATGTACCTGATTGTTGGAGTCTGCAGTCCGTCTTCTGGGTGGAGTGTGATGCAGCTCAGCTCTGAATCCTCCTGCTGGTTCTCCATCAGTCTCTAACACCTTCAGGAGGTATGATATATACGAGGTTGCCAGCCGAAGTGTTTTGATCTGTACACAAAAATATACTTTAAATTTACTAGCTGTGCCCACTGTTCAGCCACGTGAAATTTATAGCCTTTACGTTATTCTGATGTGTAAGCTATATCACTGTAAAGTTTCATCAAAATCCGTTTAGTACTTTTTGCGTGAAAGGGCAACAAACATCCATCCATGCTAACAAACTTTCGCGTTTATAATATTATAATATTAAGATTATATCATTGGTCAAGACATTTTATGACCAAAAAAAAGTCTTTAACCGGCCTAAAAAGACGAGAAAAACTGTAAGTCAGCTATCAATAACTATGTACATATATTATGTATGTATTTACGAAAAAAAAAATATCTATATACTTGTATCAGTTATCTAGTACCCGTAACACAAGCTTTAGCTAGCTTAACTCGGGTCTAGATGGCGCTGTGTGAATTGTCCTGAGATTATTATTATTATTATTATTAATAACAACAAAGTCCCTTGCAATATGAACTCAGTTCCTCTTAGCTCTAAAGAACATGGCAATAGTTTTCATGTTCGGGATTTTCATTTAATGTTAGACATAGACACCTATATAAATACCTATGCATTGTAAAAAACTGGATTTAAAAAAAAAAGTAATTCAATTGAGTTTCTTGCCAGTTCTTCTCAATTGGATCTATATACCGAACTGGACGGTAGGGAAAAAAATTCTAATGTAAAAACTTGACGTTCATAAGCGGCTAAAATGTCCTACATGAATAAATGATTTTTGAATTTGAATTTGAAATTTGAACTCCGAACGGAAGGTAGATTTGATATATCATTAGAGTCTATAATAGAGTCTTCTACATGAATAAAGAGATATTATTATTATTACTATTAATGATAGTGTAAGGCGTGTTGTGCTGGTTAGATGTGGCGGTATTTTAGCGTTTAACATAAATAATTAGTTGTAAACCAGTGAAAGAAACACCGCAAAGCACTATTTACCTCGTCATAATTATTAGTAATTCTATAAACCTTAGAAATCAATGAAGTATCTTCTGCAAACAACACTATGCATCTACATGCATGGCATAAGGGAGATCATTAATGTAAACTACGAATAAAAATGGACCAAGAATTGGACCTTGAGGTACACCCATTTTCGTAAGTGATCCGTTAGACGTAGCGCTGCTAACCTTTACTTTCTGTATTCTATCAGATAAATAAGATTTGTTTAAATTTAATCTTGTAAATTATTTGTGTGTACTCTTACTGAATGTTAAATTAATTATGATCGAGTATAGACCAGTGGGCGATCACTAGCTCTAAAAATAGTTATTCTATATCTGTGCCCTAAACTATAAACTAGAGATACTAGATACTATAATATGTGAAAAAAAAGTTATTTGTATAATTCTATCTATGTCCTAAACCAAAAACTATATAGAGATAGTCCTAAACTAACCTTTGTCATCTTAGTATCTGGCAGGACATTCGGTATTCGCTGCCTGAGGCTGGAGAACGCAGTATTGATGCTCTGCGATCTCTTTCTCGCCATCTACCAATAGACAAATTACTTTACTTCTATCACAGACACTACCATAGACAATTAGATTACATCTAACTCATTTCTGATACAATCTCTAATCTGACTCTAATGATTTAGTGTTAGTTGGTAGTTTGGTAGTCTTTAATTTGACTAATGATTTAGTAAATAGACTACATTTGACTAACACATTTCGGATACAGTCTTTAATTTGACTAATGATTTAGTGAATAGACAAATAGACTACATTTGACTAACTCATTTCTAATATAGTCTCTAATCTAATTAATGATTTAGTGTTAGTTGGTAGCTTGTCTTAGACAAATTACTTCACTTCATCATAAACACTACCATAGACAAATAGAGGTACATATAACTAACTAATTTGTGAAACAGTCTTGTGATAATTTGACTAATTATTTAGTGTTAGTAATTTATATTCACACATTTCAACTTAAGAATGTAAAGTTACAACTACATTATTTAAAAGAGCAACACGCAAGTTTCTTGCTCGTTCTTCTTGTGATGAGACAGCTTTCCGAATGAGCGGTAGATTAAAAAAATGTAATGACTATTAAAAAGTGCTTCAATAAAGTTTACATTTCAACTTAAGAATGTAAAATTACAACAAAATTATTTAAAAGAGCAACACGCAAGTTTCTTGCTCGTTCTTCTTGTGATGAGACAGCTTTCCGAATGAGCGGTAGATTAAAAAAAAGGTGATGACTATTCAAAAGTACTTCAATGTGGAAGTTTATTTGAATAAATGAAATAAATTAATAAGGAGAAACATCACTAGGCTCGCCCCCTGCCGCGTTGTATTCAAATGTACGGAGCAAAATGTGGACATGTCAAGTGTTGCCACCACCACCACGACCACAGTTGACAATGACTCTGACTGGAGGGAAAGAGGAATTTTAGTATTGGGGACTTGCCTCTTTGCTAGCAATGATTTCCACGCGGTTCCCCCTGGAGACCATCGAGAGAAATTCCTGGTGAATTTGTCACAATGTGCTAACTGACCTGACCTTATGTTCATCTTATCATCCTCCACCGGTAATCTCCATCGTAAACCGGTAGCGAAGGCAAGTGCACCATTCCATTATCATCCATTAAAAAAATAAGTCGAAGGAAAGGAATTGGGCTCTTTTTTGAACCATTCTAATACCGCAGTTGACCTTTAGAGCTTCATCGTTAGGTGGCGAGTGCAGATGGCACTCCAAACCAAAGGAAGGACTTATGGTGCGGCTGAAGGACAACTTCCGCCTGACGGATACGAGTTTAGTCTGAGGGCACCGCTAGAGGTTACAACCTCGGCTCAGGCCGTCGTAATTTCGATCCCCGTTTGAATTATGAACCATTTACCATCGGATGGGCCGTATGCCTGTTTGCCACTATAGTAGTATAAAAAAAATTGGACGAGGGATGTCGTGTCCGTAGTGCTGCTCATGTATATCTTTATATATAAAAATTACGTGTCACGTTGTTTGTCCGCGATGGACTCCTAAACTACTGAACCGATTGCAAATTTGATATGCACATTTTGTGCAATTTGATCCAACTTGAAAGATAGGATAGCTTACATCTCAATTTATAGTCGCAATATTATTTTATTCAAGAACCTTAGCCACAGCAACGTGTGGCCGGGTCTGATAGTATTAAATAAAAAGTAATTCAATTGAGTTTCTTGCCAGTTCTTCTCAATTGGATCTATATACTGAACTGAACGGTAGGGAAAAAATTAAATGTAAAAAATTTGTATTTCGTAAGCGGCTAAAATGTCCTATATGTATAAATGATTTTTGAATTTTGATTTTTTTAATAGTTACCACTTACCATTATACTATACCGTCAGCTCGTTTACGCATGAGTGGGCTACAAGTACATAGGATGTGTTTCCTCTTCGCAAAATTGCTAGAAAATTTGACTAACTCTTCCAGTTACATTGTTTTTTAAAATTAAACTTCTATATAGACTAAAGTTGCTGACTAAGTTGTTTAATAGTGTTGCTAATTACATAAAATCTTATTTTTCTGTACCTTGGATAACTTGGTATCTGGCGGCACGTTGGGTATGCAATCTCTCAGGTCAGAGAAGGCCGTGTTGATGCTCTGGGTACGTCTTCTCTCCTTCTTGTTGGCGGTGGTCCTCCGCTTCACGACCCTCACGAAGGAGGGCGGCGCTGGTCGGTCATAGCGGAGGGGGAGTGGTTGCATATCGCAATCTAGACCTTAACAACATGGAATAAAGACTAGGTTAGGTTACGAACGAGTCACACGCGAGTTTCAAGACGTTTGTGGCCCGAGTCACTAATATGCTGCCCACCTTCATGAAGGAGGACTACTGGCCGAAGGTGGTGTATCGGAGCTACCGTGACAGATTGCCGTCGACAGTGCCGTGACCACACAGACAATTTACAGACAATTTATAATTTATATTTACAGGTTTGATTTGAGCAGACATTTGAAGACAAAATTTGAAATTGGCGTTCATTTTTTATTTTCAAGATTAGGCAATATTTTTTTTTAAGATTTAAGAAATAGGTCCCTCATATCTCCACCATTTTTGTTTTTTTTTCTATATTGCAATGAGAGCTTAATTTTTTTAGTGTTTGGAAAATATATATTATATGTAGGTAACAAACAAAATAATCTATACGCATAAATTAGAATAGGATTTTTTTGTATTGTATTCTGATCATCTATATATATAAATAAAATTGGAGTGGCTGTTTGAAATATTGAAATAACCGTTTTATAATACCTGCATATGAATATAAATACGGTACATACACCAAAATAACATTTTGTACAATTTTTGTCTGTCTGTCTGTCGGTCTGTTTATTCCGGCTAATCTCTGAAATGGCTGGACCGATTTTGACGGGACTTTTATTGGCAGGTGACTGATGTAGCAAGGAGTATCTTAGGCTACTTTTATTTTAGAAAAATAAAGTTAAATTCCACGCGGACGACGTCGCGGGAACAGCTAATTTGCAATATAAATTCAGAAGCAAGAAACTTGCATGTTTCCCTACAAACTACCAATTATGTATTTGGTAGTTTATTTACGATTAAAAAAAAAACGAAAAAAGGAGTACATAAAAAAATGTATTAAACAATACATAAACCTTTTTACATCTAACTGTTTTTTTTATGTATGATAATGGAATGGTGCACCCGCCTGCGCTAACGGTTTACGCTGGCGGGGCACCAGTGGAGGATTATAAGATGAGCATGAGGTCAGGTCAGTTAGCCCACCGTGATATATTCACCAAGAATTTATCACGAGTTTCCAGGGGGAACCGCATGGAGGTCATCCTGACATGGTACATTATTAGCAATGAGATCATTAATTCACACTACTAACAACTACAACCCCCGTACCCCCATCTAACTGTTCAGATAGTCATACTACATCTTCTCAATCGCAGTGAAAAAAATTACTTTTTAAAATTTTTTTTAATATCTTTTTTTTTAATACCTGCATTATTTTGTGGATAACTATGATGCATGGGGTGATGATACGCATCATACGGCTCGTTCATCATCTGCATGTCTTCATATCCTGAAATAATACCCACATTATAGGGAAGTTTCAGAAACGATACACAACGGTACTTGGTCTTTATTACGCTTTCAAATCACACTCCATAGATTAGAATAGAATAGAAAATTTACTTATTTTTATTATACACACAACGCACAGATAATATTACTCTTTTTATTTTAATTAGAATAGAATAGAAAATCATTTATTCAAATAAACTTAATTTAAGCACTTTTGAATAGTCATAACAATTTTTTTTATCTACCGCTCGTTCGGAAAGCTCATCACGAGAAGATAGTAATTGCGTAATTGATATTCAAATTCAAATTTAAAAAACATTTATTCATGTAGGACATTTTAGCCGCTTATGAACGTAATTTTTTATATTATATTTTTTCCTCACAAGTATTAATGATAATAATTTGGATTTCACATCTGGTTGTGTTGGTTGCTTTGCACCGAATATCAATATTCTCGTGTTTATACTCTTCCGAAACGGCTTGACCGATTTTGATGAAATTTTATATGTACCTACATTCAGTAGGTCTGAGAATAGGTTTATAACTAACTTTTATACCTCTAAGTGTTAAATAGTACTATCTTAGTTAGTTAGCATACTCCTCTGAAACGTATTGACCGATGTTTATTCAATTTTATATGCATATTTTTTTTAAAGGATGATAATGTAATGATGCACCCGCCTGCGCTAACGGTTTACGCTGGCGGGGCTCCAGTGGAGGATGATAAGATGAACATGAAGTCAGATCAGTTAGCACGTGACAAATTCACCGGAATTTTATCACGATGGTTTCCAGGGGGAACCGCGTGGAGGTCGACCTGACATGGTACATTGCTAGCAATGTGATCATTAGTCCACATTACAACAATCCTCTTCCCCTCTAAATGCATATTCAGTACGTCTGAAGAATCGGCTATTATCTATTTTTCATACCCCTAATAGGGTTGTCCACCTCTAACAGTTTTTTGGGACTATATAATATATAATGGCCTATGCGTCTATAGACGATTTATGGTATAATGGTACGTGAACAGCTGTTTTCGTGGCTGTATAAACCGATACGAGAACGGCATGGCCTACCACCTACAAATGACATATAGTTGGCCTATGGCCTATGCGTCTTTTAGAGACGATTTATGGCGTAATGGTACGTGAACAGCTGTTTTCGTGGCTGTATAAAACGATACGAGAACGGCATGGCCTACCACCTACAAATGACATATAGTTGGCCTATGGCCTATGCGTCTTTTAGAGACGATTTATGGCGTAATGGTACGTGAACAGCTCTTTTAGTAGCTGTATAAACCGATACGAGAACGGCATGGCCTACCACCTACAAATGACATATAGTTGGCCTATGGCCTATGCGTCTTTTAGAGACGATTTATGGTGTAATGGTACGTGAACAGCTCTTTTAGTAGCTGTATAAACCGATACGAGAACGGCATGGCCTACCACCTACAAATGACATATAGTTGGCCTATGGCCTATGCGTCTTTTAGAGACGATTTATGGTGTAATGGTACGTGAACAGCTCTTTTAGTAGCTGTATAAAACGATACGAGAACGGCATGGCCTACCACCTACAAATGACATATAGTTGGCCTATGGCCTATGCGTCTTTTAGAGACGATTTATAGCGTAATGGTCCGTGAACAGCTCTTTTCGTGGCTGTATAAACCGATACGAGAACGGCATGGCCTACCACCTACAAATGACATATAGTTGGCCTATGGCCTATGCGTCTTTTAGAGACGATTTATGGTGTAATGGTACGTGAACAGCTGTTTTCGTGGCTGTATAAACCGATACGAGAACGGCATGGCCTACCACCTACAAATGACATATAGTTGGCCTATGGCCTATGCGTCTTTTAGAGACGATTTATGGTGTAATGGTACGTGAACAGCTCTTTTAGTAGCTGTATAAACCGATACGAGAACGGCATGGCCTACCACCTACAAATGACATATAGTTGGCCTATGGCCTATGCGTCTTTAGACGATTTATAGCGTAATGGTCCGTGAACAGCTCTTTTGTGGCTGTATAAACCGATACGAGAACGGCATGGCCTACCACCTACAAATGACATATAGTTGGCCTATGGCCTATGCGTCTTTTAGAGACGATTTATGGCGTAATGGTACGTGAACAGCTGTTTTCGTGGCTGTATAAACCGATACGAGAACGGCATGGCCTACCACCTACAAATGACATATAGTTGGCCTATGGCCTATGCGTCTTTTAGAGACGATTTATGGTGTAATGGTACGTGAACAGCTCTTTTCGTGGCTGTATAAACCGATACGAGAACGGCATGGCCTACCACCTACAAATGACATATAGTTGGCCTATGGCCTATGCGTCTTTTAGAGACGATTTATGGTGTAATGGTACGTGAACAGCTGTTTTCGTGGCTGTATAAAACGATACGAGAACGGCATGGCCTACCACCTACAAATGACATATAGTTGGCCTATGGCCTATGCGTCTTTTAGAGACGATTTATGGTGTAATGGTACGTGAACAGCTCTTTTGTGGCTGTATAAACCGATACGAGAACGGCATGGCCTACCACAGGGTCGACAAGGGAAACTATTGGCAGTAGTCTGTCCTGAGGCGCCTAGGAGGCGCTTCCGTCTCTTGTCAGCAGACCTTGAAGCCAGGCATCATCGCAAATCCTTCGACCCTCCATTATGCATTTGCGCCAATCTGATCTATTGGTTGCGAGCTTTTTCCAGCCACGGTGGTTGGGACTATATTCTTTTTATAATGCATTAAAAAATACATGCTACCCTAAATATTAGGCCTTCTATATCCAACCCCTATTTTTCAAAACCGACATTACTTTTTTTTTTATACCACAGGGGACAAACGAGCATGTGGCTCACCTGATGGTAAGTGATTACCGCCGCCCATGAGCACCCGCAACACCAGGGGAATTGCAAGTACGTTGTCGGCCTTTTAAAAAGGAATAAGCTCTTTTCTTGAAGGTTTCAATATCGTATCGGTTCGGAAATACCATTGCTGGAAGGTGATTCCACAATGTGGTTGTGCGTGGTAAGAAGTTTCTAGAAAACCGTACTGTGGAAGGCCGCCATTCATCCAGATGATCAGGATGGTATATATGGTATATTTCAAAACAACGTTTGCGGGACTATCTAGTATACATGTAATAATCCCTTTCTACGATCTAAAGGCGCTTCTAGAAACAAATAAACTAAATCGCGTTTCTAGAAACATGAGCCATGACTCTGTGTATAAAAAAAAACAGAACATAAAACAATGTCTCACCATAACTTCTTCCAATGTAATGTGTCTCCTGGTACATCTCCGGGGAATCAAACTCGTGGGTCTCCCCGTTCGAAGCCGGCCAGTATACCGCGCCATCCATGGGACTACCTATATGAACAATGTTACCACTATTAAAAAAATGTTATTCTATATTAAATAAAAGACTATATTCTGCAACATATTGTTCACGTTTTTCAACATTATTAACTGCTCCAATATTCGTAGCATGATGTATAGGCTACAGCCTCTCTGAATAAATGGGCTATTCAACATTAAGAGTATTTTCACAATCGGATCAGTAGTTTCGGAGATTACCCTGGACCAAACTTATAAACTTTACGTCTTTTTAATTAATAAATATATTTACTCCAAATAATATCTCAATATCGCTCTTAATTTTAATCATTACAAAGTATAAAATAAAGTCGCTGTCGCTGTCTGTCGGTCCCTATGTATGCTTAAATCTTTAAAACTACGCAACTGATTTTGAAGCGGCTTTTTTAAATATAATATATTTTAAAATACATGTACACCCGGGTGAAGCCGGGACGACTAGCTAGCAATATTACAAACGCGTTTGTGAGTATGGATGTTTGTGACTCTTTCACGCAAAAACTACTCAACGGATTATGATGAAACTTTACAGTAATATAGCTTAAGCATCAGAATAACATATAGGCTATATCCAGACCGACAAACAATACTTATGAATACAAATGTAGTTATTTATAGTGGAGTTAATGAAATGACTACCTTGTTGATTAGGCTGACAGTAGAACGGAGGCTCGTATCGATCGAAACCTTCATCAGATGGAGACATGCTTCCGTAGCTCGACATCAGAAGACCTGAAGGTATACCAAAGATTAGTAGACTGGTTCCATCTTACTTACTCACTAGTATAGAACGGTCTGGTCTGCTGTTGGTAGTTTATATTCACACGTTTCGACTTGTAAATGTAAACTTACAAGGATTATTTAAAAGAGCAACACACAAGTTTCTTGCTCGTTCTTCTTGTGATGAGACAGCTTTCCGAACGAGTGGTAGATAAAAAACAAATTGTTATGACTATTCAAAAGTGCTTCAATTAAGTGTATTTGAATAAATGATTTTCTATTCTATTCTGCGTGTGTACCTCAGTCTCACCTATTTCGGCCAAGCAGCTTGCTTTGTAATCTGTTTCGGTTATAATGCAGATTAGGAAGTGAAATTACAGGATAGAGGCGTGACATGTTAGTACTCTATATATCATACTCAAATACAAATGTTTGCACGGTAAATGGAATCGAACCAGCGATCTCGGGACTAAACTAATGTGCTATATCGCTAAACCGATACGTTGAAATCTCATTTGTTAGAATCCTCGTATTAGCTCTGTAATACTTGAAACAGGGGTTCGTTCATCTTATTTCTCAAGTGGTTACACTTCACTTACTAAATATAGCATTGTGTGGCGCCGGACAGGTTTTTGTATGAGTCCATACATATTACATACATACATACATACAATCATATTTTAATGAATTATCTTCTCAATGAACAATGTCTGTATAGGAGGTATTACATCATCAAACGCATCTCATTAGGTGTCTTGATAAGCATAGAATAAACTTTCTAAAAATAGAAAAAACTTTCTTTCTTTCTCTTTCTCTTTTTTAAAATTTCGTCTTTGTATAGAAATAGAAATAGAAATAATCTTTATTCAAATAAACTTAATATAAGCACTTTTGAATAGTCAAGTTTTTTTATTCTACCGCTTATTCGGAATGCAGATTCATCACAAGAAGAATAAGCAAGAAACTTGTGTGTATTAGGTAAGTGTCTTGATAAGCATAGAAAGTTTATGTTTTCTAAAATTCCGTCTTTGTTAGTAATAGAAATAGAAATAAACTTAATATAAGCACTTTTGAATAGTCAAGGAAAGCTTATTCGGAATGCAGATTCATCACAAGAAGAATAAGCAAGAAACTTGTGTGTTGCTCTTAAAATATAAATAAATAAATATTGATTTATTTAACCTAATGAAAAAATATCATTCAGAAATAGGATTTTTATAGATGAATGGCTGTGACTTTGACAGCTTCGTAGGGTACGATTCCGCATACAGTACAAACATTTGTTTGTGAACATAAAAAATTAACGAGATATATAATATCTGAATAATATATCTATACATATAAACAAAATTGGAGTGTCTGTTTGTAATATTAAAAAAAAACATTTTTTACTACATGCATATGAATATAAATACGCCAAAATAACATTTTTTAAAATTTTTGTCTTTGTTTGTATCGGTCTGGACGTTTTCTATTTATATTATATATGTATTGTCAATAAAAATATAGCCATATATTTGTATCAGTTATCTAGTACCCATTACACGCTTTAGCATGGCTTCTACACGGCGCTGTGTGAATCGTTCTGAGATTATGTATTTATTTGTATTCATAAGTATGATTGTTTATATCGGTTTGGGTGTTTTCTATTGTAATTACACAAAAAAAATGAAAATATATATTTATATCAGTTGTCTAGTAACCATAACACAAGCTCTGCTTAGCTTAGGATGAGATGGCGCCGTGTTAATAGTCCAGAAATATTATTACTTCTTATTATTGATGCAAAAATACATTTCTTAGGATAAATCTATTTTAATAAGAAACTACTGGACTGATTTGAATTAAATATGGTACACAGATAGACCATATCCTACAAGTAAATTAACACAACGCATTTCTTTTATACTAATATTATAAATATAAAATTTTACATTTGTCTGTTTTATTATATTTTAATAGTAAACGGATGCACAGATCCTAATAAAATTTAATATAAAGACAGTTATGATTCATGAGGATGAAAAAAAACTAGACGTAGTCGCGAGTAAAGATACTGCATATTATAAAACAAAGTCCCCGTTTCATCTGTCTATATGTTCGCTCCAATCTTAAAAACTAATGAACGGATTTTCATGCGGTTTTCATTCATCCATAAACCGACTTCTTAGGAAAGTTTTGGTGTAGTTTTTGTGGATATTAATTAAAATGCCCGTACAAACTCGTGGGTCTTTAGTCATATATAAAAACTGGTCGCCAAATGGTCGAAAACTATGTAATTTAAAATAAAACTGTATGAACAAAGTGTAAACTTTTAATTGTATAATTAATTAAAAGTAAGGAAAATGAAAGTTAGAAAGTAAAATAAGAATAAAGTTATTTTGAGTAAAATTGTAAGTTAAAATAGAAAACTTTATGTTAAGAATTTAAAAATTAAGCAAACGGAGAATATTACATTTAAATAAATAACCTATTGAAGGAAAGAGGTGGAGAGAAAGACCATGACACAGCAATACAACACATCCAGCAAATTAAAGACAGAATTGGAGTCGTGTAGTAGATGTTACAAATGAATGTGGATGGTTATAAGGGCAGAGGAAGGCCAAAAAAGAGATGGATGGACTGTGTGAAAGATGATATGGTAAGAAAGGAAGTAAATAACGAGATGACTGCGAACAGGGATGAATGGAAGCGAAAAACATATTACGCCGACCACAAATAAATGGGATAAGGAAGAAGCAGATAATGATGATGGAGTCGTGTAGTATCAACATTTATAGACCATGATTCAAGATCGTGGAAAGTTGCAAGAGCTCCAACAAGAGTGCCGCTCTTAAATTAAGAATCAACTAGCTTTTGCCCGCGGCTTCGCTCGCGTTAATTTATCCCCTTAGGGGTGGAATTTATCAAAATCCTTTCTTAGGGGATGCCTACGTCATAGTAGCTTTATGCATGCAAAGTCTCAGCCCGATCGGTTTAAAATTGACAAAGTTTCATACAAACTTTCATCACCTATTTTATTCCTTTGGGGGTAGAATTAATCAAAATCCTTTCTTAACGGATGAATACGTCATAACATCTACCTGCATGCCAAATTTCAGCCCGATCCGTCCAGTGAGGGGGAAGGAGATTACTAATAATGAGAACTAGTAATACCTATTGCTAGCAATGTACCATGTTCGGTCGACCTCCACGCGGTTCCCTCTGGAAACTATCGTGATAAATTCTTGGTAAATTTGTCACGATGGGCTAACTGACCTGACCTCACGCTCATCCTATCATCCTCCACTGGTGCCCCGCCAGCGTAAACCATTAGCTCAGGAGGGTGCACCATTCCATTATTATCCAAAAAAAATTATATTACTTATTAGGGGAGGGGGGGGGGGGGGTTGTTTATAATGGGGAACAGTAGGCCTCTTGCTAATAATTTGCCATGGTAACCTTCACCTTTCACCTTCACGCGGTTCCCCCTGGAAACCACCGTAATAAATTCTTGGCAAATTTACCACGTGCTAACTGACCTGACCTCATGCTCATCTTATCCTCCACTGGTGCCCCGCCAGCGTAAACCGTTAGCGCAGGCGGGTGCACCATTCCATTATCATACATAAAAGAACCCCAAAAAAAAATTGAGAACTATCGCGGGTGAAAGCGCGGGCACAGCTTAAATACCACCATCATTATCATCCAGTAAAAAAATCCGTCCAGTGGTTTGCGCTGTGCGTTGATAGATCACAATGTCAGTCACCTTTGATTTATATATATATATATATATATATATATATAGATATAGATAAGAGTGATTCAAAAGGAAGGTTTATATGTATACACTAGCTGTGCCCGCGACTTTGCTCGTGCAGCGCACGCAGCAGAAGCCCTCATATATGAATCATTTTCTTCGTTTTTGCAACATTTCTGTAATGCTTCGCTTCTATTGGTCGTAGCGTAATGTTATATAGCTTAAAGGGATGTTATGGATATGAAATTTCGGATACGAATAGGTTTCGGATGTAGGAATGATTATTATACCGGATACGGATATGAAATAATTTCGGATTATCCGTTAGTTTCGGATAATTTCGGTTACGAATATTAATTTTTTAAAGTATTTCATAAGTAAAATACAAATAGCTAATAAAATTGTTACATAACGTGTCTCAATTAGGCTCCGCCCCTATCCGATATTATCCGAAATTTTATTTCGGATTCGGTTACGGTTACGGATATTTTTTTATATCGGATATCCGATAGTTTCTGTTACGGTTACGGAGCTTCTTAACATCCCTGCTTAAAGCCATCCTCGACAAATAGACTATCCAACACAAAAAAAATTAAATTCGAACCAGTAGTTCCCAAGATTAGCGCGTTCAAACAAACATACACTTCAGCTTTATAATATCAGTATAGATTTATTGATGTATGTATAGATACCCGTGCGAAGCCGCGCCGGGTCGTTAGTCATCTATAAAAATATTTATAACGGACAGACAGCGGTCCACATTTTTATTATATGTAGATAAATATGATGCAACACGTGGGGCCCACGTTTAGTATTATAATCATAGTGTTTACGTTACTATGGGACAATATGTTACACTGTTTGTTGAGCCAACCAGAATCACGTCCGGGATTCAATTCTGGAATAATAATCTTCACGACTACTATACCAGATGGGGTAGACAGGACTTATATTTCATTGAATTATATAGTTAAACAGGTTTTATAAACACGAACAATTTGAGGCAAATAGAATATCTTAATCTTAATAATCGCGAAAGTTTGTAAGTTAATTATTCTTTCACGCAAAAACTACTGAACAGATTTTGATGAATAATATAGCTTGGATACCAGGATTAACACATTCAAAAGACCTAATATCGGGCTTCTCGACCAAATACTCCAATAGATTACTGCTATTGAGTAAAAACAACATATGCATGATGACTAGGGCCCTCACAGGACACTGCAAATTAAACAAGCATATGGCTAAACTAGGCCTATGCACGACAAGTATCTGCAGATTCTGCCAAACTGAAGAGGAAACGCCGCTTCACATCCTATGTGGTTGTAGCCCACTCATGCATAAACGAAATATCTCCTTTGGAAAGTTTACACTCTTTCCCGAGGAGATAAAAACGATCGCTCCTAAGAATATCCTTCAATTCTTGTCCCTGACGGTTCTAGGTAGCGAACTCTGAAAAAGGGCGAGCACAATAGATCTATGCAGGTCGCAGTGCTACAGGTGCTACACATCTGACAATAGCCCAAACACCCCAATAAAAAAAAAATAGCTTAGATACGCATCAGAATAACACATACTCAGGCTATTTTATTATTGAAATTTAAGGCGAGTGAACCCGCGGGCACAGCTTGTTATAAAAATGAGAATAGAAAAATCTTTATTCAAATATATCAACTTATATTGAAGCACTTTTGAATAGTCGTTACTTTTTTTTAATTGTAAGTATATGGATGGTTGTGAGTCTTCTACGTAAAAACTACGAAACAGATTTTGATGAAACTTTACAGTAATATAGCTTATGCATTAGAATAACACAAGATATATTCTATATCAAAATTTAATGCCGGTGAAGGCAGGCAGGGCACAGCTTGTAATAAGAATAAGTATAGAAAATTCAAAAGTCCTTATATTTTTAATAGTCATCTATTTTTTTTAAACTGCTGCTCATTCGGAAATATTGATGGCACCATATATATAGGTACCTATATAAACAGCACTACGGACATCACGTTATCACGTGACGCCCGTGATACCACTCACGCGTTGTCATTCCAGAGTACTAACATGTCACGCCTCTATCCTGTAATTTCACTTCCTAATCTGCACTACAACCGAAACAGCTTACAAAGAAAGATGCTTGGCTGAAATAGGTGAGACTGTAGGTACACACGCAGACGAGTTTTTACAATCAGAACTGTTCTTTAACACTACGATGGGGTCGAGAGACTACAGCATGAGGTTTTTCAAGAAGGGTATATTAAGGTTTCTTAAGGGTCGGCAACGCGCACGTGACACCCCTGGTGTTTCAGGCGTCCATAGGCTACGGTAACCATTTACCATCAGATGGGCCGTATGCTTGTTTGCCACCATCGTAATATATTATATAATCAAATAGTTTAAAAACTACATACCAATATATTAATATTAAATCTATACATAGTATAAAACAAAGTCGCTGTTGCTGTCTGTCCGTCCCTATGTATGTTTAAATCTTTACAACTACGCAATGGATTTTGAAGCGTTTTTTAACAGATAGTGATTCAAGAGGAAGGTTTATATGTATAATACATGTACACCCGGGTGAAGCTGGGGCGAGTAGCTTATAAAGCACGAAGATAAAACTCGTTTGATGTTGTTCTGTTGTTCCATGCAGAACAACAGAGCTGGCCAAACAGGCTCCTATTTCTCTGACATTGCGTCTACTCAACGGTGTAGTTAGTCGCTTTCCAGATCTAGACATATTTACTTGTAATAAATTATTTAAAAGAACAACACACAAGTTTCTTGCTTGTTCTTCTTGTGATGAATTCCGAATAAGCGATAGATTAAAAAAAAAAATGTTATGACTATTCAAAAGGTAAGTTTATTTGAATAAATGATTTTCTATTCTATTCTATTCTATTCTATTACTTGTAATTTGCTGGAGTTTCGTATAATGGTAGTTTTTATTTATGTAGTATGTTAAATGGAGATTAGCCATTATTATTCTTTTGTTTCCTTGTGTAATTATTATTATTGCTTTATTCACAAATGTAATAAATCTCGTTACACAACAGCATGTCAATAGTAATTACATTTTTAAGATAATTATGTCACAATTACAATTTTAAATATTCAAAATGATAAATTAAATAATATATAACATAGTATATATAAGTCACTCAATGGAAAATGTTATAATTGTACATTGGAATTCAGATATTCCTGTAAAAAGGATGTAGCTCAAAATATGATTTTATTTTGTTCTTAAATTCTGTTGATGTTAATTGCATTGTTTTATTTTTTAAATTAGTGTGTATGTTTAATTAGTATTTATAATTGTGTGTATTTGTATACAATCTTCCTAAGCGAGCATATTGGGAGACTGTATCTAATGCTCACTTAGTATGACGTAAATAAATAAATAAATAAAATATTTATAAATAGAAACGTATACATCTAACTTTTCTGTTTAGCGTCTGAAATACGTGAAGCTAAGGAACATACGCAGACGAGTTTTTACACAAAATCCACCTGGCGAAGGTAGATTTGCACCAGTTAAACTTAAAAAATCTCCAAAACTTAATTCTATTGCAAAAACGTAGATGCTTACCTAATAGAAATATAATGAAATAATTTTTATTCGAATAAACTTAATATAAGTAAGTCTTTTTAAATATGTAGTCTTATTTTTTCGTTCTGCCACTTACGTATAAATACACATTAACAAGTAACAGGCACGCGATCAAAATAGAAACTAGCGGTTTCTTACAAATAAACTCAATACAACTTGTGATAGTTAATTTTTTTATTCTACGACTCATACGGAACGCAGACTCGTCGCAAGAAGAATGAGCTAGAAACTCTTTTTTTATTAGATGTTATTAAAATCAATAAATACACATTAACAAGTAAGAGGCATGCGATAATCAACATAGAAACCGCTACGCACTCATTCTTTGTGCAATCAAATAATATTTTCAGCTCTGTTAATTTTAAGTTTCTTTCTACAAAAACATTATTATGTGCTATATACCTATAATTATTTATCTATGTATACTTAGTTACTGATTCGAAGACAGTTTAAAAGTAATTTTAAACCACTTTCAACCTTATGTATGTATGTATAAGATATTAACTCACCTTTAAACTAAATATTGCAACCAATTAAAAATAACACTATAACAATCACAAATCAATAATTATTTCATTTCGTCACATCACTACAACATTTAAATCCTTTTTTACGACCAGAACACGCCATAAAAACCCAACAAACTGTTTTATTTAATACATTATTTTAAATAAGTTTTTTTTATTTTGTTTATTATTATTGTCACAGCAATAAAACATATATTACACTGTTATAAAAGAATAACTCGCCAAACTTTTTAAAATTTAAAGAAAGAACAGTAAAAAATGTAATATTTTGGAGCCAAAAGACGAAAAAAAAATGTAATTACACTATGTAATATAACTACAAACTTCGTTTTTGAAAAAAGAACACAAATTACAAATAAATCAAATATTAACTTTTTTTTATTCGAAAAAAGATTACACTATATAAAACTACAAACATCCTTTTTATTTGAAAAAAGAAGTCGAAATTATTTTTTTAATTATAAACATTGTTTCGTGTTGCCAACTAACAAAATCGAGAGGCGTTTAGAAAACGCGTGAATGACGCGATGACCTTTTGACACTAACGAGTACGTTCGGAGATGAGATGTTCCCTATTCCCTGATCAATGTGGGTGGAGCTTAGATTGGAGGAGGGACTCTGGACCAGAACCGAAAGCAGCATAAGAGCAGTTTTAAACTATATTCAACCTTATTTTATAATGGAGAGAGAGCAATTTTGTTGATTAAAATAAATTGCAGTGCATTGTTTTGGGAAATTCAGCCTGTTATACTATATAAAGAAAGGTAATTGAACGGCCTCGGTAGTCTACGGTCTAGCACACCTCTTTACTTCCCATGGTCACGGGTTCGATTCCTCGCACGTCACAAATATTTGTATTCATGAATATGATTGCTTGTATCAGTCTGAGTGTATTCTATGTATAATATGTATTTATTTACAAAAAACTATTTTTTTTAAATAAATGTAGCTTAAGTTATTCCTTGTTACATTAGCTATTTGCCAATAAAAGTCCCGTCAAAATCGGATTTCAGAGATTAGCCGGAACAAACAGACAGACAGACAAAAATTGTAAATAATGTTATTTTGGTGTACATGTACCGCATTTATATTCATATGTATGTAATAAAAAACGGTTATTTCAGTATTACAAAAAGACACTCAGACAGATTAAATTGGAGAGAAAAACAACTGTCTGTCTCGATTTCACGTCAAGACTACTGAACCGATTTAAATGAAATTTGGTACACAGATACCTAGTCTAGACCCTAAGAAAGACATTATTGTATATTTTTTCTTTATTTGGTCAAGGTTACTATAACACGCGGACGGAGTTGCGGCCTCCACTAGTATTAACGTATTAACAATATAAGGAAAGACAATACTTAATTACTAAATTTCTAACGTCCAATTAAATTAATTTAAGCTGGCATTTTAACTCTATAGAAGTACACCATTGTCATGAATAAAGATTATTAAAAAAAAAAACGTACACCGCCTCCCGCCAAATGTGTAAAGTACAACGTGATTGGTTGGATTTCAGCCAATGACAGCACGCCATTTGCCGCGTAGTAAAGTGTTTCTACTATATTGTACAAATGCATTTTTTTATCATTTGTTACGTGTTGTGGTATTAAGTTTCTGTATGCAGTATGTGCAGCGGTGGTCCAGCGGTTTGCGCACTGGTGGTCGCAGGTTCAATTCCTCGTACGATGCACAGATTTGTATTAATGAGTATGGTTATTTGTATTGGTTTGGGTGTTCTCTTTTTATGTAAATAGACCGGATTTCCTTCAATACAACTATATCAGAGGATAGATAGATAAAAACCTCGAAAGACAGGTTCAAAATTCAAAATTCATTTTAGTTTATACAAAAAATTGAATTATCAGTTTATTCAAAAATGAAAAACTGAAATTTTAAAATTAAAATTTTTTTGAATACACTAAAATGAAAAGAGCTTCCATTTACATCTAGATGCACACTTAATGAGCCGATATATTGACGTAATAGAAAATATAACAGAATTTAGTACTATTTATAAAGTTACACAACGGCAAATACTAACCTTTTTTACGGTTTTTGTGGTTTTTGCGTGTTTCGGAAGTTCGCGGCGAAAATGATTACATGCACAAGTGATATACATCTTCATTGAACAATAAGATGCGGGATGACTTCGGCTCCGACATATCCTATTAATTCTTAGTTACGAATTTCGGAAGCATGTTTTTTCTTAAAATGAGGCACCTATCCCTATGCGGCATCTACCCGGTTATACCCTAAGTATAAGCAATCCCTTCCAGAACCTATCCGGCATCTACCCGGTTTTTTTAAGTATAAGCAATCCCTTCCAGAACCTATCTGGCATCTACCCGGTTTTACCCTAAGTATTAGCAATCCCTTACAGAACCTATCCGGCATCTACCCGGTTTTACCAAAGTATAAGCAATCCCTTCCAGAACCTATCCGGCATCTACCCGGTTTTACCCTAAGTATAAGCAATCCCTTCCAGAACCTATCCGGCATCTACCCGGTTTTACCCTAAGTATAAGCAATCCCTTCCAGAACCTATCCGGCATCTATTCCGGTTTTACCCTAAGTATAAGCAATCCCTTACAGAACCTATCCGGCATCTACCTGGTTTTACCCTAAGTATAAGCAATCCCTTCCAGAACCTATCCGGCATCTACCCGGTTTTACCCTAAGTATAAGCAATCCCTTCCAGATAACTTTTACAGATTTGGGTACCTATATTATATATGCCTACCTACATACGTTTTTGAGTGTAGGCACTTAATTCTATCAGTTGTCTAGTACCTACCCATAACGCAAGATCTGCTTACTTTGGTACTAGATGACGATGTGTTAATTGTACAGAATAGAATAGAATAGAAAATCATTTATTCAAATAAACTTAATTTAAGCACTTTTGAATAGTCATAACAATTTGTTTTTTATCTACCACTCGTTCGGAAAGCTGTCTCATCACAAGAAGAACGAGCAAGAAACTTGTGTGTTGCTCTTTTAAATAATCCTTGTAAGTTTACATTTACAAGTCGAAACGTGTGAATACAAACCACCACCAAGCACTAATTTTTTGGGTCAAATACATATAATCATGCAATAAGATTAAATCAGTCGTAGTGATAAGAGCAGACCAGTCCCTACAAGCAGCACTCGTTCACGAGTATGATGGATGAGCCAGCCATCACTGCGCTCGACCATATTTTAGGGAGCCCATTGACCCGGCCCACCACGCCGCCACATGTCTGGACATTTTAGTGAGCATGACTACTCATTCCACACGACCACGTCACAGCTACAAAAATTACTATATGGTAGTTACAGTATTCGCACTTTACATAAGGATGCATGCGGCAATCAATACAAAATAGAATAGAATACGCTATCATATATCAAGAAAGCAGTATGAAAATTAGAATAGAATAGAATAGAATAGAATAGAAAATCATGTATTCAAATAAACTTAATTTAAGCACTTTTGAATAGTCATAACAATTTGTTTTTTATCTACCAGAGATATTATTATAGGTATCGCATGAGTTTTTTTTTTGGGGATAATAATGAAATGTTGAACCTGCCAGCACTAACGGTTTACGCTGGCGGGGTACCAGTGGAGGATAATAAGATGAGTATGAAGGTCAGGTCAGCACATCGTGACAAATTCACTAGGAATTTATCACGATGGTTTCCAGGGGGAACCGCGTGGAGGTCGACCTAACATGCTACATTGCTAGCAATGGGAATTACTAGTTCCCATTACTAGTAATCTATGTATGAGTTTGCTTCTAGGACTCTAACGGTGCTCTACCATACCGCCTTAGGTAGATACTTCCGATAGTCGCGGGTTCGGGTCCTCGCACGGTACATACAATTGTTTTCATGAATATGATTCTTTGTGTCGATCTGAGTGTTTCCTATGTGTATTAGTTGTCTAATACCTATAACACAAACTATGTTTAGCTTGGGACTAGATGGCGCTGTGTTAATTATCTTGAGATATATATTGATGGGATCTTAACCAGACCTACAAGGGAGAAGGTATCGTTGGTCCCGACCAACCTGTTGACCTGCACGATCTTCCTGGAAACCATCGTGATAAATTCCTAATGCATTTAATATGATAGGCCAACTGACCTGACCTCATGCTCATCTTATCATCCTCCACTGGTGCCCCGCCAGCGTAAACCGTTAGCGCAGACGGGTGCACCATTATATTATCATCCAATAAAAAACAGACAGACAAGAGATATTACTTACCGTCATTTTGTCTGCACAAGCTTTCATTCCTTCCGGATTATTTTTCGACATGATTGGCCGTCCTTGTGATATAATCTAAATTCATAGTTTCATTAAGATCTGTTCAGCAGTTTTAGTTGTGAAATCCTACAAACAACCAGACAGATAGACTTTCATATTTATAACTAGCTGAACCCGCTACTTCGTCCGCGTGGAATTTGACTTTATTTTTCTAAAATAAAAGTATCCTAAGTGACTCCTTATTACATCTACCTGCCAAAAAAAGTTCCGACAAAATCGGTCCAGCCATTTCAAATATTAGCTGGAACAAACAGACAGACAAAAATTGTTAAAAATGTTATTTTGGTGTATGTACCGTATTTATTTCATATGCATGTAGTAAAATACGATTATTTCAGTATTACAAACAGACATTTCATTTATATTTATAAATTATATTAGTCGGTACAGAGAGTCATTCCACAATCTTATAATCCCTGACTTCGCGGCAATAGATACCCATAAAATAACGGTACCCACTGACCTGCAACCCAATCCAGTGCACTGTTAAAGTACACACACACCGGGTCCAGACAGAAGACGACCGGATGACAGGAAAACGGAGACAGCCTCTTATGGAACACAACGAACGACACTCGCGAAATAGTTTGTATTATCAGTGAACACACGCGGTATCTTCGTGTAGGAGTCTACAGAACTGTTCCATAACGCGTCTATGTATAAATAATTAGTTAATGTAGAAAAAGAGGAGCACAATGTCCGATTCTCCTCCTCCATTTTTGGCTTTGCCTTCGCATTTAGCCAATATCAAAGTTAGGGAAATATACACAGAAATATATAGAACGGAATTTTGATTCTTATGACATTTATTTTATCGATAACAAAAAACGAGCGTTTCTTTTTTTTATATTTAAAATTATATTGGCTCTTTTAGCGACCAGTTGCACATTTAGTAGTCATTACATAGTATAAAACAAAGTCGCTGTCGCTGTCTGTCCGTGCCTATGTATGCTTAAATCTTTACAACTACGCAACGGATTTTGAAGCGGGTTTTTTAATAATAATAATAATAATCTCAGGACAATTCACACAGCGCCATCTAGACCCAAGTTAAGCTAGCTAAAGCTTGTGTTATGGGTCCTAGACAACTGATACAAATACATAGATAATTTTTTTTTTCCTAAATACATACATATTATACATAGAAAATACCCAGACCGATACAAACAATCATACTCATGAATACAAATGTTTGTGCCGTGCGAGGAATCGAACCCGCGACCATCGGTCGTAAAGCGGTATGCTAGACCGCTAGACCACCGAGGTCGTCAATAATAGATAGTGTTTCTAGAGGAAGGTTTATATATATAAAACATGTACACCCGGGCGAGTTTGAGAATAGGCTACTATTTTTCATACATCTAAGTGATAAGGGATGTTTACACCTAATATTTTTTTATTTTTTTATAATGTGTCCTTAAATTACGCCACTAAGGGGCAGGACATTGTCGATTATATTCGTACCAAGAGTAACCTGACATTGAGGGTAACGCAGCTAAAGTCGAGTCACAACGCGAGTTTCAAATCGTTTGTGGCCCTGGTCCCCATCGACTTGCTGCTCACCTTCATGAAAGAGGACTACTGGCCGAAAGGTGTGGTGTATCGGCGCTACCGTGGCAGATTGCCGTCTTCAGTGCCGTGATCACACAGACAATATCATTGTATTAGTTTTTAAATATTATATTATATGTATGTTAGTCTATAAGGTATTTATAATATGGGCCTAGTTGCCTGAAATAAATGAATAAATAAAAAATAAAAATACATACAACTTACATTTTCACTCATCTACAATCAACCCCTATTTTTAAAAGCTTATTTAATTTATATGTAAAAAGGTTTACAGGGTGAGCTAGTAGAATAATAAAATCAGGTAGTTTAAGGACAGGTTTACAATAAAACTAATATTAATTATAATAATTAATATTTTATTATCAAATACGGAATTTTATTATATAAAATACCATAATTATATTAAAAGATGAATACATTATTGATTAAAATACACCTTAACACTATTCCCTTGTTGAAAACAGATTGGCTTCACTATCACAAGCTGTGGGTAGTGAGTACAATCCTGGTTGACACATAAATGGCATGCAAATTATTTATTTACTCACTAGTTGACCCGCGCGACTTTGTCTGCTTATTTATTTATCTTCTTATATCTAGACTTCGTCTGCGCCATATTTTCCCCGTTTTTGTGCAACATTTTTTATTGCTGCTCCGCTCCTATTGTTTGTAGCTTGATGTTATATAGCCTATAGGGTTCTACGATAATAGGCTATAGAATGATAAAAGAATTATCAAAATTGGTTCAGTAGGTCCAGAGATTACCCTCTACAAAACTCATAAAATACCTCTTAATAATCTTAGTATAGAGAAGGTGAATTGTTAGTAATGTAGACTAATAACTCCATTGGTAGCAAATGTACCATGTCAGGTTGACCTCCGTGGGGTTCCTCTGGACATCATCGTCATAAATGCCTGTTGAATTTACCACGATGTGCTAACTGACCTAACCTCATGCTCATCTGATCATCCTCCTACTGGTGCCCCGCCAGCGTATACCGTTAGCGCAGGCGGGTGTACCGTTCCATTATTATGTAATAAAAAACACATTATTATAGATTTCATTCAATTTTTACTCTTTCATAACTCTAGCTATTACCGCGATTTTGATTGCACAAACTTTCATCCCCAATTTCATCCCTGATTTCATCCCTTGCTGATTATTTTTCAAGATAAATGATTATGTCTGTCCTTGTCATACCATCTATATTCATAAAAACTTTCATTTAAGATCTGTTCAGCAGTTTTAGTTGTGACAAGCAACAAACAGTCAGACAGATAGACAAACAGACTTTCATATTTATAATAATATTAGTATAGATATTTTTTATGTTTGTAATGACAAACAAGCTGACGGCCCGCCTGATGGTAAGTGGTAACTGTCGCCTATATACATGAACAGTACTATGATCACCACGTTATCATGCCAGTTCATTATCACGTGATATATTTATGCGTTTAGGTAATTCATATCACTATCAGTTAGTACATATTAAACATTAATTATCTTTTTCTTTCTTTTCTGTTCTTTTCTTTTCAATCTTATTTTCATTACTTGTCATTCTGCTTGTCCACTTTCTTCTTTGTTCTTTTCTTTTCAATTGGCTCATTACTTGTCACACTAGACAGACTTTAACAGACAGATTTTAAAATTCTGTTCTTATTCTTCCAACTTCTTTTCTTTCCTTTTGAATGTAGCCCATCCAAGAACCTAGTTAACTGGCTTTAAATCATTTTGGGTCTTCCTTTTCAACTTTTGCCCCACCTTCTCTATCTTCTTGATATATCTTTCTTTTCTACCGTTTCTAAATAATTTTGAATTCCCTTTTTCAACTTTTGTCACATCTTCTCTATACTCCTTTTTTTCTACCGTGTATAAATCATTGTCAATTATCTTTTCAACTCTCGCCTCACCTTTTCTATCTTCTTTACGTATCTTTTTCTACCGTTTTCGCTACTAACACTGCGGTTTACCAGCGGCTGACGAGGCGCGCAGATGTCGCAGAGCACAGCGGGCGGCTGTACCTTTTGCGATGCGGTAGTTGCGACCGACACCTTTGAACACGCCGCGTCCAAACACTTCGACGCAGACGCGAACACGACGACCATCGGCCAGACGCTCCGGTTTGCTGAAAAAAAAAATAGTATGATATAGAATGATAACCCTTCATACAGCGCCATCTAGTCCCAAGCTAAGTAGAGTTTATGTTATGGGTACTAGACAACTGATATAATTATATTTTTTATAATAATAATCTCTGGACAATTCACACAGCGCCATCTAGTCCCAATCTAAGCAGAGCTTGTGTTATGGGTACTAGACAATTGATATAAATATGTTTTTTATAATAATAATCTCAGGACAATTCACACAGCGCCATCTAGTCCCAAGCTAAGCAGAGCTTGTGTTATGGGTACTAGACAACTGATAGAAATATATTTTTTATAATAATAATCTCAGTACAATTCACACAGCGCCATCTAGTCCCAATCTAAGCAGAGCTTGTGTTATGGGTACTAGACACCTGATATAAATATATTTTTTATAATAATAATCTCAGGACAATTCACACAGCGCCATCTAGTCCCAATCTAAGCAGAGCTTATGTTATGGGTACTAGGCAACGTTATATCTCTGCTCTACACGCGCAATGGCCCAAATGAGAGCCTATATGCGGAGAATAGGGTCCATATGATAGATAAATAGATAGACATATCGTTTATTTGTTTGTTACTTATCACACACAATTACATGTTCATAGATATAAACAATACATAGTACGACATAAGATTTACAAGTTTGTGTATTATGTGTGATCTGTAGCAATACAAAAACGCGTATGTGACACCCCTGGTGTTTCAGGCGTCCATAGGCTACGGTAACCGTTTACCATCAGATGGGCCGTATGCTTGTTTGCAATAAAAAGGTCGAAGCTCAGCGCGGAACATTGTTCAGGGAATAAAACACTGATTTTCAGCTTCAACCCATTTGAGAGTACGTGAAAATAATATTTGACCCAAAAATTTCTGCTGGTTGGTAGTTTGTATTCACACGTTTCGACTTGTAAATTAAAAGAGCAACACACAAGTTTCTTGCTCGTTCTTCTTGTGATGAGACAGCTTTCCGAACGAGTGGTAGATAAAAAATAAATTGTTATGACTATTCAAAAGTGCTTAAATTAAGTTTATTTGAATAAATGATTTTCTATTCTATTATATTCTATTTTAATTAAAATAAAAAGAGCAATATTATTGGTGACTGTCTGTGCGCTGTGTGTATAATAAAAATAATGTAAATAGTTCAGAAATAATATTGGTTCGCGTAGAAATTGTAAAGTAAAATATATTTAGTTGTTTTTGTTATAGCGTAGGCCAATAAAATATACTATGTAAATCAGATTGTAACGCTGTTGTTTTCTAATATATAAAATTCTCATGTTTATACTCCTCCGAAACGGCTTGACCAAATTTGATGAAATTTTATATGTATATTCAGTAATTCTGAGAATAGGTTTACAACTAATTTTTATACCCCTAAGTGTTAATGTGTGCTGACCCAAAAAATTTATTTTTATTTTTTCTACACAATATATTATTTTTTTTATTAAGTGGCATTAAAAAATACATCCAACCCTAAGTTTTCACCCTTCTATCACTAACCCTTATTTTTATTTATGGAGTTATTAATTTATTTATATGGCAAAACAACGTTTGCTGGGACGGCTAGTAATTAAAAAAAAATTGAATACATACCCAAACTTGGCAGTATCAGGTTCTGCCTCTAACAATTCTCTGACGGGAGACTTGGGGGCGGCAGCGCTGAAAGCTTCCAATTCTGCGCCCATGAGGTTTACGTAGGACTTCCATACAGCATCCAGAGACATCCCTGTGGAGGGAATTTGTTGAGAAACTCTTTTAATATATTTTTTTTTATACTACTATGGTAGCAATCAAGCATACGGCCCATCTGATGGTAAATGGTTACCGTAGCCTATGAACGCCTGAAATACCAGAGGTATCACGTGCGCGTTGCCGACCCTTAATATATGCTTTTTGAAAAACCCCATGCTGAAGTCTCGTCGGAAAACCTCTGCAGGAAGTTCATTCCACAATCTAAGTGTACGCGGGAGGAAACTCCTCTGAAACCGCACTGTTAATTTTATATTAATATATTTAAAGTTTTCTTGTATTCTTTAATCAAAATTATATATTATGTCACTTCACTCTTTACCATCTTACCATTAAATACATTTTTCCAGTCATAAATAGTTTTACTACATATTTCTACAACAGAATTCCTAGGTTAGTACATCTCTGTGTGGGGAATTTCTGGGTTGGTAACTTATACTCATGAACTGGTGCTGCTGTTGGGGCTCTCTCTTTCTGATAACTATTACTGAATTATTTTGTTTATTGAAGTTATGATTTACTTACTTTTATCAATTTAAAATCTTTCAATCTATCACTTACTTAATCAATCAATCAAGTTCTTTATATGCTACTATCACTCAATCAAGAATATATATATATATATATGATTAGACTTTTTGCTTTTGCAATAGCATATGCTGGTGGTCACTCTATTCTCCCAAATTTGAATTTAAATGAATCTGTATGATTGTAAACATGTACAACAATTATTTGAAAAGAATACGAGCTGAGTTTCTTGTCAGTTCTTCTCATCTCGAAATCATTCCGAACTGACGGTAGGTTTGACATATCATAAGAATCTGTAATATACCTCCATGAATAAAGATATTCTGAATTTTGAATATGGCAATCAATCGATCAAGTTATTTATTTTGCTATTTGGCAGTTTGTATTCTTACAAAATCTTAAAAATGTAACAGTGAACAACTTTTATATAAAAGAGCATCACGCAAGTGTCTTGCCGTATATATGCAGATGGCCCATGAATGTGATGAAAAAAACGTAAATAATTATAATAATATATAAAAAAAATAGACATATATTATCTTATGTGTAATTTTAGATTCATATAAAGATTTTTATGAAATTTTATTTGCATATTCAGCAGGTACAAGAATCGGCTACTATTTTTCATAGCCCTAAGTGATAAGGGTTGTCTATCTCTAAACATTTATTTTTTTAATTAATGTACAATTTTTTTTACAACCCTAAAATTGCACCCTTCTCTATTTTTTAACTGCTATTTTAATTTATACGGCAAAACAGCGTTTGCGGGGTCAGCTAGTAAATATATACATTATACATAATATAAAAAAAAAAATATATGAAGAAATTATTATATACAAAAAATATTTACCAGAGTCGAGGAATATAGCGCCAGCGACGGATTCGAACAGGTCACCCAATGCCTTCGGTACCTCCACATCCTCTGCCTGCTCCATCTCGTCCTCTTGTATCAAGTAATGCTGGAAAACACACCAATTTTAGATCATTCTACTAACATATTTGCAGGTCTAGCACCGCCTTACTTCCGATGATCGCGGGTTCAATTCTTGCATGATACAAAACATTTCTGAGTATGATTGTTTATATCGGTTTGGGTGTTTTCTATCTATAATATGTATGTATTTAAAAAAATATATATGTATTTGTATCAGTTGTCACGTAATCATAACACAAGCTTTATGTAGGCGAAAGTATAGAGAGAAAACCAAAAATTCAAACTTTCATAAAAAACAACAAAAGCTTCAGCTAACTTAACTTGGGACTAGATGGCGCTGTGTGAAGTGTCCTGAGATGATTATTATTATTTCTGTTTACCTCTTCACTAATAGAATGTCCATTCTCCTCTTGTATTTTCACATACTTTGTGAGCACCTCGTTCAAGCCCGGAGACATATGCCGGAAGTATCTGTAAAAATAAATTTATTTACTGTAATATAGGATATATTTAAAATCCTTGTGTTACAATATTAGTTATTGGGGGAATGGGATTGTTAGTAATGTGGACTCATGACCCCATTACTAGCAATGTACCATGTCAGGTTGACCTCCACGCGGTTCCCTCTGGAAACCATCGTGATAAATTCCTGGTGAATTTGTCACGATGGGCTAACTGACCATTCATCTTATCATCCTCCTCTGGTGCCCCGTCAGCGAAAACCGTTAGCGCAGTCGGGTGCAACATTCCATTATCATCCAAAAAAAAATTATATTAGTTATTAGGGGAGGGGGAGGGGGTTGTAGATAATGGGGATCAGTAGGCCTCTTGCTAACAATTTACCATGTTAAGTTCACCTTCACGCGGTTTCCCCTGGAAACCACCGTAATAAATTCTTGGCAAATTTACCACGATGTGCTAACTGACCTGACCTCATGCTCATCTTATCATCTTCCACTGGTGCCCCGCCATCGTAAACCGTTAGCGCAGGCGGGTGCACCATTCCATTATCATACATAAAAGAACCCCAATAAAAAAAATTGAGAACTATCGCGGGTGAAAGCGCGGGCACAGCTTAAATAAAGTGAGCTTACTTGTGGAAGGAGTGCCTGGCTGCTAGAGCTGCAAAGATGGTATTGTTGACCAGAGCTGACCGCAGGTCTGTGAGCGCGCCGGGCGAGTGACGCCGGGAGTCCTCGTATAGGTGCCGCGTGATCAGGTAGTCTATAGGACGGTTAATAATAAACAAATGACCATGGACAAATAACACAGCGCCATCTAGTCTCACTCACAGTGGTATTTATATCAGTTGTGTACCAGTACCCATAACACAAGCTTTAGCTAGCTTAACTTGGGTCTAGATGGCGCTTTGTGCATTGTCCTGAGATTATTATTTCAAGTCGTATGTGGCCCGAGTACCCACCAACATGCTGCCCACCTTTATGAAGGAGGACTACTGACCGAAGGGTGTGGTGTATCGGCGCTACCGTGGCAGATTGCCGTCGTCAGTGTAGTGACCATATAGACAATTTGAATTTATATTTTATTATTATTTCATATGTAGCTTAGTCTATAAGGTATTTATAATATGGGTCATGTAGCCTGAATTAAATATTTATATATATATAAATAGAAATAATCTTTATTCAAATAAACTCATTACAAGCACTTTTGAATAGTCATATTTTGATTCTACCACTCATTCGGAATGCAGATTCATCACAAGAAGAATGAGCAAGAAACTTGTGTGTTGCTCTTTTTAATAGATGTTTTTTTTATATAAATAATTACAGTGTAACAAGTAAGAGGCATGCGACAATCAACATAGAAATCGCTACGCACTCATTATTAGTGTAATCAGATAATATTGTATATATATATATATATATTTTATAGAAAAACTTTATTATCGTTAACGAATTCTTCAATTTTATAGTAAGCTTTTTTGCAAAGGAACTGTTTTATTTGACATTTAAATCTTTTTTCTGGCAGATTTATAACAGACTCTGGTATTTTATTAATGTTTAATTAAAATTTATAAAACGAATTACTAACTTTAGCCAAACGACATTTAGGTAAAATCAGTTTGTTATTGTTACGTAAGCTATATATATTAGTGCAATCACTAACTCTTTTGAAACTGTCTATATTCTTCCTGGCATACATGATATTTTCATAAATATATTGAGAAGCAATGGTGAGGATATTTGATTCCTTAAAGCACTCTCGCAAAGACTTATGGAACCCATGCTATAAATGGAGCGAATGGCCCTTTTTGAAAAATAAATATTGTATTATATATACACATATGAATGTGGATGTTTATAAGGGCAGAGAGACAGATGAAAGTGGCGCCGGTATCAGAGAGGTTGAAGAGTAATCGTCTATCATGGTATGGACATGTAATGCGTAGGAACGAGGATAATATTTTAAGGAAGGTGTTACATACGATATGATAAGAAAGAGAGTGAATAGCGAGATGACTACGAACAGGGATGAATGGAAGAGAGATACATATAATGCCGACCACAAATAAATGGGATAAGGAAGAAGCAGATGATGATGATATATATATATATATATATATTATACTCACCTAGTATGGCGTCGCCGAGGAACTCAAGTCGTTGATAGCAGTCGGTCAGTCTGTTTGTGTTATGAGAAGCGTGTGTCAACGCCTGCAGAAGGAGAGAGCGATCCTTGAACCTGTACTGCAGTGTCCTCTCGAGAGCATCATATCCTGGAGAAGAGAAATCGGTATTATAGTACATATATATTAGCTGTCTCGGCAAACGTTGTTTTGCCAAATAAATTAAAACCGCTAGTAAAAAATAGGGTTCATGATAGAAGAGTGAATAGAAGGGATCGAAATTACGACGGCCTGAGCCGAGGTTCGAACCCCTAGTGGTGTCCTCAGACTGGCGTTGTATCCGTCAGGCAGGAGTTGGCCATCAGCCGCTCCATAAGTCCTTCCGCGGGTTTGAAGTGCCATCTGCACTCGCCCCATATCGTCCGGTGAAGCTGTAAAGGCCAGCTACGGCCAACAGCATTAGAGTAGTACGAAAAAAAAAAATTGTGCAGCCTCTTTTGGTCGACAGACGTGCTCTCGAACGAATCTCCGTATCATACCGTATTTGCTTTATATAATTTTAGTTCTACCTTCTATTAATTTTGTTAAAATTAATTATACGATTTGTTATAACTTTCTTTTATTTAATTAACATTTAGAGGTCATTCCTAACAATGTATTATATTAAGATAGAAAGAAAGAAAATAGTTTATTTGGTACGTAACATTTTTTTTTTTTTCAGACCACTCTAATGCTGTTATCCGCAGCTGGCCTTTACAGCTTCACCGGACGATAGGGGGCGAGTGCAGATGGCACTCCAAACCAAAGGAAGGACTTATGGAGCGGCTGAAGGCTACTCACGCCTGATGGATACGACGCCAGTCTGAGGGCACCACTAGGGGTTCGAACCTCGTCTCAGGCCGTCGTAATTTCGATCCCCGTTTGAATTGGACGGGGGATCGATCGGAGGGGAGTACGTAACAATAATAAAAATAATTATTACATTTTAAATTACATACTAGTTTATACATCAGTTGTCTATTGTTAGGGTTCACATCGATATTGTCGAAAAATCTGATATTTTGTATTAAAAGAAGGTAGTTTCATTATTACTCGGTATCGTTAAACTAGTTGCATATAACCCCCACTCATATCTTCTCTGTATAAAAGGGAGGGTTTTTGTAGGCCGCGGCACCGACCCGACATACTGGACATGGCACTGCTGAGGAACGTAACCCTACGGGTGAGCTCCCCAGAAGTCCATGCCGAGCTTAACTCGGACCATCGACCGGTAACCCTCCTTCTGGGCCCTCCGCCCGACACGCCACTACCAACCAAAACGATAACAGACTGGCAACGACTCGAGAAATCTCTCGAATCGACCGACACACCGATTCTAAACCGTATTCCCGACGTCATAGAGTCCACCGAGGACACTCTCATTGCGATCGACTCGCTTACTAACCACCTGCAGTCGGCAGTCAAGGACTGCTCCAGGGAGGTACCGGCGACGGACGACCGTCGCTGGCAGCTCCCCGATGACGTAAGGAGGTTAATAAGCGATAAGAACGCAGCCACTAGAGCGTACGATCGCTACCCCTCCGAACCGAACCGGGTGCGCCTGCGAGCCTTATAGCGTAGCGTTAAGGAGCGCATCGCGCAGATCCGGGACGGCCGGTGGGGCAAGCTCCTAGAAGAGATAACGCCATGCCACACCGCGTACTGGCGCATAGCGAAATCTCTCAAAACCGACCAACAGACAAACGACATGCCCCCGCTAGTCCGACCCGACAACACTATAGCCTTCTTCGACGAAGACAAGGCTGAGTGTCTAGCGTCCAACTTAGAAGCCCAATGCTCCCCCAGCACGCTCCCAGTCGAGGCAGGTCATCTCGAGAAGATAGACACCGAAGTCGAACGCATCGCGTCCACCCCGCCCACCGAATCCCTCTCACCAGTCACGCTTGATGAGGTCAAAACGCTAGTTAAACAACTACCTATCAAAAAATCACCCGGCTCAGACGGCATATCGAATAGATTAGTCAAAAGTCTGCCATCCCAACTTTTGTTATTACTCGTCGCTATTTTTAACGCGGCGCTGTCCAACGCTATATTTCCAGACAGCTGGAAAGAAGCCGTGGTCATTGGCATCCCCAAGCCCGGTAAAAATAAATCCGACCCGTCCAGTTATCGTCCTATCAGCCTCCTCAAGGCTATAGGCAAGCTGTACGAGCGAATCCTCCTCGCCCGCCTAAAGGAGTTTATATACTCCAAAGGCCTGCTCATCAATGAGCAGTTTGGCTTCCGAGCCAAACACTCATGCGTCCATCAAGTGCACCGCATCACGGAGCACATTCACAAAAACACTCTGTACTTCGCCACCAAGTCCCCCAAAGGCGGTACAGGCGTCCTATTTTTCGATGTGGCTAAGGCTTTCGATAAAGTCTGGCACAACGGCTTGATTTACAAGCTTCATCAGTTAGGTGTCCCCGACAGGCTAGTACTCATTGTACGAGATTTCCTGTCGAATCGCTCTTATCGCTACCGTATAAACGGAGCGTTATCCGACCCGCACCCCATACGAGCCGGCGTCCCTCAGGGCGCCGTCCTCTCTCCGATGCTCTACTCGTTGTACACCAACGACATCCCCAAATTCTCCGACTTAAAAGTCGAAATATCGCTGTTTGCCGATGACACGGCTCTCTTTACATCCGCCAAGTCCCGTGCGACAATAGCCAGACGGCTTCAGAAAGCCGTAACGATACTGGGCGAATGGTTCCGTCGGTGGCGCATAGAAGTCAATCCCGAAAAAAGTGCAGCAGTGTACTTTAGCAGGGAATTCGACTCTATGAATCACCCGATCGAACTATTCGGCCAAAACATCCCGTGGGTTTCGAAAACGAAATATCTCGGCGTCACCCTAGATAGGAAACTAACGTTTCGTCCTCACATCAAGCGTGTCCGCGACCGAGCCGCCTTTATACTAGGGCGACTCTATCCTTTTATTAACAAGCACAGTAAAATGTCGCTTCGCAACAAGCTGACATTATACAAGGCTTGCATCCGTCCCATCATGACCTACGCTAGTCCCGTATTCGCCCACATACCCTACTGCTTAATCAACAGACTGCAGGTCATTCAGAATAGGTTTCTGCGTCGAGCCACCGGTGCGCCGTGGTTCGTTCGCAGCGTAGATCTCCACCGCGATCTTAATCTGCCCTCCATCAAGCAGTTTATGAAGGAAGCGTCTCGACGCTACTTCGACTCTGCCCAATCCCACCCTAATCCGCTTATAGTCAGTGCGGTCGACTACGCACCGAGGAGTAATATCCGACATACGCGACAACGTCGCCCGAGGCACGTTCTCATTGACCCCGACGACCCCATAACGGCAGGTAACCTCCCCACGGGCCCACCCGTTCCACCCCGACCACACTTTTACACACACACACGACACCGTCCTCGCCGGCGAAGACGACGACCTCGAACACACAATATCGCGCATTCAACCGGGCGCCTGCGCGCGCCCGGGCGCTCCACACCGGCGCCCCCGGGCGCCTCTCCGATCGATCCCCCGTCCAATTCAAACGGGGATCGAAATTACGACGGCCTGAGCCGAGGTTCGAACCCCTAGTGGTGCCCTCAGACTAAAGTCGTATCCGTCGGGCAGGAGTTGGCCTTCAGCCGCTCCATAAGTCCTTCCGCGGGTTTGGAGTGCCATCTGCACTCGCCCCATAACGTCCGGTGAAGCTGTAAAGGCCAGCTACGGCCAACAGCATTAGAGTAGTCCGAAAAAAAAAAAAAAAAAAGGCCGCGGCATTCGGTCTTTGTGCACAGGATGTGCTGGTTGTATTTTAATTGCTAAAGTGAATTGTGTTAGAGACATAGTTAAATTAATGTTATATAGTTGGTATTTTATTATAATACATACTTTTACTAGTACATAGAGTTGATATATCTTACACTAGTATCCATAACACAAGCTCTGCTTACCTTGGGACTAGATGACGCTGTGTTAATTACTATTATTATTATTACTGACTAACTGTACCCACGACTTCGTCTAAGCCTAAGTTATTCCTTATTCAGCTACCTGTCAATAAAAGTCCCGTCAAAATAGGTCCAGCCATTTCAGAGATTAGCCGGAAAAACAGACAGACAGACAAAAATTGTAAAACATGTTATTTCCGTTCATGTATCTTATTTATATTGATATGCATGTACTAAAAACCGGTTTTTAAATATTACAAACAGACACTCCAATTTTATTTATATGTATAGATTATTTATTTAATTTATTAGCAAAGAATTCACCTGATAACATTTGTTCCAATTCCCCCTCAGGGTCTTCTATGTACCGTAGCAGAGGAGACGGGGGTGCTTTTAACTCGCCGAATATAGGCTGCAAGAAATAATAGTCTAACTGTAAAAGAAAAAAAGTGAGGGGGTGATGTTAGGTCATTATTTATTTATTTATTTATTTATTTAAGCTTTGCATTCCATAATTTTACAGTAAATAGATAGACAGGTACATTTCAAGGTAGGTTAATTATGGACCCTGTTGGGCACAGCAAGCGGAAGAGAGGAGAGGAGGACGAATATTTTTTTTTTTTTTTATAATATATAATAATAATAAAAAAATAGTAATAATAATTAATAATTTGAGATTGTATATATTTAATTACTAAAATTGTATAATATTTAATTCAATATGTCATTTTTATATTCTAAAATTGTATAATAACATTTTTTAATCAATAATGTCTTGAGATTTCTTATAAATATTTTATCATTTTTTATCTCTTTTAAAGAAAGTGGTAGGTGGTTATATATGTTTATGGATGACACCAGAGGACCACTTGAATGTAGTGCTAACGTGGAGGATGGAAGAAGGAGCCTGTTTCTGTGTCGTAAATTATATTTTTCACACCTTTCTTCGCGTGTTTTATAGAAATTGGGGTATTTTCGGACGAATTTACTGGTTTCTAAAATATAAATGCAAGTCAAAGTAAGAATATTATGTTTTTGGAAATATGGTTTACAGCTTTTACGATTGTCAATATTTACCAGTATTCTAATTAGTTTCTTTTGTAAGGTAAAGAGAGTAGGTGCATCGGTACTGTTTCCCCACATTATTATCCCATAACTCAACCATGCGTACGCATATGCATAGTAAGTGGTGAGAGCGGTTTGCAAGTTAGTGGTTCTTTTAACTTCCCGAAATGCATATACAAACCTAGACACTTTACTTTTTATTTTCTTGATATGCGATTTCCAATTTATTTGTGAGTCAATGGATATACCGAGGAGCGTGAATTCATTGACCACTTCCAATTGCATTCCGTTATACACGAAGTCAACGTCAAGTGGTCTTCTTTGACATGGGTGGAAGGTCATTAATTTAGTTTTAATATCTCCCCCTCACTTTTTTATAACAATGTGGTACTATATCAGGTCACCTTCTACACGATTCGTTAGTGACCTAACATCTCCCCTCTTCTCCTTCATTTTTGTAACAATGTGGTACTATATCAGGTCACCTTATACACGATTCGTTAGTGACCTAACATCTCCCCCTCTTCCCCTTCATTTTTATAACAATGTGGTACTATATCAGGTCACCTTCTACACGATTTCTCCTGAAATTCAAAATGGCTAGTTCCTGGTGACCTTACCACGACGTGCTAACTGACCTGACCTTATCCTCCACTGGTGCCCCGCCAGCGTATATCACTAGAGCTGGCGGGTGCACCATTTCATTATCATTAAAAAGAAAAATATTCGGTAATATTCGGCCAGCTCCAGCCGTGAGGAGCCAGCTTCTAATCCGAGTCCTCGTCTGGTGCTACATGTTCCATCCTATATTGTTAGCTCTAACTCCCCCACACCGGGGGAAAAAGGGATTGTTAGTAATGTGGACTCATGACCCCATTCCTAGCAGTGTACCATGTCAGGTTCCCCCTGGAAACCATCATGATAAATTTCTAGTGAATTTCTCACAATGGGCTAACTGATCTGACCTCATTCTCATCTTATCATCCTCCACTGGTGCCCCGCCAGCGTAAACCGTTAGCGCAGGCGGGTGAACCACTCCATTATCATCCCTAAAAAAAACAGACCTGCATCCACCGGCCCTGGTCGTCCCTGTAGGGCCGCAGGGATCCGACGGGCCTGCCGGGCCAGCTCCAGTCGTGTGGCGCCAGCTCCTGATGCTGCTGCTGCTCCTCACATTCCTCGTCGGATGACAGCTCCGTGCCAGAGTCTGAGGTGTCGTACGAGTGCTCCGTCGACGGCTGCGGAGCTGGTTTCTGTAACAATATTACATTTACATAACGGCCTCGGTAGTCTAGCGGTTTAGCCTCACTTCCGATGGTCGCGGGTTCGATTCCTCGCACGGTGAAAACACTCATGACTATGATTACTTGTATCGGTTTGGATGTTTTCTATGTATATTATAGACAAATTTACAAAAAATATATCTTTGTATTTATATCAGTTGTCTAGTACCTATAACACAAGCTATGCTTACCATGGGACTAGATGGCGCTGTGTTAATTGTCCAGTAATATTAATTACAAAAATACCTGCACAGTGGCGCCCTCTGGTCTCGGCCTGCAGTACGGGTGGTCGGGGGGCAGCGGCAGGTCGTGTTGGGGCAGCACCCGGAGCCCCAGCCACGACATGAACAGCAGGGCTCCACGAGGCCCACACTCCAGTAAGTACGCCCCGATCAATGCCTCCACGCAGTCCGCTATCGATTTATCTGTAATTATCAGTGATGAGTAGTATTTTGACGGCCTCAGTGCTCTAATTTTATTTCATACTAGCTGAATATAAAGTTATTTTTCTAAAATAAAAATAGCCTAAGTTACTCCTTATTACATCAGCTACCTGTCAATAAAAGCCCCGTCAAAATCGGTCCAGCCATTTCAGAGATTAGCCGGAACAAACTGACAGATATATACATAAAAATTGTAAAAAATGTTATCATGGTGTATGTACTGTATTTATATTCATATGTATATCAGTAAAATACGGTTATTTCAATATTACAAACAGACACTCCAATTTTATATATATGTATAGATGTATTTCGAAAAAGAAAATCATAATATAACATTTGTCTAGTACCCGAAACGATTATTTGTATCTGTCTGACTCTTTTCTATGTATATTATGTATGTATTTTCAAAAAATATATGTATTTATAACAGTTGTCCAGTACCCATAACACAAGCTCTGCCTGGCTTGGAACTAGATGGCGGTGTGTGAATTGTCCTGAGATTACTATTATTGTATACTATATATTTGCATATATTATATATAAACCTTCCTCTTGAATCACTCTATCTATTGAAAAAACCGCTTCAAAATCCGTTGCGTAGTTTTAAAGATTTAAGCATACATAGGGTCAGACAGACAGCGACAGCGACTTTGTTTTATACTATGTAGTGATGATATTTTTCTTACCTGGTATGCTGTGCTGGGTGATGAGGTTGTAAGGTATGAAACAGCCAGAGGAGTCCAATGAAGATTCAGGTATGACGCGCTCTTGTGTATCACTCTGCAAAAAAAAAATCTTGTCAAAAAAAAATGGCCTCATTGCTCTAGCGGTTTACCACGCCGCTTTAGTTCTGATGGTCGTCAATTCGATTCCTTGCACAATACTAACATTTTGTACCTGGTGCTAGTGCGCCTGGTGCTGGGGTACCTGTTGCTGCTGGTGATCCTGATGTTGCTATTTCTGGTGATGCTGGTGTACCTGATGTCGTTGTTCCAGGTGCTGCTGGTGTACCTGGTGTTGCTGTTGGTCATTGTGGTGATGGTGGTGTATTTAGAGCTGCTGGTGATCCGGATGCTGCTGTTCCTGGTGATGGTGTAGCTGGTGCTGCTTGTGATCCGGATGCTGCTGTTCCTGGTGCTGGTGTAGATGGTGCTGGTGTTCCTGGAGCTGCTGGTGATCCGGATGCTGCTGTTCCTGGTGATGGTGTAGCTGGTGCTGCTTGTGATCCGGATGCTGCTGTTCCTGGTGCTGGTGTAGATGGTGCTGGTGTTCCTGGTGCTGGTGTAGCTGGTGCTATTGTACCTGGTGGTGGTGTTGCGGCAGCAGCGTGGGCGGCGGGCGGTGGCAGGGCGGCAGCCAGTTGTCGTGTGGCTCGAACTTGCTCGCGATCATGCGCGCGCCCAGTCGCCGGCACCGACCCAGCCGGTACAGGTTCAGGTTCGACACCTATGCACACAATATTACATTTAGGCCACAATTGTTTACTAACTAAACCCTAAACCAGTAGATTTAGTCTATTTAGTAGAGAAGAAAATAACTGACAAGAAACTCAGCTCGTATTCTTTTCAAATAAATGTTGTACTTGTTTACAATAATACAGATTCATTTTTAAATTCAAATTTGGAATTCAAACATGAACACGGATACGACGTCATCACGTGCCGCGTTGTACATGTTTACATCAATGCAGATCATTTTTAAATTCAAATTTGGAATGTAAACATGAACACGGATACGACGTCATCACGTGCCGCGTTGTACATGTTTACATCAATGCAGATCATTTTTAAATTCAAATTTGGAATGTTCATTCATGAATGAATGAACAAATAAATTCATGTTTGAACGAATGAACATGAACACGGATATGACGTCATAATGAGACGCTGACTGTTACGTTTCATTCCGGAGAACTAAGGTGGACCTACCTGCTTACTCCTCATGTGGCTGAGTTTCCCCTCGTGGACGGTGGGGTGGGCGCAGTACAGGTAGGCTGTGATGGCGAACTTCAGGAAGCTGTCTCCGATGGTCTCCAGACGTTCCAGGTTGATACCGTCATTGGCATTGGACATCGTCAGGGCCTGTGGACCAGAACAGCCAGTTTACATCTTCAAATCAATTACAATAGAATAGAAATAATAAATATCCCTGGACAATTAACACAGCGCCATCTAGTCCCAAGTTAAGCTAACTAAAGCTTGTGTTATGGTTACTAGATAACTGATATAAATACATAGATTTTTTTTCCTAAATACATACATAATATACATAGGAAACCGATAGAAACAATCATAGTCATAAATACAAATGTGTGCAGCGTGAGAGGAATCAAACCCGCGACCATCGAAAGTACAGCGGTGTACTAAACCGCTAGACCTCCGAGGCCGTCAGATTATTATTATTAGATATAGAGAAACTAACCTGCAAAATAACACTAGGGCTCGGCCCCGGATGACCTTCTAACTTCGGCTGATAATCAAAATCAAACTCCTTCTCATTCTGCACCTTCACGTCTTCATAATAAGGTACAAAATCCTTTGTAGTCTCCCATTTACTAACTTTATCTATATAATTTTCTTTAGCATTAAAACCAATATTCAAAACCTTCTCGTTGACGTAACCCTCTGCGTCTATATCCACATCGACCATAGAGAAACATTTCAACTTTTTAATCTCATCCATAGACGAACTTTTTTTTAATTCCGACAGCAGCAACCGTTTGTTCCTTTCTATCGTTTCAATATCAATTTTTCCGTTGGAAAACTCGATATTATTATAAGGGAACATTTCTAGAAGTTTCGAGGCATCCTTTTGTTCGGGACTGATGGATTTTTGTGTATTATTTGGCAGTATACTGTCTATACGCTTGTCATCTTTGATGAGGTAACCTCTTGCGACTATGTTATTCTCGTGTGATACGACCGATTTATAGAACTTCTCTATATACTGTGAAGAGGAAAATATTAAATTACATATTTAAGCAGAGTAATAATATTAATTAGAGACATAGTTAATTTTAAACTTTCGTGTTTAATATACAACATTATATAAATTATTAACCAGGTCTTAACAAACTGAAACGTCGAGAGAGGTAAATACCTTTATTTGCCATAAAATTATTCGTGTTAAGACCCGGTTAATAATTTAAATAATGTTTAATTAGAGACATGTGAGCAAGGTGGACTTATATCTAAAAGACCCTCAGATCCTCCGCCCAATTCAAACGGGAATCCAAAATTACGACGGCTTGAGCCGAGGTTCGAACCCCGGTGCCTTCAGACCAAACTCGTATTCGTCAGGCGGGAGATGTCTTGAGAAGTTCCATAAGTCCATAAGTGAAAATCTCGTGCATGAACTATTGCATTATGATAGTTGTTCGTGCGAACACTGCTAGCGAAAGCGAAGTGACCTTGAACGACCGGGCACGGCTAAGATTCCGATCAATCTCCGTCCAATTCAGATGGGGATCGATATTACGACAGCCTGAGCCGAGGATCGAACCCCTAGCGGTGTCCTCGGCCTAAAGTCGTCAGGCGGAAGTTGTTCTTCAGCCGCTCCATAAGTTATTCCTAAGCTTTGGAGTACCATCTGCACTCGCCCCCTATCGTCCGGTGATGCTGTAAAGGTCAGTTGCGGCCAACAGCATTAGAATTGTTTGAAAAAAAAAGAGATCTCTTCCAGCCACTCCATCACTGTGTGGCATATCCACTTTTGAGTAGATAGGACTAGAGCTACTACAGTTGAAAGACCTAAATCTAACAATAATTATTTTAAATACATGAACAGCTTCACGTAGAATACAGAATACAAACATACAAATCGCTACCAGTGCTACCAGCCACACCTACAAATAACTCGAAATTTATTTTAGAAACCAGTTACTAACATAAATTCACAAAAATCCACAAATTACACACATCACACAATTCGTCACAAGTCACACAACTCGCCACAAGTCACACAACTCGCCACCAATGTCATAACTCGCTCACTACTAAACTCGCAACTATCTCCACAACCTCAACGCAACTCGCCACGAATCTCGCAACCCTTCATTATTCATATAAATCGAAACCAATGACATAACTCGGTTTAAGTCTGTCGGTCAGGACGGGTTGTCCTCAATCACACAACTCTTCACTAATGTCATAACTAGCTAACAAAGTCACAACTCACCACGAATCTCACAATTAACCAACAACGCAACTTCAAACGCATCTCGCCTCGAGTCTCAACCCGTCACACAAATCATCACCAATCACACAACTCGCCACTAATATCACAACTCCTCAACAAAGTCACAATTAACCACCAAATGCAATCGCAACCCGCCGTTATTCACACCACTCGCCATTATCGTCACGACTCGCCACCATCGTCACAACTCGTCAGCATTATCACAACTCGCCACTACCGTCACAACTCGCCACCATCGTCACAATACGTCACATCATCACAACTGGCCACTAACCTCCTTGGGCGCGTTCCCTGTGCGTACTAGTGCGTCATGCACGGCGCGGTCGGCCGCGTCATCCTCGGCGTCGGGTAGCGGCGCGGGATTCACTTTCTTTCGTTCCACATCAAACGCTTCGGCCTCGTGGGGCGTTTTGTACTCTATCCGGAAGCTCATAGGGCCTAAAATTGTATAACATTAATATCAATCTATATGAATGTTATAAAGTAAAAGTTACTTAATGGATTTATATAATTTTATTTAATTCCGCTAGCATTAGCATGTGTGAGATCACAAATATTCAGTGCGGGAACCTGACCACCGCTACTGAAAGCGTTACGACTTTCTCTAATGGCGATCAAATTCCGACCGGTGAGTCTACACCCATACTGCGACAACCGTTATTGAGTCTACACCCATACTGCGACAACCGTTATTGAGTCTACACCCATACTGCGACAACCGTTATTGAGTCTACACCCATACTGCGACAACCGTTATTGAGTCTACACCCACACTGCGACAACCGTTATTGAGTCTACACCCATCCTGCGACAACCGTTATTGAGTCTACACCCATACTGCGACAACCGTTATTGAGTCTACACCCATACTGCGACAATCGTTATTGAGTCTACACCCATACTGCGACAACCGTTATTGAGTCTACACCCATACTGCGACAACCGTTATTGAGTCTACACCCATACTGCGACAACCGTTATTGAGTCTACACCCATACTGCGACAACCTACACCCATACTGCGACAACCGTTATTGAGTCTACACCCATACTGCGACAACCGTTATTGAGTCTACACCCATACTGCGACAACCGTTATTGAGTCTACACCCATACTGCGACAACCGTTATTGAGTCTACACCCATACTGCGACAACCGTTATTGAGTCTACACCCATATTGCGACACGTATTTCGCCTCAGAACGAGGTATCATCATGCATTGAACAGAGCTCGTATATACTTTGGAAGCTTAGTATTGTCTGTTCGTTGACCAGGCTACGAATGTAAAAATAGTTAGAGAAATTGCTGTTTGGAAAGTGCTTGAAAAGTCATACACTTTTCATTCCAGAAAATATTTAGGTAAGTCAGGACTACTGTATATTTCAAACTATGACTCATGACTTGCACCCGCAACCATCGCAAGTAAAGCCGTGTGCTAAACCACTAGACCATCGAGGCCGTCAAAAGTGAGTGTCATTCTAAAACATCACGTGATTAATAGACGGCCAATAACTATATAATTCTATACAAACCGTTCTCGAGTATGACGAATACTTACTAAGATTCGACATAAAGCCATCGTTGTCATCGCTCATATCAGAATCCGTATCGTCCGTGTCGAATTCACTGTAAAAAATTGGTTTCAATTAATATTAGTAAGACTATAGGAATTAATGCAGTATGCTTATTTATACATAGTATAAAATAAAGTCGCTGTCGCTGTCTGTCCGTCCTTATGTATGCTTAAATCTTTAAAACTACGCAACGGATTTTGAAGTGGGTTTTTTTAATAGATAGAGTGATTCTAGAGGACGGTTTATATATATACTTGCTTTTGCCCGCGGCTTCGCTCGCGTTAATTTATCCTCTTAGCGATGGAATTCATAAAAATCCTTTCTTAGGGGATGCCTACGTCATAGTAGCTTTATGCATGCAAAGTCTCAGCCCGATCGGTTTGAAATTGACAAAGTTTCATACAAACTTTCATCCTATCATTTATTTTATCCCCTTGAGGGTAGAATTAATCAAAATCCTTTCTTAGCGGATACCTACGTCATAACATCTACCTGCATGCCAAATTTCAGCCCGATCCGTCCAGTGGTTTGGGCTGTGCGTTGATAGATCACTATGTCAGTCACTTTTGAGTTATATATATTTAGATAATACATGTACACTCGTGCGAATCCGGGGCGAGTAGCAAGTAATATATAAATATGTTAGACAAAAAGGCAGCCTTATCGCTTATTACATGTTATCAAGCGTTACCTGGACATATAGGAGCAGTCGCTGTCCGCTAGAGTGTGGGGGTGAGTAGGATTGAACTGCCTCTTGGTTCTCTCAGACCAGTCCACGCCACCTACAATATAAATCTAATTAAGAAAAACAATCTCTCGACATAACAAGTTGGTTATATTACTTGGTGAATTAGAAAATTAGTTAATAATAGAAGAGAAATAGAATCATATTCAAATAAACTTAATTTTAGTTCTTTTGAACAATCATAACGTTTTTTTAATCTACCGACTGATGATGGACGACTTAGGCTTTAAAGCCGGCTACCGCAAGGGAAACCCCAAGTAGCGCCCGTGACTGTGTTTAAAGAGCTCTTTTAGAATGCATTAACACTCGCCTTCACTACTTGCAGCTTCCCCCCAGGCCCAACTAAGACCGGGATGAACCTATTCCTAATACAATTCACTTTAGTATCTAAAACACTATCTGTGCTCGTCGACTGAATGCCGCGGCTCATCCAACCAAAGAGGATTATTCAACTACCGACCTCCGTATTTATAGACCAAAGTCAGTGTAGTAGGTTGGTCTATAAATACTAGATGGCGCTATTTACAATATTCGTAATAATCCTTACATTGGGTACTTCATTAGTACTAAAAACAAACTACCTTCTTTTAATATATTTTTAAATATCGGAATTTTTCTACAACAGTGATGTGAATTTAACATTTGTAAGTTCACATTTTACAAGTCGAAACGTGTGAATACAAACTACCAACCAGCACTAATTTATTTGGGTCAAATATAAAAACACAATAAGATTAAATCAGTCGTAGTGATAGGAGCAGACCAGTCCCTACAAGCAGCACTCGTTCACGAGTATGACGGAGGAGCCAGCCAACACTGATAAGAATACTATAAGAAGAGAAATAAGAATAATATATATATATATATATGTGTCTATGTATTTACATCAGTTGTCTAGTACCCATAACACAAGCTGTGCTTAGCTTGGGACTAGATGGCGCTGTGTTAATTGTTCTAAGCTATAATTATATAGACGACGGTTAGCACTTATCATCAAGCTGGCCGGGAGCCTGATAGCCATTAGTTACATATAAAGAACTTACCAGAAGCGGATGTGCACAGCGTCAGGTTGGAAGGTAACGGTTCAAGGAATTCGTTGTACTCGGTTGTTTGTATGTTGGATGCCATCTCGTTACTCCAAGTGCCAATCTCGAACGTCTAAAACAAACATACAAATATATATATATGTACATATATATGTACAAAACTAATAAACGCTGCAGATTGGTGTTCCTAAGTATCGTTTAGGGGCTGTTCAAGTATTACGTAAGCAGATTTATCACAATTATTTACCCCCCATCCCCCGTTGTCAGCAAAAGTAAGCAAAGCTCTTACCCCTCCACCCATGCTTACGTAACACCAATTAACACTACTGATATGTTATATAATTCATTTTTAAAAAGAATGACATCTCTCAATTAATGTATTATATATTTTTTTAGCAAAGACAATGTGAGGGTTGCCATTCGTGTAAAAAAGTAAATTACGACCGATGACGTAATCATCATACAGACTCCCCCACCCACATGTCATCCAAAATAAGCAAAGAAAAGACCCCCCCCCCCCCAATAGTGCTTACGTAATACTTGAACGGCCCCTTAGAAAAAGAATAGAATAGAATAGAAAATCATTTATTCAAATAAACTTACATTGAAGCACTTTTGAATAGTCATTACATTTTTTAATCTACCGCTCATTCGGAAAGCTGTCTCATCACAAGAAGAACGAGCAAGAAACTTGCGTGTTGCTCTTTTAAATAATTTTATTATTACTTTACATTTTTAAGTTTAAGTGTGTGAATACAAACCACCAATTAACACTAATTCAAACTAATGGTTCTTATATGGGAATGGGCATAAAAATGTAAAACCATTTTTAAAAAGAATTTTTTTAACACCTACTGAGTTGTCAGAATGAACTATAACTGTTGAGTCTTGAATAAAGTGTATTTATATTTACATATATATATATATATATATATGTAAATGAAAGTCATTGACATTCATTATTTGAATTTGGCGCGCATATGTAGGTGAATTAAATTTAAACGTCAGAATGACGTACGTCATTTGTCGAGGAAGTTTCTAGATGTTTCTAACAGTTTTTTTGCTGAATAATACGTGTATAATTGTTTATAATTTGAGTTGATAATTTTGTGAAGTAATAGCGTTAAATGTTGTTTCTCTTTTCAGAGCAACACAATTAAGTATATTATTTCACATAAAAAAGGTGTTTGAAAAATACATAACACATTATATATATACATTACAAACAGACACGCCAATTATATATATATGTATATGTTAGTCTATAAGGTATTTATAATATGGACCTAGTCGCCTGAAATAGATCTATACATATAAATAAACTTGGAGTATCTGTTTGTAATATTGAAATAACCGTTTTTTACCATATGCATACGATTATAAATACAGTACATTTTTATCTGTCTGTTTGTTCCGGCTAATCTCTGAAAAGGTTGGACCGATTTTGACGGGACTTTTTTTGATAGGTAGCTGATATAATAAGGAGTAACTTAGGCTACTTTTATTTTAGAAAAATAAATTCCATGCGGACGAAGTCGCGGGAGCAGCTAGTAAATAACAATAATAATAATTGTGAGGTGATAACCATCGAGCTACGGGTTTATTACTCACATTCTCAGCATCCTCCTTCTCTTGTAAAATATCATTTATTGTCTTCTCTTCTGCGCTGGATTCTTCTTTACTATCTTCTATTGCGCTGAAATTATATAATAGAAGAATTAATACAGCGCCATTTAGTCCCACGATAAGTAGACCTTGTGTTATGGGTACTAGACAACTGACATAAATATTTATATATATATAGGTATATACTAGCTGACAAGGCAAACGTTGTTTTGCCTTAAAATAAAAAAAAAAAAACAATTAAAATCTGAATTGTCAGAACTTCATAATAAATAGGTGTAGTGCCCCTAACATTTAGGGGAATGAAAAATAGATGTTGGCCGATTCTCAGACCTACTCAATACGCTCACAAAATTTCATGAGAATCGGTCAAGCCGTTTCGGGGGAGTATGGGAACGAAAACTGTGACACGAGAATTTTATATAAGATATATTTGTAAATATATACCTATATAGAAAACACCCAGCCTAATACAAACAAACATACTCATGAATATACTATAAATGTTTGTACAGTGCGAGGAATCGAATCGCTGATATAAGCGGTGTGATAAAACACTACACCACCGAGGCTGTCAATTGAAATTATAATGATTGGAATATAATTCCATGAATATAATAACGAAAAAATACATATATATTTACTATAACGAATGAAGTAAGCCGAGTAGAACGGAATATAAATATTTATGGCAAAAAAGCATATAACATATACAATTGTAAAACAATGAAATTAGTTTGCGATTTTAATATTGCAAATTACAATGAAATTAGTTTAAGATTTTAATGTTGCAAATAACAATGAAATTAGTTGAAGATTTTAATATTGCAAATAACAATGAAATTAGGTAATGATTTTAATATTGCAAATAACAATGAAATTAGTTTAAGATTTTAATATTGCAAATAACAATGAAATTAGTTTAAGATTTTAATATTGCAAATAACAATGAAATTAGTTTAAGATTTTAATATTGCAAATTACAATGAAATTAGGTAATGATTTTAATATTGCAAATTACAATGAAATTAGTTTAAGATTTTAATATTGCAAATAACAATGAAATTAGTTTAAGATTTTAATATTGCAAATTACAATGAAATTAGTTTATGATTTTAATATTGCAAATAACAATGAAATTAGTTTAAGATTTTAATATTGCAAATAACAATGAAATTAGTTTAAGATTTTAATATTGCAAATAACAATGAAATTAGTTTAAGATTTTAATATTGCAAATAACAATGAAATTAGTTTGAAAACTTTAATATTGCAAATTACAATGAAATTAGTTTAAGATTTTAATATTGCAAATAACAATGAAATTAGGTAATGATTTTAATATTGCAAATAACAATGAAATTAGTTTAAGATTTTAATATTGTAAATAACAATGAAATTAGTTTAAGATTTTAATATTGCAAATAACAATGAAATTAGTTTAAGATTTTAATATTGCAAATAACAATGAAATTAGGTAATGATTTTAATATTGCAAATAACAATGAAATTAGTTTAAGATTTTAATATTGTAAATAACAATGAAATTAGTTTAAGATTTTAATATTGCAAATAACAATGAAATTAGTTTGAAAACTTTAATATTGCAAATTACAATGAAATTAGTTTAAGATTTTAATATTGCAAATAACAATGAAATTAGTTTAAGATTTTAATATTGCAAATAACAATGAAATTAGTTTAAGATTTTAATATTGCAAATTACAATGAAATTAGTTTATGATTTTAATATTGCAAATAACAATGAAATTAGTTTACGATTTTAATATTGCAAATAACAATGAAATTAGTTAAAATCAGATAACAATGAAATAAAAGTACTTACTTGGAATCCTCTGTGTTCGATTCCTTCCCATCTGTATCTTCTTCGTCCCTCTTCTTTTCACTTCTTTCCGAGTCTGCATTGAGAACCTGTTATAAAATATATATAAAATTTAGCTCTCAACCTTACCATAAGAAGAACTTACGTATTGATCTTTTAAATAAGCGTTTTTCGGAATTACTTTGTTAAGAATTTTATGTAAATACATAATGCCAAATAGCAAAACTTGACATAAATAAATACAAAGTTACTTATGAATGTGGATCACATCATCACCATCTGCTTCTTCCTTATCCCATTTATTTGTGGTCGTCATAATGTTTTCTCTTCTATTCATCCCTGTTCGCAGTCATCTCGTTATTTACTTCCTTTCTTACCATATCATCTTTCACACAGTCCATCCATCTCTTTTTCGGCCTATTTCTGTTCTTATAACCATTCATATTCATATGTAACATCTTCCTTAAAATATTATCCTCATTCTTACGCATTACATACCAATCCCTATAAGCACGATTCGGAGTCCCCCCCGCCCCCGGTTTTTTTTTCTTTTTTTTTTTATAACACAGAGGACAAACGAGCATGCGGCTCACCTGATGGTAAGTGATTATAATTAATGAATGCCCCCTTTGACGATTAACTATGCAGAAAATGTTATACCTCAGCAAGACTCCAGCCAAAATCCAACGGCGGCCACTGGAAGCCTGGGTAGTCGGTGTCGTCAATCTTGGGTATACCGAGACCGACATCGATGGCCACAGCGCGTCTGATCTCGTCTGCTATTAGCAGAGCATTGATCCTGGAAGCCGGATTAGAAATAGAAATAGAAATAATCTTTATTTAAATTTCAACTTCTTGCTGCGTGATCCTACACTGACTACGGCAATATATCTGTCTAACCCTAGATAACACTAGGCTATAAACTAGGCTCTAGAATACCACAGCGCCATCTGGTTTTAAATAAATACAACAACCGTTGATGACGGGGGAAATGAGATTGTTAGTAATGTGGACTAATGAACACATTACTAGAAATGTACCATGTAAGGTTGACCTCCACGCAGTTCCCCCTGGAAACCATCGTGATAAATTCTTGGTGAATTTGCCGCAATGGTCTAACTGACCTGACCTCATGTTCATCTTATCATCCTCCACTGTTGCCCCTCTATCGTAAACCGTTAGCGCAGGCGGGTGCACCATTCCATTATCATCCATAAAAAAAACACTAACAAGGAGTCGTCGCATCCACACAATTCCTTACAATAAAAAGAAATAATCTGAAGAATGATTCAATCTTGTGTATTTAAGAGTTTCTCCCTTCGGTCAGATCAGTTAGCCCACTAACTGATCTGACCTCATACTCATCTTATCATCCTCCACTTGTGCCGCGCCAGCGTAAACCGTTAGCGCAGGCTGGCGGACCATTCCATTATCATCCACAAAAAAAAACAACCGTTGATGTTGGATAGTTGAACTTATTTTTTTTCGAATTATTCTAATGCTGTCGGCCGGAGCTGGCCTTCGCAGTTACACTGGACGATAGGGGCGAGTGCAGATGGCACTCCAAACCAAGGGAAGGACTTATCGAGAGCTTGAAGGACAACTCTTGCTCGGCAGATACGAGTTTAGTCTGAGGGCACCGCTAGGAATTCGAACCTCGGTTCGGGCCGTCACAATTCTGGTCCCCGATTGAGTTGTATGGGGGATCTATTAGAAGGGAATTATACTGTACATGAAGGACGTTGTATGACAGTATGAAATAAATTACCACATCCACTTTTTTTATTGAGGTTTTTAGGCTATTGTCAGGTGTTAAGACCTGTAGCACTGCGTCCTACATAGATCTATTGTGCTCGCTCTTTTTCAGAGCTTGCCTCCTAGACCCGTCAGGGACAAGAATTGAAGGATATTCTTAGGAGCGATGGTTTTTATCTCCTTAGGATAGAGTGTGTACTTCCTAAAGGAGATATTGCGTTTATGCTTGAGTTGCCTACAATCGATATAAGATGTGTAGTGGCGTTTTCTCTTCTGTGTCATCCACTTTTTTTTTTTTTTCACGTCAGGAAAATCCATCATGGATAACCATCCGCTTAGGGACGAATGGATACTGCCGGACTCCTACCTGCTGTCATCCACTTACCTGTACAGAATGCAAGGTAATGCAACAGTGGCGAACCACAGTGGCGCAGCGAAGGGGTGAACCCGACACAACTCGGGTACTAGGATCTGTTTCTGGTCCAACCTGTCTCGCTTGGCTCGCCTCGTGCGTTCAGACGACACGGGCAGCGCAACTCCTTTCCTATTCACGTATCTGTTGAAAAAAAGTACAAACTTTGTACAAAATGGTCAACTGCTGTCGAAACAGAGGTATCTTTCCTCTAAATAGAACGAAAATCGTAATTATTAGAGAAAGTGTATATGTGTAGATTATTTTATATACTGTTTTCAATTTAACACGGTCACTGTTTATACGTATAATTAGGAAAAATCACAGGATCTTAACACTTACGTAAAATACTTACGGATGGTGATCAGGCGATCAGAAGTGTATTAACTGTAGTGTGAAGATACTGTGAGTATTGTTTGCCGAGATGAATATCGAGCGAGTTTCAATAGTAGCAACAAACGAAGACTTTTGAAAGTACTACTAATATAAGAATTTATTTACCATCTGCTCTGGAGTCTTCACGGGTAGACTCATGGCTGTTGAAACACTGTTGTAATATCTGGAGCTTATCTGTTTGTCGCAATCACAGGGCTGAATTTATCGGAGTCATGGACTCGTAATCGTCGGAGTCACAGAGCTATATTAATCGGAGTCATAGGATCGAGGTTCAGGCTGATGTTACACCAGCGTCGGATGGTTACCACGACAAAATAATTAGAAATGTCTCCTGACCTGGGCGTGAGGAGGTTGAGCCTGGCGCTGGTGTGGTCGACGTCCAGCAGTGGCTGGTCGCTCTGCGTGAGCGTGACGCCGTACTTGCTGCTGTAGTACTCGCGGAAGCTGGCGTGCGTGGCCGACGGGAACGCGGAGTCGGGGTTCAAGTTCCAGCATATTTCGGCCACTAGAAAAAACTGTTTCAAATAATATATATATGAATAACAATGTTGTGATGAAAGATTTGATGTACTTGTATGTTTACTAGTAAACGATACCTTCTTTTTACTTGGAGAAAATCCCTCAAGATGCTCTGCCTGCCCCGGGGGAGGCAAGAGGGTATAAAGCTATTTAATATTTTCTAAAAACTCCCTGGTCAAACGCCATAAGCCGGAATGGCGGGATCGAAGTGACAGTCTACTGCGACTCTGTCGGCGTTAGCTTACTCTAGAATGGGGCTACATAGAGGCTAAGGTAGAGTGGGGCCACCTAGAGTCTCCCTGGTCAAACGCCATAAACCGGAATGGCGGGATCAAAGTGACAGTCTACTGCGACTCCGACGGCGTTAGCTTACTCAAGAGTGGGGCTACATAGAGGCTAAGGTAGAGTGGAGCCACCTAGAGTCAAGGCTAGAGTGGGATCACCTAGAGGCTAGGCTAGAATGGGGTACATAGAGGTTAGGCTAGACTGAGGCTACATAGAAGTTAGCCTAGAGTGGGGTCACCAGAGTCTAGGCTAGAGTGGGGCCAACTAGATGATAGGATAGAGTAATTTTTTGCCTTCATCAGATTTGTCCCCAGAAAATCTGAAAACTAGAATTTTCAAGCTTCAGGAGCTTTATTTTTATTTTCTGTACGACCATTTTTCAATGAATTAGAGCTTGTGGAAAATAACCCATAAATTTGTTATTTTTTACTGTTCCCTTAATTTTTGCGAGAAGTGTATCTATAGATTAGTTACAAAATTACAATTACTTTAAAAAAAAAGAGAAACAGAAATACCTGAGGCTGGTCCTGATTCCTGTACCACGGCGTCACAACAGCTTCCTTATACTTCTCCGGATCGAACCGAAACACTTCACCGGCCTTCAGCAGCGGGTTCTCCATCTTCTTCGCTCTGTCACTCTCCTTCTCTTTCTCGGTGTTCTTCTCTCTCTCTCTTTCCGCGAAGAATAGATGTTTGTCTATATCGGAGTGGTCCTTTTGCTCTGTGTGTTGGTATATCAGCTCCAGGAAGGACCAGTCGATGTCTATGTGTGCGGTGCCATCTTCTTTTAATGCTGAAATGATTGTTTTCTTTTCTTAATGGTAGTGTGCACAAGTTGATTGCCCATCTGATGGTAAGTGGTAACGGTCATAGCCTATATGACTTATAGCAACAGTTTCTACACGTGTCACCATCCACTTCCTAGAATCCTTATCACACGGCACGTGTAACATTAGAAACGCAGCCGCAGGTAACGACGGCTTAAAGGTGATAAGGGTTCTAGTAAGTGGATGGTGGCACGTGTAGAAACTGTTGCTACAGACTAATACGTGTGTATTAAAAAACTGTGCATAACGCATTTTTTATATGATATATATATAATATACATATGTACATTTTAAATGATTTTTTCCTTTGTTTTAAACACTTTATTTATACAGAAATAAAATAAAATATTATATATACTAGAATAATGAACCTAATACTAAAAACATAACACGGACCAAGGGTCTAGACACCGAAGAGGACAAAATCATATTCGGAGCTGAGACCCCTGCATTTGCATGCTTTAGCTTTTTCACCCGCTGCGAATTATTATTACATACTAGCTCGGAACTCCGTTCCGCCTTAGAATTAGAGGAATTTTGAAGTTTAGATACGCAATACATTTCTGAACGCACCCTGTTTGACAATTTGTATGGGAAAATAAAATTGTTGTTATATATATACTATACTCCATGCAATTTCTTCATATTTTATCACCGTTTAAACCTTCCCTGGACTACCATGCATATTTCAAGACTAAAATTAGCCAAATCGGTTCAGCCGTTCTCGAATTTTAGTGAGTAATTCATTTATATATATATATATATATCATACAGTCCTGGAACCCAGTCCTTAAAACCAACTCACATTTGACTGTGGGCACTATGTAGTAGTTGTTGTGTGTAGCGCCATCGGCTTGTAGCCGCATACCTCGCCGCTGCACACGCAGCACCTCCGCGAACACGAACCTCATGAATCTGCAACGGAAGTTAACACTATTTATTCATTCATTCATTCATAATTTAAGAGCTACGCTCTTGTCGGTGGAGCTCTTGCCACTTTCCGCGATCTTCCATCATGCTCTTTAATTCTTGATATGACACGACTCCCATTTTGTCCTCAGTTTGTTTGATGTAGCTATTCCTTGGTCTTCCCCTCCCCCTCTTTCCTTCTATTTTCCCCTCAATAATAATTTTCATGAAATCATCGCGCCGTATCAAGTGTCCTAACATTTTTCCTTGTCTATTTTGAAAACGTCCGCAATCAGGCCTAATGTAATCGTTTACCATCAGATAGGCCGCATGTTTGCCAGCGTCGAAGTTTAAAAATAAATTAACTTTATATATTAAATTAACAAATAACCGCTGGACCACCAAGAGCCTCGGTGGTCTTGGTTAGCACACTTACTTCCAATGGTCGCGGGTTCGATTCCTCGCACGGTGCAAACATTTGTATTCATGAGTATGATTGTTTATGTCGGTCTGGGTGTTTTCTATGTATAATATGTATGTATTTACGAAAAAATAATATATAAGTTGTCTAGTACCCATAACACAAGCTCTGCTTACCATTGGACCAGATGGACCACCCGCGTTAAATTTCATAATATAAATTTTAATATAAAATATACCCTATGTGTTATTCTAATGTATAAGCTATATTACTGTAAAATTTCATCAAAATCCGTTCAGTAGTTTATGCGTGAAAAAGTAACAAACATACATACTCAGAAACTTTCACGTTTATAATATTAGTAACATATAAAATATAATATATGTGAAAATAATATATAAATAAATAAATATATATGACATAAACTGTGACCTGCGTATGAGTTTAGCTCTTCTTGGGGAGAGCCTAACATCAGCATCTGCAACATGGTCCACCCAAACACGCACTTCTCCAGATCTCGTGTACACCGGGAACGGGGGTATCTGCAGCCTGAAGGGGTGGAGGGGTGTTAAAAATAACTAGTGAACGCCATTTACCCTCAAAACTGAAAAAGGCGACAACGCGAGTAAAAAAAATATGCAAACGATCAATCACGATTGCATGCATTTCTTTTAAACTTTCGTATTTAATATACATTATTTAAATTATTAACCGGGTCTTAACACGAATCATTTTATGGCAAATAAAGGTATTTACCTCTCTCGACGTTTCGACTAGGTTAAAAAAAAAACTGCTGTCAATAAACAAAAAAAAATCGCATGCCTCTTAATTGTTATACTATAATTATTTATATAAAAAAACATCTATTAAAAAGAGCAACACACAAGTTTCTTGCTCATTCTTCTTGTGATGAATCTGCATTCCGAATGAGTGGTAGAATCAAAATATGACTATTCAAAAGTGCTTGTAATGTGTTTATTTGAATAAAGATTATTTCTATTTCTATTTCTATTTCCTTATCCCATTCATTTGTGATGGACGTAATTTGTTTTTCTCTTCCATTCATCTCTGTTCGCAGTCATCTCGTTATTTACTCCCTTTCTTATATCATCTTTCACACTGTCCATCCACCTCTTTTTCGGCCTTCCTCTGCCCTTATAACCATCCACATTCATAAGTAACACCTTTCTTATAATATTATCTTCATTCCTATACATTACATGTCCATACCACGACAGACGATTACTCTTCAACCTCTCCGATACCTGCGCCACTTTCATACTTCCTCTAATGTATTTTTTTAGGGTATATTAAGATTTCTTAAGGGTCGGCAACGCGCATGTGACGCCCCTGGTGTTTCAGGCGTCCATAGACTACGGTAACCGTTTACCATCAGATGGGCCGTATGCTTGTTTGCCACCTATGTGTTATAAAAAAAATGCTTCTTTATCCTATCCATTCTTGGATTCTTTCCACACCACAACTATAAAGTATGCAGCTACAAACTACTGTTATATACCTGTCAGGCCTGTCCCTGGCCATCAGTATGCCTAACGCCTGTGTAGCGTGCTGGGGAGCGTGCAGACGGCGACCACGTGTGTTGTACCTCTCTGGCAGCCCGCACCATAGACGAGACACTATGGCGTATAACATGTTCCTTTTGCCAGCTGAAAGTAAGCAGTAAATTCAAATTCAAAAATCATTTATTCGTTTATGATATTTTAGTCGCTTATATACCTTTAATTTTTTTTGTATTATAATTTCAATTTTCTACCAGTTCAGTATGTGTGAATCTCAACGAGGTGCGTGGATGTATTCGTTGTAAATGATTATAAAACACCAAATTCTAAATCAAATCGTAATTATATATATTTATTAAAATGTCGATATAATTACCGGTGTAACAAAATATTGAAGCACATTAAAAAAAAATGACAATCGTAAATATTAGAACACAGCGTTATATATTTAAATATTATGAAGTAAATAATTAAGAAGGTTTTAATACCTATTTTTGTTGGAGTTTCCAACACAGTATACAGATCCAATTGAGAAGAACTGGCAAGAAACTCAATTGAATTACTTTTTTTTTAAAGCCAGTTTATCTACAATGTATATTTATATAGGTGTCTATGTCTAACATTAAATGAAAATCCCGTGCATGAACAACTATTGCCATGCACGCATGTATATTACGATATAAGTGCATTATGATAGTTGTTCGTGCGAACACTGCTAGCGAAGGCGAAGTGACCTGGAACGACCGGGCACGGCCGAGAATAGCACAAGTACCGATTTACTTTAACTTGCCACTGGTTCCATTCCGATCAATCCCCGTCCAATTCAAACGGGGATCGATATTACGACGGCCTGAGCCGAGGTTCGAACCCCTAGCGGTGTCCGGTGTCAGGCGGGAATTGGCCGTCAGCCGCTCTATAAGTCCGTACTGTGGTTTGGAGTGCAATCTGCACTCTATTGTGAGGGTGACGCAGCTGGAGTCGAGTCACAACTCTTGTTTCAAAGCGTTTGTGGCCCTGGTCCCCACCAACTTGCTGCCCACCTTCATGAATGAGGACTACTGGCCGAAAGGTGTGGTATATCGACGCTACCGTGGCAGATTGCCGTCTTCAGTGCCGTGATCACACATATAATAAATGATTTTCTATTCTATTCTATTCTATTCTATAGGCAATGATTTTTAATTGACATAAGACAATTTCATATGACAAATTACATGTAAAATTACACCGTTAAGCTTCCTAAAATAAATAAATAATAATTATAATTTAAATATTGTTACAGTCATATATAATAATAATAATAATAATCACACATATACCATCTAGTCCCAATTTTTAAATATTATAAAGCTTGTGTTATGTTGGTACTAGATAACTGATACAAATACATAGATATTTTTTTTCGTAAATACATACATATTATACATAGAAAACACCCAGACCGATACAAACAGTCATACACGTGAATACAAATGTTTGTGCCGTGCGAGGAATCGAACCTGCGACCATTGGACGTAAAGCGGTGTGCTGGACCGCTATACCACCGAGGTCGTCTAAATATATGCCAGTTAATACAGTCCACATAAGTTAAATTTATCTCCGAGGAGTAGGATCCTCAACATAGTTTGACGGCCTGGGTGGTCCAGTGGTGTAGAACACCATCTTACTTCCGATGACCGCGGGTTCGTTCTCGCACGGTACAAACATTTGTATTCATGAGTATGATTGTTTACATCGGCCTGTGTGTTTTCTATGTATAATAATGTATGTATTTAGGAAAAAATATATATCTATGTGTTAGGGCACCTATTGTTTGTAATATTCCGCAACTATCGCCTCTCAAGGGCACATCGTTCTTGAGATCGCAGCAAGAACGAGCGCCATCTGTGATGCGCTATCAGAACACTCGGTTGGGTGGCTCTCTTGCGCCCGGTCGGTTCGGTGGGAAGGACGTTTCTTTTTGGTTCGGCCACTTAGAAATTAATTATCAACAAAAGGCCAAAAATTACCATCAATCGACGTGTTCTCGGACCAGTGTGCAGTCCAGGAGGTGCAGACCAGGGACGGTTCTTAAAGGTTAGTGGATATTGCATACTTTTAAGTTTATTTGAACATTATAGATTAATCTCCATTCTTTGCTATTCTATTCTATAGGCAATGATTTGTAATTGATCTAGTACATAATACAAGCTAGTAAATACATACATATTATACATAGAAAACACCCAGACCGAATAACAAATATATTATAATTTAAATATGTTTGTGCATATATAATAATAATAATAATAATATGTTTTTTTTATTGCCGTGCGAGGAATCGAACCTGCGACCATTGGAAGTCAGACGGTATTCTACACCACTGGACCACCGCAACCATCTTATATTAAACACTATAGATTAAATTTAATTAATATAGAATACAAAGACAATACATACATTTCGTTTCACCTGCATCATTTGTGATTTTCGGTTGATATCCGGTTATGTTTGTTGCGTCGATCTCTGAGTCATTGGACAATAAAGCGGTGGCAATCGGAACGCCCACGCTGTCTGTAAATATATGCCAGTTAAGAAAGTCCACATAAGAAAAAATTAATAAAGAGAGTAGGATCCTCAACATAGTTTGACGGCCTGGGTGGTCCAGTGGTGTAGAACACCATCTTACTTCCGATGACCGCGTGTTCGTTCTCGCACGGTACAAACATTTGTATTCATGAGTATGATTGTTTACATCGGCCTGTGTGTTTTCTAAGATAATAATGTATGTATTTAAGAAAAAAATATATCTATGTGTTACTGCACATTGCTTACTGTGTTATCCACTATTGCAGACACATACAATTTCACATCATAATACATTTTGCCCTCATTACATTTCTTTTGGCTGTCTTGCGCGCGGTTCACCGTAATCTAAATATATATAACTTTTTGGTGACTGACGTAGTTAATTATCAACAACAGCCCAAACCACTGGACGGATCTCGGGCTGAAATTTGGCATGCAGGTAGTTGCATGATTTAGGCATCCGTTAAGAAAGGATTTTTTTGTTTAATTCTACCCGCAAGAATAAAATAGCCATGAAACTTTCAATTTTAAACCGAATCGTATACACTTTGTATTTGTATCAGTTATCTAGACATCCCTATAAGAAAGCTTTTATAAATACATACATATTATACATAAATTACATCCGAGCGAGCAAAAGCTAGTACCAAATAAATAAAAATGTTTGTGATGCGGTGATGCACATGAATATGTTTTTATGTTATGTGCATTTTGCGATCTCTGTTAATTGCATCCATCATTCATTACATTCACACATTTCTACAAAGCGCTGGATTTATTTTCGCAACCATATTATATTAAACACTAACATAGCAATGAATATCAGTGTACATACATTTCGTTTCACCTGCATCATTTGTGGTTTTATTGACCATCCGGTCATCAATCAATCATCTATAGATCAACATATCATATCAATAACTGTGGGTTTAAACACAATCGTATAACGCCCACGCTGTTTGTAAAAAAATGTGTATAACACACACACATACACACACACACACACACACACACACACACACACACACACACACACATACAATTTCCGAATTATCCCTCCGAATTACGTGAGAAGTGTCACCCGTCGTCGTGTCCGACTGTTTGCAACCGCGTCGGTACGCACAAGCCACGCTAGCAATTCTCCCACTATGAGAGCATTGCAATTATTAAATTTATTTTTATGTAAGGTCCAAGATGCTGACGTTTATACAGAAGCCTTGTCTTCCATAATTAATAAAATAAGAATATATTTATCATTGTATAGTTTAAGTAGTATAAATAGTTTTAAAATATAAACATGTTGGCAATTAGCTGTAAGTTTATATTGTGTTAATTAAATAAATAAATAAAATAAATAAATAAATAAAATACACACACACACACACACAAGCTAAATTACGAGTAAATATCACGACACAGTGAAACCTGGTGTTCAAAATCTACCCTGTAACATCGTAAGCACAGATTATTATATTAGAGTCCGTTAGTTTGTGTTCCCGCGGTTTCTGTTCCCCTCCCTTACCTACAGTACTGAACCGACTGTACAGCGGCCTTGACGCGCGCGCGCATTGTGTTGTGAATTAAAATAAATTAGAACTGTGAAACCTACTGTGTTAAACCTATTGTGAAAGTGTGTGAAAGCTAGCGAAGATTACATAACACAGAACACAGAACCATACAGGTACGTGACTGATGCTTCCACTTTTAAAATAAAAGTAAATTCCCTATCATTTTGGTAGCAGAGCGTAGTTTCCCAAACACCTGGTTAATTGGGATCTCAAGGGACCAAGAATTATGTACCAACTAGGTAACCCGCGCGACCTCTCCTGCATCACACTTATCATTATATATCGCCCAATTTACACAATATCTTTTAAATTACAGGCATGTATTATTCTAATGTATGAGCTATGTTACTGTAAAGTTTCATCAAAATCCGTTCAGTAGTTTTTGCGTGAAAGAGTAACAAACATCCATACATACTAACAAACTTTCGCATTTATAAATTTTATAATATTAGTAAGATGTTAGTCCGTAAGATATATTCAAATTCAAAATATCTATATTCATGTAGGTCTATTACAGACTCTTATGATATGTCAAATCTACCGTCAGTTCGTATTTTTTTTATTTTAGAAAAATAAAGTTAAATTCCACGCGGACGAAGTCGCGTGTACAGCTAGTATAATACATAATGAAAGTGATAACACAAATTCATAAAAAAAATATGTTATTACATTAATTCTTACCTTTTTATAATAATACTGCCTGCGTTTTGTTGTTCCCGGTCGGGCCAAGTCGTTAGGGTCCCCCAGGTCCCCATTAAGACACCCAACAGTGGACTCCAGTTCGGCCGCTCTGAAATTTTCCTTGCCTGAAAAAAAAATAGCCAAGGAATCAAAAAAACTGTGTGACATATAAATGGCGTGTAACCAATTTTTATGAAGACTATTTCCAAATGTTTACTTTGATGAGCACAAAAACTAAAGTATTTGGTATAAAACAATACAGTGTGACAGAGAACAGATACAAAGAAATCTATTGTTTAGCTCGCCCACTATCCATTAAGAGAGTACGGATATTTAATGAAAAAGGAGAATTCAAAAAGTCGACGACCTGTGATAGAATCGAGGGAACTATTTAAGATTTAAAAATCAACAAATTTGATGTGACCAGAACATAAATGACGTGGATATTGTCTGCGGTTGTGTGCATAAAAGCAATAAATAATAATAATAATAATAATTTATTGTCCTACATGGTAATTTTGATCTTACAATATAATATAAGTACTGCATACAGCACCCCGTTAATATGAAAATGATATCATTTCAATATGTCATTAAATTTCATTAAAACATTATAATTACATAATATATTCACAGTTTAAACGTCAATCAATATTATTAAAACTATAATAGATGTTGGCAATTATTTGATATATAAGAATATTCCGATTAGTTTGCAATAATAGGGTTCATGTCACAAAAAAACCAAAAATTCAGATAAAAAAAAAACTTTGTCTGAATCACACTTAATTGACATTTCGCCCAATTTACATAATATATTTTTAAATTATAGCCTATGTGTTATTCTGATATATAAGCTATATTACTGCTCACAAACTTTCGCGTTTATAATTTTAGTCAGGTTAGTTATACTAGAACGCGTATCTAAAGCTGCACTAGCAGGCTCCTACCGCATGTGTGGGCAGGGAGATAAATACGAGAGACGAAGGTGAGTTTTTTTTTATAACACAGGGGATTTGCAAGTACGTTGTCGGCCTTTTAAATGAAATGAAATGAAATGAAATGAATTGAAATGAAATGAAACGAAACGAAACGAAACGAAACGAAATTAAATGAAATGAAATGAAATAAAATGAAATAAAATGAAATGAAATGAAATGAAATGAAATGAAATGAAATGAAATGAAATGAAATGAAATGAAATGAAATGAAATGAAATGAAATGAAATGAAATGAAATGAAATGAAATGAAATTAAATTAAATGAAATGAAATGAAATGAAATGAAATTAAATTAAATAATTTATTTGCGAAATATTGGTACAGTACTATAATTAATACGATGCCACATGAAATCCATTGATCAGCAATATTTACCATACAGGCATGCAAATTACGTGAAGGCGCTTGTGCCACTCAAATATTCTTGGACACTGTAAAAATTACCAATTATTTAAAAGGAATAAGCTATTTTCTTGAAGGTTTCAATATCGTATCGGTTCGGAAATACTACTGCTGGAAGGTGATTCCACAATGTGGTTGTTGTGCGTGGCAAAAAGGAGTATTGACGTACATTAGCCAGGAGCTCCTTAAACCTACACAAGTCCCGGGAACTGGGAGGAGTTTGTCTCTGGCACACCATAGACCCGACACCCATGCCGTGAAACCATAAAATGCTAAGTTTATCTCATAATGTCCTTACACATAAGATTGAAAAAGATTCTCAAACACACTTATTGTTTAAATTTATAATATTAGCTAGATTCTTTATTTATTTGTTCATAAGAATAATTATTGTGTCGATTGATTTTAGAAATATGAAAGCGTAGCGGTTTTTGTATTAATTGCCGCATGCATTCTTATGTAAAATGTGAATACTATAACTATCAGATGGCAATTGTGAGTAGCTTTGACGTGGTCTAGTGTTTTGAGTAGTCATGCTCACTAAAATGTCCAGACTTGTGGCGGCGTGGTGGGCCGGGTCATTGGGCACCCTAAAATATGGTCGAGCGCAGTGGTGGCTGGCTCATCCGACATACTCGTGAACGGGTGCTGCTTGTAGGGACTGGTCTGCTCTAATCACTATGACTGATTTCCTCTTATTAATTGTTTAACCAGTTGGTTATGTATTCAATATTTTTTCTTTTTGAGTATTTAATTGAATTAGTGCTAATTGGTGGTTTGTATTCACACACTTAAACTTAAAAATGTAAAGTAATAATAAAATTATTTAAAAGAGCAACACGCAAGTTTCTGCTCGTTCTTCTTGTGATGAGACAGCATTCCGAACGAGCGGTAGATTAAAAAAAATGTAATGACTATTCAAAAGTGCTTCAATGTAAGTTTATTTGAATAAATGATTTTCTATTCTATTGTGTCGAATTTCAAAATACAAAATTAAATCTAAATCTAAAATAACAATATCAAAATAATAATACCAATAACAATAAAATCAATAATAGTAATACCAATAATAATTTCCAAATTGAGCTACAGAAACGGTCATTCATCAAAAAATTCGTCTACGGAGTAAAATCATTTTTTTAATAAACATTTGTTAAGCTTAATTTTGAAATTGTTTTATAAATTGCATCTTTTAAATCACTAGGCAATCTATTAAATAGTTTTACAGACTGATAACGTGCACTGTTTAACAACCTCTAGTCTAGGTACTATTTTGGTTATATCTTTTCTTCTTGTGCATTCTCTCTGCTTTTTCTCTTCTGCGATTCTCTTACCAATGAGCTTGTTATCCAGATTACCGGACTTGTGTAATATCGGGCTTATCTAATATCCGCTCGGAATGCGGTGCTAGACGTTGTATACAATTTAATCTTTCGAAAAACCTCGGTGGTCTAGCGGTCTAGCACACCGCTTTACGTCCGATGGTCGCGGGTTCGATTCCTCGCACGGCACAAACATTTGTATTCATGAGTATGATTGTTTGTATCGGTCTGAGTGTTTTCTATATATAATAAGTATGTATTTACGAAAAAAAAATATCTATGTACTTGTATCAGTTATCTAGTACCCCTAACACAAGCTTTAGCTAGCTGAACTTGGGTCTAGATGGCGCTGTGTGAATTGTCCTGAGATTATTATTATTGTTTTAATTTAGTGTCTCAATACTGGGAGAAATAGTTTTAAATGTGACACAATAGCATTCACGACTCCTCCCAATCCTTGTCACAAAATGTCACACTTCGTCCAACACAAACTTATTGTTACATATCAATATTAGCTAGATTTCCTCACCTATGGGCATAAGTTGGTTATCCAGTTCACCGGACTTGTGTAATATCCGGCACGCTTGGAGTGCAACCATACGGCGAGCCAGCACCCTAGTCGGCATCGGGTGACCCTGGAAAGTGTTTTAAAGTTTTTCACTAATTCATTTCAATTTAAAAATGTAAAATTACAACTAATTATTTAAAAGAGCAACACGCTTTCTCATTCCTCTTACAAAGAGAAAGCTTTTCAAATGAGCGGTAGATTAAAAAAAAAAGTGATGACTATACAAGAGTCTAGATAGGCGCTCATACACATGAATACAAATGTTTGTACTGTATGAGGAATCAAATGAGGATCGACCATCGGAAATCACTTTGTTCCCTTAACTATACTCTTAAAGTAAGTCTGGCCCATACAAATAAACTGTATTATATTAAAAGTAATAGTCAGCCTGATTCTTGGCCTTCAGCCGCTCCATAAGTCCTTTGGTTTGGAGTGCCATCTGCACTCGCCCCCTATCGTCCGGTGAAGCTGTAAAGGCCAGCTGCGGCCAACAGCATTAGAGTTCGATAAAAAGATCTTAATCCGCACGGAACATAACTTTTTTTAAATTAAAATAAATATTTTTCTAAAATATAAGTAGTCTAAATTATTCCTTATTACAGTATCAATGAGTGAAGGTCATGTGATTACGAGTGCGAAGTTTCATCCCCTATCCAATTCAAACGAGGATTGGAATTACGACGGCCTGCGCCGCGGTTCCAAACCCTAGCGCTGCCCTCAGACTAAACACGTATCTACCGAGCAAGAGTTCTCCTTTAGCCGCTCCATAAGTCCTTCCTTTGGTTTGGAGTGCCATCTGCACTCGTCCCCTATCGTCCAGTAAAGCTGTAAAGGCCAGCTGCGGCCAACAGTATTAGAATATTTCGTTATAAAACAAAATAAAGTACTTACAACAATATTATATTTAACAGGGCAGTTGAGCGGCAAACGAAGTGTGCATATATATGCTGGACTGGTCTCCCCAGTACCCTGGACTGGAAGGTGCACCTGTTCTATCCACCACTGGGGCGCTAGTCTTGTAAATGTATCTGACGGTAGTTTCGCGCAATACCTAAAACACAACAGTTCAACCTTAATATATACTTGAACCCAGATTCGTTAGCGTACCTTTGACGGTTACCACATACCATCAGGTAGGTCAGTTTGTTTACCATTTACATGTGTATATAAAAAAAGAATGTAAACTTACCTATTAATAAGAGGTATTGCTGTGCTAAGATCAACACTGGCAACATCAATTTTAGCTTCATTCTCTTTCTTACTCTCACACACATTTTCAACTCTATTACCCGTATTTATAGAATTGCTATTAGAACACTCATTTCCAGTATTAATATCAACTTCTGAAGGCCTATCTAAATTTATTACATCACTATTAGCTACCATTTCTACTTTAATATCACTTTGGTTGTCAGCTGATACATTATCTCCTATCATTAGTGTTTTAATTAATTTCGTTTCTATATTATCATTATTAACTAAAATATTGCAATTATTCTGTATATTTTCTAAATTATTGCACATTTGCTCTTCAAGATCATTAGTTTTGATATAAATTTGATCTACTGCATTAGATTTATTCGTTTCTTCGTTATTACGTGTAACAATAACATCTTTATTATTATCATTATATATATCACATATTTCATTACTAATATAGCCATTTGGTGTTACATTAATTTTATTCATAGCATTTTTCGTTTCAATTACTCCATTCATCGTTAATAATTCTTGTATTTTCGTTTTTTGCTGTTTCATTTCTTCTATATTTGTGGGAATGTATTTAGTTTTATTTATATCACCAATTGTATCGTCTAACTTTGTAATATTGTCACAGAGAGCATTTTTACTAAGTTGTAGATGATTTGTTTCACTATCTAAGTCTGTTTTACTTGTGTCTTTTTCTATATTTACATTTTGTTCCACATCATTGGCATTTATGTTAGATGTAGCTTCGTTAGTTACAGTTTTGTCGTTGTCTTTGTCTTTATTTACTTGTAATGTAATTTGTAATGTCTTTTCTAGATTGTCATGTGGAGTGTAAGGTTTAACGAGGAATGTGAAGGTATCGGCGTGGTCTTCTTCTGTTTGTGGTGGTTCGTCTTGTATACCGCATCCACATTTGCGACTTATCATCTGTGGAATTAAACAATTATTAGTAACTTCTAGAATCTATTTTTATGTAACTGGCCAAGCTGACGATCCAACTGATGGCCTTACCATCAGGTGGGCCATCGACTGTCTTTTCAATAGCTTCCTTTACATGTACGCTCTTTCATACGCGAATCATCGGATTGGCTGTCAACTTAGCCATTTCTATTGAAGGCTATTGCTTCTACACGAACGCTTTATCGCGCGCGAATCGCGTTTCACGCGACAAAGAGTGTGCATGTAAATGTATACAAAGAGAACGAGAGAGACTGCGCAAATAGTGAGTGAGTGAACATCCCCGCATACAACAGTACGTTTTTTTTATTAATTGTTCATCTTTGCAAAATTTCGGACATCTGACATTGGAGCAAAAAGATAATTATAGAATTACTGATAATCCATAAATATTAAAAGTGTCTTTGGAAAATAAAATCTGTGATTTAAAAGTTAAATTTCAAAAGAAAGTAAATCGACTCGAAACATACGCGCTGAGTAGAGTGATTACAAAAAATAGTCAAATGCGATCCCTCGCGATTTTCAGTTTTTCCAGCGCTTATTATTATTTCTTATATATGTTAGTCTATAAGGTATTCATAATATGGGCAATCTAGCCGGAATTAAAGAAATAAATTATGATCAACAAAAACACAAGTACACACCTGATCGAGCTCTGCGTAGACGGCGACGTGTCGCAGGACTCGTGGCGAGTCAGCCCGCGCGCAAACTATAGTCGCGGCGGCCCGCGGCGCCCGCGCCCGCCCGCGGACAGTCGCGTGCGACCGATACCTGCCACCACACACCCACGGACTCACACCACACACTCAAACTATAGTCGCGGCGGCCCGCGGCGCCCGCGCCCGCCCGCGGACAGTCGCGTGCGACCGATACCTGCCACCACACACCCACGGACTCACACCACACACTCAAACTATAGTCGCGGCGGCCCGCGGCGCCCGCGCCCGCCCGCGGACAGTCGCGTGCGAAACACACAACGGACTCACACCACACACTCAAACTATAGTCGCGGCGGCCCGCGGCGCCCGCGCCCGCCCGCGGACAGTCGCGTGCGACCGATACCTGCCACCACACACCCACGGACTCACACCACACACTCAAACTATAGTCGCGGCGGCCCGCGGCGCCCGCGCCCGCCCGCGGACCACACACCACACACCCACGGACTCACACCACACACTCAAACTATAGTCGCGGCGGCCCGCGGCGCCCGCGCCCGCCCGCGGACAGTCGCGTGCGACCGATACCTGCCACCACACACCCACGGACTCACACCACACACTCAAACTATAGTCGCGGCGGCCCGCGGCGCCCGCGCCCGCCCGCGGACAGTCGCGTGCGACCGATACCTGCCACCACACACCCACGGACTCACACCACACACTCAAACTATAGTCGCGGCGGCCCGCGGCGCCCGCGCCCGCCCGCGGACAGTCGCGTGCGACCGATACCTGCCACCACACACCCACGGACTCACACCACACACTCAAACTATAGTCGCGGCGGCCCGCGGCGCCCGCGCCCGCCCGCGGACAGTCGCGTGCGACCGATACCTGCCACCACACACCCACGGACTCACACCACACACTCAAACTATAGTCGCGGCGGCCCGCGGCGCCCGCGCCCGCCCGCGGACAGTCGCGTGCGACCGATACCTGCCACCACACACCCACGGACTCACACCACACACTCAAACTATAGTCGCGGCGGCCCGCGGCGCCCGCGCCCGCCCGCGGACAGTCGCGTGCGACCGATACCTGCCACCACACACCCACGGACTCACACCACACACTCAAACTATAGTCGCGGCGGCCCGCGGCGCCCGCGCCCGCCCGCGGACAGTCGCGTGCGACCGATACCTGCCACCACACACCCACGGACTCACACCACACACTCAAACTATAGTCGCGGCGGCCCGCGGCGCCCGCGCCCGCCCGCGGACAGTCGCGTGCGACCGATACCTGCCACCACACACCCACGGACTCACACCACACACTCAAACTATAGTCGCGGCGGCCCGCGGCGCCCGCGCCCGCCCGCGGACAGTCGCGTGCGACCGATACCTGCCACCACACACCCACGGACTCACACCACACACTCAAACTATAGTCACAGTCGCGTGCGACCGATACCTGCCACCACACACCCACGGACTCACACCACACACTCAAACTATAGTCGCGGCGGCCCGCGGCGCCCGCGCCCGCCCGCGGACAGTCGCGTGCGACCGATACCTGCCACCACACACCCACGGACTCACACCACACACACTCAAACTATAGTCGCGGCGGCCCGCGGCGCCCGCGCCCGCCCGCGGACAGTCGCGTGCGACCGATACCTGCCACCACACACCCACGGACTCACACCACACACTCAAACTATAGTCGCGGCGGCCCGCGGCGCCCGCGCCCGCCCGCGGACAGTCGCGTGCGACCGATACCTGCCACCACACACCCACGGACTCACACCACACACTCAAACTATAGTCGCGGCGGCCCGCGGCGCCCGCGCCCGCCCGCGGACAGTCGCGTGCGACCGATACCTGCCACCACACACCCACGGACTCACACCACACACTCAAACTATAGTCGCGGCGGCCCGCGGCGCCCGCGCCCGCCCGCGGACAGTCGCGTGCGACCGATACCTGCCACCACACACCCACGGACTCACACCACACACTCAAACTATAGTCGCGGCGGCCCGCGGCGCCCGCGCCCGCCCGCGGACAGTCGCGGGCGACCGCTACCTGCCACCCACGGACTCACACCACACACTCAAACTATAGTCGCGGCGGCCCGCGGCGCCCGCGCCCGCCCGCGGACCGTCGCGTGCGACCGATACCTGCCACCACACACCCACGGACTCACACCACACACTAAACTATAGTCTAGTCGCGTGCGACCGATACCTGCCACCACACACCCACGGACTCACACCACACACTCAAACTATAGTCGCGGCGGCCCGCGGCGCCCGCGCCCGCCCGCGGACAGTCGCGTGCGACCGATACACCACACACCCACGGACTCACACCACACACTCAAACTATAGCCACAGTCGCGTGCGACCGATACCTGCCACCACACACCCACGGACTCACACCACACACTCAAACTATAGTCGCGGCGGCCCGCGGCGCCCGCGCCCGCCCGCGGACAGTCGCGTGCGACCGATACCTGCCACCACACACCCACGGACTCACACCACACACTCAAACTATAGTCGCGGCGGCCCGCGGCGCCCGCGCCCGCCCGCGGACAGTCGCGTGCGACCGATACCTGCCACCACACACCCACGGACTCACACCACACACTCAAACTATAGTCGCGGCGGCCCGCGGCGCCACCACACACCCACGGACTCACACTATACACTATACACAGCGCCATCCACTCCCGAGCTAAGCAGAACTTGTCATGGGTTCTACACGACTCAAACAAATACATACAGACAATTTTTTGTATAATAATATCTCAGGACAACTCATACAGCGCCATCTAGTCCCACGGTAAGCAGAGCTTATGTTAGAGATACTAGACAACTGATAGAAATAAGTAAGTACATTTTTTTTATAATAATATCTCAGGACAATACACAGCGCCATCTGGTACCACGATAAGAGCTTGTGTTATGGATACTAGACAACTGATTCAAATACATAAATATTTTTTTGTATAATAATATCTCAGGACAACTCACACAGCGCCATCTAGTCCCGAGCCAAGCAGAGCTTGTATTATGTGTACTAAATAACTGCTATAAATTAAATATTTTTTTTTAAATACATACATAATATACATAGAAAACACTCAGACCGATACAAACAATCATACTCATGAATACAAATGTTTGTACCATGCGAGGAATCGAACCCGCGACCATCGGAAGTAAGACAATGTGCTAAACCGCTAGACCACCGAGGCCGTCAAATACATAAGCGATATAAAAAAGGCAGTTATACTCACGACGAAGGTATATCCCATCGTAGTACCAGGTTACACCTGGGCAAATCTATTCCCTCTTCCAGCGCCGAGGTGGCCAGCAGTAGGTTGCATTCATGCATTCGAAATCTGCAATTGTATTATTAACAATTAGAAGAGAATGGATTTGTTATTGTTTGTAATGTTATTAATTTTTAAAAAAATTATAAACACAAAAACTACTGAACGGATTTTGTAAGTTTACAGTGATATAGTTTAAGCATCAAAATAACACATATTATATATTTAAATTGAATAATAATTATAATAAACTCTGTATTGTGCACATAGAAAAAATACAATAAGAAAAAAAACAAGATAACGCGAGTGAAACCGCGAGCATAGCTAGTAGTTTATAATTTTAGCTCACAATTAATACGTTTATTGTAAGTTGGAACAATTATTAAATCTTTAATGTTATCTCTAGTTAATAGGGCAAGTAAAAGATATTGTCGTAAATTGTACGTCAGTTCAAAGTTACATCGCCCATTCGATCCCGACCTGTCCGAAATGCGAACTCTGACCGGAATTTAGTGTAGGACTAGCTGTTCCAGCGAATTCGTCCGCGTGGAATATGACTTTATTTTTCTAAAATAAAAGTAGCCTAAATTACTCATTAAATCAGCTACCTGTCAAAAAAATTCCTGTCAAAATCGGTCCAGCCATTTCAGAGATTAGCCGGAACAAACAAACCGATAGACAGACAGGCAAAAATTATAAAAAAAAAATATTATTTGGTATATGTACCGTATATAGATTCATATGCATGTAGTAAAAAACGGTTATTTCAATATTACAAACAGACACTCCAATTTTATTTATATGCGTTAATTTGTTTTTTGATAGGGAAGAGTGTTTTTAAATGAAACTGTGACCTTCTCATGAAGCGTTTATTGCAACAACTTAACGTTTTTTAAATTACATAGGGGTGGAGTATCCACCCGGTGCTCATATGTGTCGCGTGATGAGCGATGCTTCTCACTGGTCGATTTTGTGATGCCGTCATCGTCGCTAGGTTTGACGTCGACCAGTGGTGGTGGAGGATGGCGCCTGTGACTTTGAGTTTTTTAAGTTTGTGAACTAATAAATTGTTTGTTATATTATATTCTTGTTATTACTAATAATAATCAAGTTACAGTATGAAATGGTTAAACCATTTTTTTTTATATTATATAATTGAACTGGCAATTATTATTGCAACAACTTAACGTTTTTTAAATTACATAAGGGTGGAGTATCCACCCTTTTTATTGGTGCTCATATGTGTCGCGTGATGAGCGGTGCTTCTCACTGGTCGATTGACTGATGCCGTCATCGACGCTAGGTTTGACGTCGACCAGTGGTGGTTGAGGATGGCGCCTGTGACTTTGAGTTTTTTAAGTTTGTGAACTAATAAATTGTTTGTTATATTATATTCTTGTTATTACTGATAATAATCAAGTTACAGTATGAAATGGTTAAACCATTTTTTTTTATATTATATAATTGAACTGGCAATTATTATTGCAACAACTTAACGTTTTTTAAATTACATAAGGGTGGAGTATCCACCCTTTTTATTGGCGCTCATGTGTCGCGTGATGAGCGGTTTCTCACTGGTCGATTGAGTGATGCCGTCATCGTCGCTAGGTTTGACGTCGACCAGTGGTGGTGGAGGATGGCGCCTATGGTATTGAGCATTATACTGCTCACAGCAGATTTGCTACTACTGTTTTAACAATATATATAGAAGATAAAGTCGCTTTCGCTATCCGTTCGCTTACATCTTTTAAACTGTGTAATGAATTTTAATACATTTTTCAGAATTAATAGATTGATTCAACAGGAAGGTTTATATGTATAATACATGTACGCCCATCCGAAGCCAGGGCTAGTTAGTAAAAATAAATAAAGAAATCGAGGAACTCACTTCTTCAGCACGTCCTCCTGCTTCTTCCCTTGCCGCTGGTAGTCGCGAGGCTCTGTGGATTCACTGTCAGCGGCGCAGTACTGCGCGCGGAGGAACGCCAGGGCAGGATTAGAACGAGTCATGTCCTGAACACACACAAATAGAAATAATCTTTATCTACGATCACAAACAGCCATATAATACAGTAGCTTTTGCCTGCGGCTTCGCTCGCGTTAATTTATCTCTTTAGGGGAGGAATATCAAAATCCTTTCTTAGGGGATGCCTCCGTCATCGTAGCTTTATGCATGCAAAGTCTCAGCCTGATCGGTTTAAAATTGACAAAGTTTCATACAAACTTTCATCCCATATTTTATCCCCTTAGGGGTGGAATTTATCAAAATCCTTTCTTAGGGGATGCCTCCGTCATAGTAGCTTAATGCATGCAAAGTCTCAGCCTGATTGTTGAAAGTTTCATACAAACTTTCATCCCCTATTTTATCCCCTTGGGGGGTATAATTAACCAGCCCGATCGGTTTAAAATTGACAAAGTTTCATCCAATATTTTATCCCCTTAGGAATGAAATTTAGCAAAATCCTTTCTTAGCGGATGCCTAAGGGATGGATGCATAACATCTACCCGTATGCCAAATTTCAGCCCGATCCGTCAAGTGATTTGTGCTGTGCGTTGATAGATCCCTATGTCAGTCTGTAATAGACCTGAGATAATAAATAGAATAGAATAAACAGAAATTATTCAAATAAACTTAATTTAAGCACTTTTGAATAGTCTTAGTTATCATTCTTTAAATCTACCGCTCATTAGGAAAGCTGTCTCATCACAAGAAGAACGAGCAAGAAACTTGTGTGTTGCTCTTTCAAATAATCATTGTAACTTTACATTTCTAATTAGAAACGTGCGTATACAAACCACTAACTAGCACTAATTTCTTAGGATCAGATATATATACACAATAGGATTAAAACAGTCATTAGTTAAAGATAAAAGATAATAAAGATGTTACAAATTTTGAAATAAGTTGTAAAAATTTGAAATTATTTTTTGAAATATCAACTCACCACAATCAAATAGAACATAATCTTGGCCATCAACGGTTCATTCATGAACATAACACCACACAACGCATCAGGATTCTGCTGTTGTTGCTGAGCTCTGCCTGCATTATTTCTCACTGGCCTTCCTCTACCCCTTAACCGGGGACCTGTGCGTTTTGTAGGCCATAAACCACCACTTTTCTCCTGATCAACTTTATTTACAACTGTATCAACTTTGTTTCCAGCTGTATCAGCTTTGTTTCCAGCTGTATCGACTTTGTTTCCAGCTGTATCAACTTTATTTCCAGCTTTATCAACTTCATTTCTAGCTGAATCAAATTTAGATGCAGAAGTATTCAGCTTTTCAGCGGAATCAAGCTTATCTCTAGGAGTATTGATTTGATCTGTGGTACTGTTAAGTGTATTTTTGTTATTATTAGAGCTATTTCCGGCACTATCACAAGTATTTACGGTATCATGACCTTTATTGCAATGCACTTGATCATCAGTAACTATTTCTTTTAAATTACATTTGATTGTGTTAACTTTATCCTCGATTTTGTCGCCTAAAGAGACAAAATCGCACTTTTCAATATCACTCAACATTCTAACTTTGTCACAGTTTGCATTATCCCTGTCTTCGGGTTGAAACTTCTCCAGTATCTCGACTAGACGCAACACTTTTGGGGTACTGAAGTGTTTTATTTTATCCCAATCTGTGGCGTAAGTTGAAAACAGCTGGTCAGTGTAGCAACGCATCTTTATGAAGACAGTTGTACATACTCGGAGTAATAGGAAATGACGTTCGTATGGAGTTTTTATACGGAGTGTTTCCAGCTTACTTAGTAGAGAGAACGCTGCTTTGTCGGCTGCATAAGGACCTGGAATAACAAATCGAACAAATCTTGTTGCGGAGCATAGTCATTCGTCTATTGTTGTTTTTCTTTATCTATATGTAGATGGCGCTGTCTGGCTAGAGGAGGTCTTTGTGTCTAAAGGACACGGTGACTCAGAGTCTGATGTGCAGAATTAAAAGTAACATAAAATGTATATATAACTAATATTTCTTTTATCTTTTAAACTTTTAGTTAAATATTATATTCGATTGTATAATTTGGTGTCGATTAATAAAGGCTTTGAATTTGCATTTGAGATGGCGCTGTGTGAATTGTCCTGAAATATTAATAATAATATCTCAAGACAACATATCGCCATCTCGTCCCTATCTAAGCAAGTTATGGGTACCAGACAACTGGTATTAATACATAGAGAATTTTTTGTAAATACAACAATTTCCTTCCCCCTTTTGATGTATTATAACACGAAAAGGGGAAAGGGAATTGTTAGTAGTTAGTAATGTGGTTTAATAACCTTATAGCAATGTACCATGTGAGGTTGATCTCCAAGCAGTTTACCCTGGAAACCATCATAACAAACTCTTAGTGAATTTGCAGTGAATACCATCATGATAAATTTCTGGTGAATTTCTCACGATGTGCTAACCTGACCTTATGTTCATCTTATCATCCTCCACTGGTGCCCCGCCAGCGTATACCGTTATTGCAGATTGATATTCCATTATCATACAGTAAACTAGCAGTCATGAAGGTATAGTTTGTTTAATGAACTCACCTAATTGATCCAGAATGTAGAGGAATTGTGTAAACAAATGTTTAGGGACTATTCTTGGGTCTGGAATATCCTTGAACTCATCAATCATATCTTCTCCGTATATCTCTGTCAGGTCATATCTAAAACAATTCATTAAATTGGAGATTTCATGTTGTACAGAAAAAGCTATATTTTTTTATTATATTCAGCCTATATTATAAAGACTAATATATATAACATACATAAGAAATAATAATCTATACATATAAATAAAATTGGAGTGTCTGTTTGTAATATTGAATAATCGTTTTTTACTACATGCATATGAATATAAATACGGTACATACAACAAAATATTTTTTTTTACAATTTTTCTGCCTGTCTGTCTGTCGTTCTGTTTGTACCAGCTAATCTCTGAAATGGCTAGACCGATTTAGACGGGACTTTTATTGGCAGGTAGCTGATGTAATAAGGAGTAATATAGGCTACTTTTATTTTAGAAAAATTCTCCATATCTTTTTCGTTAAGTGAAATATAAATTCATATTGTCTATATGGTCACTACACTGACGACGGCAATCTGCCTCGGTAAAGCCGATATACCACACCCTTCGGCCAGTAGTCCTCCTTATTATATCCATATTAATAAAACAGTCATATAGTACATCTGCAGACTTATTAACAACATACACAAAAGGAGCAAACCCCTAAGTGCGAGACCACTTCAGTTTCAGAGGAGACAGTGCGGTATCAGAGGAGCTTCCTCCCGCGTACACTTACATTGTAGAATGAACTACATGCCGAGGTTTTCTCTCGAGACTAAAAGCATGGGGTTTTTCAAGAAGGGTATATTAAGGGTCCCCAACTCAAAGGGTTCTGGCGTCCATAGGCTATGGTAACTATTTACTTTATAATGTTTGTGATATATTCAAACACGCGGGCCTTAGCCAAGCATGGATGAGTTATGTGATGAAGAAAGAAATTTTCTTACTATTCGGCATGTGTTTAGTATGACGGCTTTTTGTAATACGTCTATTATTATTATTATTTTTTTCCAAATATTCTCATCTCCCCTCTTAAGGAGAGGAGATGGCAACATACCCCCGGTAGAAGTCGGCCGGGGTTCGGGGCCCCAGGGAGAGAAACCGGCGTACAATGCGGGCAGAATCTAACAGCACCGCTTTCTGCATCTTTCCCGGGAGTGAGCCGCCCCGGAATCCCAACCGTCTGAGATGTTGTTCCAGACTGGTTGGGATAAGACCGTTCACCGACATAACGATTGGAATGATTTCGGTGGACATCACCCCCCACATTTCGGTCACCTCGAGAGCCAGGTCGAGATATTATTATTATTATTGTGCATTTAAATAAAACATAATACATACCTGTGGTCATCTAGAAATGCCATGGCATCACCTACAGTCTGTCTCATGAACCTCTCCAACTCCATGCACGGTTGGGGCAGTTCTTCCAATGTGGGACGAGGTCTGTGTTCTATGATCAGTTCCATTAACTTCGTTAAAGGTAATGTCAACCTGAAAGGTTTTAATTTAGCATCTTACCTGGGTGGACCTTAAATAATCTATATATATATATATATATAAATAAAATTGGAGTGTCTGTTTGTAATATTGAAAGAACCGTTTTTTTCTACACGCATATGAATATAAATACGGTATGTACACCAAAATAATATTTTTTACAATTTTCGTCGGTCAATCTGACCGATTTTGACGGGACTTTTTTTGGCAGGTAGCTGATGTAATAAGGAGTAACTTAGGCTACTTTCATTTTTTTTTAAAATCTCTTTCTTTAGAAAAATAAAGTTAAATTCCACGCGGACGAAGTCGTGGGAACAGCTGGTATAATGTATATAGAAAACACTCAGACCGATACAAACAATCATGATTGTACCGTACGAGGAATCGAACCCGCGGCTATCAGTAGTAAAGCGGTGTCCTAAACAACTGGACCATCGAGGCTGATCTTTTCTGTACAGCATACTAACCTCTTTCCATTGTCAATATCCTCAGCCAGATCCATTTGACAGCACAACTCTTTCTCCAATTCATCGATTTTCCACTCTAACTGCTCATACATAGCGAAATCATCAAAATTCCTATATACACCAATTTCATTCACAACATTACTGGTTTCTTGCGATTGCCCAGTCTCTTCTTTCTTCTTATTATCTATGATTCCATTCTCTGATTTGTTCGTATTATCTGTGTCTATATTTATCTGTTCTAATTTTGAATTTATATCATCAAATTTGTCTGTTACATTAGATTTACTATCATTGTCTATGATTTTATCTATTGTACATTTTGTTTCGTTAAGTTTCAAATTATCACTAATTGTCTCTGCTATTCTATCTATATCTGTCTCTGGATCGTCTTTAACTATGGTATTATCTAGTTCAACATTAGCTATGGGTTGAGCTGATTCATTAACTTTACTTTCATTACTGCTATCAATTTTTATGGAATTAAATAGTGGATAGGTTAGTGCCAGTATTCTAGGTCTATTGTCTTGCTCACACTTCTTGTATTGTTTTAAGATCTGAAAGAGACAGAATATATAAATAAATATGTCGTGTTAAAAATTCATGGCATTCAACAAGCCAAGTTAGTTACAAGGGAATATTATGAACATAACAAATGTACTGAGGTAGATTTTTGATTTTAGGCTCTGTGTTCTAAGCATATGTAAGTACTAGCTGAGACGTGCAACTTCGACTGTATCTTGATATTTTTCGTTATATTTCGCCCAATTTACATAATATCTTATTAAATTACAGCCTATGTAATTATTTATGTAATTGTTCTAAGTGTGTATGTATGTGTATATGTATATGAGTGTGTGTGTGCATATATATAGATATATATATGTAAAATGTACCTTTGTCAAATGTGTAAATGTAATAATGGTTGTCAATAAATGTTTTTCTTCTTCTTCTTATGTGTTTTTCTGATGTATAAGCTGTATTACTGTGAAGTTTAATCAAAATCCGTTCAGTTGTTTTTGCGTGAAAGAGTAACAAACATCCATCCATACTCACAAATAGAATAGAATAGAATAGTAAATCATTTATTCAAATAAACTTAATTAAAATACCGCTCATTCGGAAGACTGTCTCATCACAAGATGAAATAATCCTCTTTTAAATAATCCTTGTAAGTTCACATTTACAAGTCGAAACGTGTGAATACAAACTACAAACCAGCACTAATTTTTTGGGTCAAATATAAATATGCAATAAGATTAAATCAGTCGTAGTGATAAGAGCAGACCAGACCCTATTTCACAGCAGCACTCGTTCACGAGAATGACGGATGAGCCAGCCATCACTGCGCTCGACCATATTTTAGGGTTTAAACTTTGGCGTTTATAATATTAGTAAGATACATCAGAATAACGCATAGGCATAATTTAAAAAGATATTGTGTTTATTGGGCGATATATAATGATAAATGTTAAGTAAGTGGGATGCAGACGAAGTTACTAACTGAGCCGTTTACTATAAAATTATTCGCCAAAACCCGTTTATATCAGGGATGTTATGGATATGAAATTTCGGATACGAATAGGTTTCGGATGTAGGAATGATCATTATACCGGATACGGATACGAATGCGGATATGAAATAATTTCGTATGATCCGTTAGTTTCGGTTAATTTCGGTTACGAATATGAATTTTTTAAAAAATTTCAAAAGTAAAATACAAATAGGTAATAAAATGGTTACATAACGTGTCTCAATTAGACTCCGCCCCTATCCGATATTATCCGGAATTTTTATTTCGGATTCGGTTACGGTTACGGATATTTTTTTATTTCGGATATCCGATAGTTTCGGTTACGGTTACGGATATTTTTTATTTCGGATAATCGATAGTTTCGGTTACGGTTACGGATATTTTTTTATTTCGGATATCCGATCGTTTCGGTTACGGTTACGGATATGTTTTTATTTCGCATATCCGATAGTTTCGGTTATTTTTTATTTTTTTATTTAAATAACTTTAATGCACGTCATACACAGGTAAAAAGTACATATGGCGGACTTAACACCTAATGGCATTTTCTACCAGTCAACCATGAGTTGTGTAGAGATAAGTTGTTGGCGGTGCAAACAATATTATAATATTTTATAGAACATACATGAATAAATATATATATATATATATATACACATGTAAATACATAAATATTCCTACAAATATACACAAAAATATACCATACACATAAATATATGACAAATAATCTAATAATAATACGGTTTCGGTTATGGAGCTCCTTAACATCCTTGGTTTATATATATTAGAAGCTGAAGTTGCGAGGGTCTATATATAGCATGTGTTCATTGTTATATGTACATAATGTGTACATAATGAAGTAAGATTTGTACTTCAGAGTGCATATACATACATACAGAGAACATAGAATCTTATCACTGGATCTGTAAATTGTCCGATTACAAGGTACTCTTTTGTAAAAAATTCCGGACTTAGGGGTCCTCTTAGGTCCCCTCTATAATCCTATAAATTCGATCGTGCAACACTGTCCTGCAAAACGAATGGCGAATAACCGGGGGCTACTGTAAATTAAAAAAAAAACCATACTCACATATTTGAGATTCTCATCTCTATATATTAAATGACAGCTGTCTATTATTAATACATTCAAGTCCTTCATCCCGAGAATATTGTCTTCAAATAACCGCTTTAGTACCTCCGATGTACACACCAACACCTGCAAAACGTAAAAAAATATTTATTTAACACGTTGAAGATCGCATTGAAAAATCTTATTACTCACGTAGGGACCAGCGTTTTTTTATTGTTAACTAGCTGTACCCGCGACTTCGTCCGCGTGGTGTTATACTTTATTTTTCTAAAATAAAATATTTTTTCTAAATTACCTGCCAAAAATATCCCGTCGAAATCGGCCCAGCCATTTCAGAGATTAGCCGGAACAAACAGACGGACAGACAACAATAAAAAAATGTTATTTTGGTGTATGTATCATATTTATATTCATATGCATGTAGTAAAAAACGGTTATTTCAATATTACAAACAGACACTCCAATTTTATTTATATGTATAGATTTCGAATATTATTTTTTAAATATGTTTTTAGTCTACAATAAGAGGTAGACATTATTTGACCCCTAGATTTATTTCAATTAAAGTGCCCACGGGTGATCACACGGTTCAACGTAGATAGAGTGATTCTAGAGGAAGGTTTATATATATAATACATGTACACCCGTACGAAACCGGGGTGAGTAGCTAGTAAATAATAAATAACTGTGGACAATTAACACAGCGCCATCTAATCCCACGGTAAGCAGAGCTCGTGTTATGGGTACTACACAACTGATATAAATACTTAGATTTTTTTGTAAATAATAATAATCCTAGGACAATTCACACAGCGCCATCCGAGCCAAGCTACGCTAGCTGAAGCTTGTGTTATCGAATAGAATAGAATAGAAAATCATTTATTCCAATAAACTTACATTGAAGCACTTTTGAATAGTCATTACATTTTTTTAATCTACCGCTCGTTCGGAAAGCTGTCTCATCACAAGAAGAACCAACAAGAAACTTGCGTGTTGCTCTTTTAAATAATTTTATTATTACTTTACATTTTTAAGTTTAAGTGTGTGAATACAAACCACCAATTAGCACTAATTCAATTAAATACTCAAATAGAAAAAATATTGAATATATAACCAGCTGGTTAAACAATTAATAAGAGGAAACCAGTCATAGTGATTAGAACAGACCAGTCCCTACAAGCAGCATCCGTTCACGAGTATGACGGATGAGCCAGCCATCACTGCGCTCGACCATATTTTAGGGAGCTCAATGACCCGGCCCACCACGCCGCCACAAGTCTGGACATTTTAGTGAGCATGATTACTCAAAACACTAGACTACGTCAAAGCTACTTACAATTGCCATCTGATAGTTATAGTATTCACATTTTACATAAGAATGCATGCGGCAATCAATACAAAAACCGCTACGCTTTCATATTTCTAAAATCAATCAATTAAATCAAGAAAGCAATGAGAAAATTAAATTATAACGTTACATGTATGGGTACTAGATAACTGATACAAATACATAGATATTTTTTTCGAAAATACAGTCGGGACAGATTCAACAGACCTCGTTCTCCTCAACTTCGTGCCGCCAGTCCTGTACATCATCATACTTGTGGGCGGAGACCAGGCTGAGGTCTGTCAGCGCGCGATAGTCATAAACAATACTTTCTATTTTAGATGCGCGAGTTACTTGCACAGACCTCTGACGACCCGTCGAGAACTTTCTGAAATGAGAAGGAAATAGGTGTTTTTAGAATACGAAATTAAACGTTTATTGAAATAAAATTAATGAAAGAAAAAATTAAGAATACGAAATTCTTTATTCAAAAAAAATTAAATAAGCAATATTAAATATATCTAAATATATATAACTCAAAGGTGACTGACGTAGTGATCTATCAACGTACAGCCTAAACCACTGGACGGATCGGGCTGAAATTTGGCATGCAGGTAGATGTTATGACGTAGGCATCCGCTAAGAAAGGATTTTGATTAATTCTACCCCCAAGGGGATAAAATAGGGGATGAAAGTTTGTATGAAACTGTCAATTTTAAACTGATCGGGCTGAGACTTTGCATGCACAAAGCTACTATGACGTAGGCATCCCCTAAGGATTTTGATAAATTCCACCCCTAAGGGGATAAATTAACTTACTCGAGCGAAGCGACGGGCAAAAGCTAGTATTAAATATATCCCTGGATAATTTCCAAGCTGTAGCGCTTGAGTTTGGATATTTCATTTATAATAAAGAATTTATTTGAACAAATAATGTTTTATTCAAATAAAGTTAAATAAGCAATATTAAATATATACCTGGATAATTCACACGCCATTAAGCCCAGAGCTTGTGTTATGGGTACTAGACAACTGACATAAATACATATATTTTTTTGTAAATACATACATAATATACATATAAAACACCCAGACCTATACAAACAATCATACTTATGAATACAAATGTGCCGTGCGAGGAATCGAACCCGCGAGCATCGTTCGTAAAGCGGTGTGCTAGACCGCTAGACCACTCAGGTCGACATTTATAGCTTTATAAATAATTTTATTACATTTTACAACAACATACCCTCGTATTTTATGCGCTTCCTCATACAGCAGCCGTGTGGAAATGAAGGTGGTATGTTCTACGACCAGAATATTCTTCTCCGCGGCAGCAGCAACCAACCGGGCACCACCCTCGGCTGCTGTGAATCTGGAACAGCTGGCCTCCATCATCTGTGAATTAGAGAATTTCTTTTTATCTAATTGATAAAACATTTTTTCGTTTCGTTAACTTTCGTTAACGAAAGCTATAAAATCTGATAAAATCTAATTGGGTGATCACAGATAGATAAGAAAAATAAATAAATAAATAAAAAAAAAAAAAAACTAACTTATACGGTAAATAAGCTATTCAGCCATAACCATAGCCTATAGGGGGAGAATGGAACTGATGTTTTATTTTTATACTAGCTGTGCCCCCGTATCACATGTAATTTATTCTATACTACATGTTATTCTGTTGTATAAGCTATATTACTGTAGTTTCATCAATATCGGTTCACTTGTTTTTGCGTGAAAGAGTAACAAACTACCTCAAAAACTGGAAACCATCATGATAAATTCCTAGTCAATTTGTCAAGATGGGTTAACTGACCTGACCTCATATTCATCTTATCATCCTGCCACTGGTGCACCACCAGCATATACCGTTAGAGCAAGCTTGGGCATCATTCCATTAACATCCATAAAAAAAATTGTGTAACCCTAAATGACAATCAATACTTGTATTTGAATATAGTATTTATTTGATTTAATTATAATATATTTTTATACACTGTCTCATGCAGTATTATAATAATAATAATAATAACCCTGGACAATTCACACAGCGCCATCTAGTCCCAAGTTAAGCTGAACTTATATTATAAGTATTAGAGAACTGATATAAGTACATAGATACTTTTTTTTGTAAATACATACATACAAACAATAATCATACTCCTGAATACAAGGAATCGAACCCACAATCATCAGAAGTAAAGTGGTGTGGTAAACCACTAAACCATCAACACAGTTGATATATATATATTACAATTGCTGATAATAATAAAATTTAGAAGTAATAATCGATATAAAACGGTCTATAACTCAGTGTACTGCCTGAATTAATGTAAAAGACATCCTATGTATTTATTTTGATTATGTATCTATGTACCATATAGAATAGAATAGAAATAGAATAGAAAATCATTTATTTAAATAAACTTAATTTAAGCACTTTTGAATAGTCAACATTTTTTTCAAATCTACCGCTTATTCGGAAAGCTGTCTCATCACAAGAAGATTAAGCAAGAAACTAGTGTGTTTTAAATAATCCTTGTAAGTTCACATTTTACAAGTAGAAATGTGTGAATACAAACTACCAACCAGCACTAATTTATTTAGGCTCAAATATAAAAACACAATAAGATTAAATCAGTTGTAGTGATAAGAGCCGAACAGTCCCTACAAGCAGAAGTATAACTAACTAATAAACTAACTATATAACTGAAATCCATCTATAATAGGAGTATTTATGTAAAAGAATCATAAACACTAATCATTACATTATTTTGTAATAATATTAACAGGACATACAAATATTTTATATGAAAATAATTTTCTCATATGATTTATTCATCATTTTTTTTGTGGCTTGACACATTGGTGGATTTGCCAAAGACAAAATTAGGGAAACTTGTTTACGAATTAAATAAATTTAGGATACGGAATTTGGTATAGGACCAAAAGGGTTCATTGGTAGTAAAAGGTGAGGAATAGGATAAATTACAAATATAATAATCTACATAAATAAGCCAACATAATCTGATATGACTTAGGTGACAATATATAAATATAAATTATTGTTATATCAACCGACAACAATATTCACTTAATAAAATACATTGAGCGAATACTACAATCGTACGCTATTTTCTATTAAATAAGTTGAAATTATACAATAAATATCAATAAAATTATAGGACAATAATAACGGAACCGATCTAGGAAGAGGGATTTGGGAAACAAAGATTATTCATCATTTATCATTTTCTCTACTTTTTCTTTTCAATTTTTTTTATTGGGTTAATACCCAATAAAAAAAAATTGCCTGTGAATGGCTCGATTTTGGAAAAAGAAAAATTAATATAATACCTGAACAGAAAAAAAAACCAGAAATTTTTCTAAATATGACAAATAAAAATACGAAATTCTATATTTAAAAAAATGACATCGAAAACGAATTTAACATAAAACCTCAACAAGCCAGTGAAGTGCATCCGTTTCTCAGTTGCAGTCATGCGCCTAAATGCATTTCGGAATCGATTTTTATTCATACATATCATAAAGGAATCATTTTAAAACTATGACGAAAAAATACAGTATACAGTACCTTCAACGCTCTCCCCGATGATAATTTACAACCATAATTAAACTAAGTTAAGAATAATATATTGAGTTACATTTATACTCTCGTATGCTGTAAATGTTTGTTTTAAAAAATCTATAACTTTCTTAAATCAAATATGTATAAATATCAATATAAAATACGTTGGTGTTTAATGTTTACACTTATTAACTACGACAAAAAAACAGCGCCGAAAATATAAAAGAATCGAATGGAAATACGATTGGTAAAAGGGAATAATAATATGTGGGTTTTCGGAATATGCCGAAAATGCAATGAGAATTGCAAGAAATTGACAGTGACAATAAATGACATTTCTTTGACATTGACTTTTCTGTATTAATATATGCAGTGACAAATACAAAGCGAAGAGATAAAATCATACAGTCTAAACTGCTGTGAAACAAAATTATTATAATGAATTCTGCCTTCATTTTAAAAATCATCCTTTTTAAAATTTATTTTCAAGAAAACTCATAGTATAAAAATCTCTAATTAAAAAGTGATTATTTGCCATATAGTGAGTGTTGCTAATTATTTTGTTTAGATTGCCATTTTAGAATCGTCACCACCGCAAGTATATCACTATTCCATTTTTTTACCGTACTATTGGATTGTGTATTTAGTACATTAACAATGTATTGTATGTTGTCGTTTTGTTAATTTATCCTCTAATTTGTATTCTTGTTTTTTACAAGTCAAAAAACTTAATTGTACATCAACGTGAATTTTCTTGTCAAACATTTTTAACCTAAATTTTTCTGCATCGTAAGAAAATACTCCAGAAATGCAGGGACATTTCGGGAATATCCTTCAATTTGGCAACGGTCCAATTTAACAACAGACACAACAATTGGTCATCTGAAAAAAACATATGAGTGTATGTACCCAATGCCATGAATAGTTTAACAAAAAGGATCCCTTGAACTGTTAAAGAAGTTTAAATGTAGACTAGGCTGTACGGTCTAAGGATCTTTGCCTGTTCCATCATTGAAAAGGAGATGGACGAATATGGAAAAAAAAATATGTCTGCGAATGAGTATAGCGTAATAGTGAACAGCAATTTAAATATTTTAGTTTTAAGCATAAGACAACATTTATACAGCGACAGACCATTGTCGTTGAAGTATTTTATTGTATCACTGTGAGTATTAATTATATACCTCGTACTACAAGTAGGGGAGGGGGTTGTTAGTGATGGAGACTTTTTGAGTATGATGTATGTTTGTATGAAGCCATGAATGGTTAACGCTGGCGCGGCACTAGTGGAGGATGATAACATGAACATGAGGTCAGGTCAGTTAACCCATCGTGATAACCAAGAATTTATCACGATGGTTTCCAGTGGGAACCGCGTGAAGGTCAACCTGACATGGCATATTGCTAGCAATAAGATCATCAGTCCACCAGTCAGAGCAGACGGATGCGCTGGTGTACCATTACAATTCATTAAAAGGGGGGGGGGGACAGAGGATTGTTAGTTATGTGTAAATAACCCCATTGCTAGCTATGTACCATGTCACGTAGCCCTCCACGAGGGTCCCCCTAGAAACCATCGTGGTAAATTCCTGGTGAATTGTGAAGAGATCTGACATCACATCATTCTTCACTAGTACGCTGGTAGGCGTAAACCGTTAGCGCAGGAAAAACCACCATTCCATTTTTCCAAAAAACAGCAATATTCATAATATTAATACTAGATTTAAAAACAAACTTGCTGTCCCCAAGTATCGTTTAGAAAAAGTTAATAGGTCTTTTATGGGAATAGGTATAAAAATTTACAATAAGATACCAAAGGATATGTTGGAATTACCCTTAAATAAATTCAAAACATCTGTTAAATCATGTTTACTGAGCAGAGCCTATTACTCACTAAACGATTACTTGAATGACGAGTGTGCATGGCAATAGTTGTTCATGCACTGAATTTTCATTTAATGTTAGACATAGACACCTATATAAATATACATTGTAAATAAATTGGCTTTAAAAAAAAAGTAATTCAATTGAGTTTCTTGCCAGTTTTTCTTAATTGGATCTATATACCGAACTGGACGGTAGGGAAAAAAAAAATGAGTATGTAAAAATTTGACGCTCATAAGCGGCTAAAATGTCCTACATGAATACATGATTTTTGAATTTGAATTTGAATTATCATCCCTTAAAAAAAGATCTACAAAAAAGTCCGCGTCAGAAAGTCGATTTAGTATATAGTCGTCGATAAGATATAATATATATCTATAGAGCGATTTGATGGTAAACGGTTACTGTTACCATTCCTATTACATTAAACCCCCACCCCTTCCTACCCCTATATCGTGTGACGTAATTTATGTATGGCCCTTAATGGCTTCAACTAAAATATAGATTCTGACGCAAACATTTTCGTAGATTTTTTTTTATGGATTATAATCCAAGTATGAAACAAAGTTGCTGTCGCTGTCTGTCCGTCCCTATGTATGCTTAAATCTTTAAAACTACGCAACGGATTTTTAAGCGGTTTCTTTTAATAGATAAAGTGATTCCAGAGGGAGGTTTTATATATATAAAACATGTACACCCGTTCTAAGTCGGGGCGAGTAGCTAGTCTTAAATATAAAATTCTCGTGTCACAGTTTTCGTTCCCATTGAAACGGCTTGACCGATTCTCATGAAATTTTGTGTGCGTATTGAGTAGGTCTGAGAATCGGCAACATCTATTTTTCATCCTCCTAAATGTTAGGGGTAGTCCACCCCTAATTTTTATTTTATTTTAAGACAAAACAACGTTTTGCCGGTACAGCTAGTAATATATAAAATTCTCGTATCACAGGTTTCATATTTATACTCCTCCGAAAAGGCTTGACCGATTTTGATGAAATTTTATATCTATATTCAGTAGGTCTGAGAATAGATTTATAACTAATTTTTATACCCTAAGGGTAGCTCACCCCAAAACTATAATTCATTTTTGCAACAATTTTTTTTATAATGTAGCATTTAAAATACATGCAACCCTAAATTTTCAGCCTTCTCATCCATAAGACCAATTTTTTAATAGCGATTTTTATTTATATGGCAAAACAACGTTTGCAGATAGTAGCCAATTATATATATAATAACCCTCGACAATTGGGATTCGTTAGTAATGTAGATTGATAACCCATTGCTAATGTACCATGTCAGGTCGACCTCCACGCGGTTCCCCCTGGAAACCAACGTGTTAAATTCCTGGTGAATCTGTCACGATGTGCTAACTGACCAGATCTCATGCTCATCTTATCATCCTCCACTGGTGCTCCGCCAGCGTAAACCGTTAGCGCAGGCGGGTGCACCATTCCATTATCATTCACAAAAAAAAACCCTCGACAATTCAAACAAACCAAGTCCCAAATTAAGCAGAGCTTGTCTTATGCGTACTAGACAACTGATATATTTATGTCAGTTATCTATATCCAATATCTAATATTATCTAATATCTATACGACAAGCTTAGATACATATTTATTTGAATATATACATAATATACATAGAAAACACCCAGACCGATACAAACAATCATACTAATGAATACAAATGTTTGTATCGTGCGAGGAATTCTAATCTAGAACTCCAATATGTTTCCGCGACTTTGTCCGCGTGGAATTTAACTTTATTTTTCTAAAATAAAAGTAGACTAAGTTACTCCCGAGAAAAAAAGTCCTGTCAAAATCGGTCCAGCCATTTCAGAGATTAATCGAAACAAACAGACCGACAGACAGACAGCCAAAAATTATAAAAAATGTTATTTGGTATATATACCGTATATACGCATTCATATGCATGTAGTAAAAAACGGTTATTTCAATGTTACAAACAGACACTCCAATGTTATTTATATGTATAGATATATAGATGATAATGGAATGGTGCACCCACCTGCGCTAACGGTATGCGCTGGCGAGGCACCAGTGGAGGATGATAAGATGAACATGAGGTCAGGTCAGACAAAGTCACCAAGAATTTATCATGATAGTTTCCAGAGGGATCGCGTGGTCCTTGACTTGGTACATTGCTAGCAATGGGTTCGTTAGTCCACATTACTAACTGTCCCATTCTTTATTCTTATTATTTATATATATTTTATCAAGCGACTATATTATTGATAATACTTGTATATCATATTAATCTACATACTTTCACGCACAAATAACGTAATGCAGGGCATAGATAAAAGAGTAATTTATTTTTCTTTTACCAAACATTATTAATTGCCAATTCTCTTTTGTGTAGTGTGCTTATAAAGTAATCAATATTTCTTGAAAATTAAGCAGCATTTCAGGTGATTTGTTAAATTGTTAGTATATATATTTTTATATATATACATTTTTATACATATAAATGTTGTTATAAGTATATAGCTACAGGATTTAATGAATTTACAATGTTTTCGTTTATCGCGACAAAAATTTCGTCTCGAAAAAAGAATATCTCTGGATTACCAGAGGTCTTCTTCAGGGTGAGTAAGGTTTTTGTTACATGGTTGCGCCACGTGTCGAAAGACGAAAAGATAGTATGTTAATTAAAAATAAATGTAGTATTATAGCGAAGGATTCAGTTATTGGCATGTTTTCAATAAACGTTACTAGAAAACTATCTGTCTGTTACGCACTGCTTTATTAGATTAAGTCAGGCGGACGCAGCCACCTTTAACTACTTATGTAATATGCTTATGGTATACGCAGATAACAAAAATGATACAATAATCTTATGAAATAAATTTATGCAACGCCTGACTTATTATTTTATTCCGTAATTAATTTCCAATAATTTTGTTATGAGGTTGGTACATTTACTTACTATGTTTTTGTCTACCGAGACAATTGTTTCCACTGTATCCAGAAGACTTCTTCAGGGTGACAGGTTTGTTTGTTTCTTTTTTTATCATATTTCATACAAGTTACTGTGTCACGAATCGACAGACCTCAACATAGTGAGTTCATTAAAAATATCTATAATATTGTATTTACTTCGGATATTAACGTGCTTTCCAATTTAAATAATTTAAACCAAATGATTTTTAATTTAAATTTATAATAAAATATTACATTCTTTGTAACTAAAAGTCTAACTAAAATATGTATATCACCGTTCAATGTTTGAACGAATATCTCTCAGAACTCGTTACGCAAGCCACAATTACAATAAGAATATAATAAGCGTTTACTGATTTAATATAAAATAATATTACAATAAAAACTGTCCAATTACTATAATGAAATTGGGAGATTGCAGCTTCGTTAATTCTATGACGCATCATCATAAAGTTCATCTACAAGACATGCTCTTCAGCATTTTTTATAGGGCTGTGCACTGCATATGTTATAATCTCATAAGCAATAACATCTTTGTTTACAACAATCATGTAGTCTGTATGAGGTATCTGTTATCGGCTGATAACTAAATAATCGCAATATCTACTCAACTTTCCTTGTCTGGCTCTTCTCCACTTTTATCATTGCTCATAAATTCAAATTCAAATTCAAAATATCTTTATTCATGTAGGCCTATTACAGACTCCTATGATATGTCAAATCTACCGTCAGTTCGGAATGATATCGAGATGAGAACAACTGACGAGAAACTCAGCTCGTATTTTTTTCAAATAATAGTGGAACATGTTTATAATAAATATAGTTTTTAAAATTCAAATTTGGGAGAATAGAGTGACCACCAGCATAACTTTGTTAATTGTGTATATATTAACGTAGCGGTTTTATATTGATTGCTGTCAAATATTATGATCGCCGAATGCATTCTTATATGAAGTACGAGTACTATAACTACCATATGGTAATTTTTAGTACACTCTCCAAGATAAAATTTTGACCCTAAAGCTGGCGGCATTTTATCTACACTACACTCGCCATTGTATTAAAATATACCGAGCGAAATGAGGGCATTTCAAGCTTTACGTTCACCACGACGCCAACAGTTGACAATAATTCTTACTACCCCATCCTGGGTAATACTCGTGACTGTAAGTTTGTTTTTTGTTTGATAACACAATAACACTGGTTAATGTATTATTTACAGGTAAATCTACATACAATGAATCACCATCCTTATGAAAACTATATACCATTGAGCATAAGTTCTTCTGCATCCACAAACACCATGGAAACAAATCTTGAACGAATAATATCACCTTCCGTGTTGGATAATTTTGATCTCTATGTAGTTTTGAAACCAAAAATTCTAGCGACACCGCCAATTGAGATTAATGATCCACCTCTTATAGACTTCAGTGTTGATGATAACATACTGAACGTTAGTGGAGAGAAACAGTTGATTACTGAGCCAAAAGAATCAATTATCAGGAAAGAATCATGCAAACTAGCTGATTTAGTCGATAATGTACTTGTAACTGCCTTGGATGTGGAAGAGAATAAATCAAGAATAGATTTCACTGACTTCTTCAATCAATGTGAAAATAATAAAAAATATATTGCCTCAAATAATGATTGCCCACGTAAATCGAACAATGAAGTATTAGGTAATGATTATAATAATCAAGCTAAAAATTATAATGAAACTGCACGTATTGTTGATGATTTGTTCGACAATTATGTTATGTCGGAATATCCAACCCGAGAGTGGATTGGAGACGTATCAGATACCCATAATAGAAATAATAGTAATTTAATAGATACTGTACTATACAACAAAATGATCGAAACAGAGCGCACTATAAAATTAAAGAATAATGTTCAGAAGTCAAAAGACACTGAGAAAGGTAATACAGATGAGACAAATAAATTAAATCGAAAGACAACTACGGTAGCTGATATGAGACCTACCAAAACTAATATCCAATTGCACAGCGTTTTTTCTGACATAAAATCGCAAAGAGGAATATGTATAAACAATCCTTTGAAATACTACGATCCAGTTAAATTTTTATATGCCATTAAAGATGTAGACGTTGACAATTATGAACTAAGAATACTTCCAATGACCTTAAATCGAAAGCTGTACGCTAAAAAGCGTATTACGATAAGTGATGATGATAAAATTAAATTTACGAAAGGCCCGAGTTTAAAGGAAAAGAGGATCGTGCTACCTCAAATAATGCGGCGTTTGATTGTGAAGAAATCTGAAATGGATAAAGAACAAAATTGTAATAAAAGATATGTTTTAGATGCTGGCAATGGAAAACTTGAAGGGGATGATAAGAAAAGCGTAGGTGAATTGAATCTGCAGGTTCTGACATTAGATTGCAATAAAGATAGACTAAAAGCTCTGAAACGCAATCAGAATTTTGAAGCATTTGTCCTTGGTGGTTGGTAATAATTTACTGAAGTAGACTTTGTAAGGTATTTTTATCTCACCTATTTCTGTTACTAAGCAGTTTGCTTCCTAAGCTGTTTGAGGGGTTATACGCGGTTGCGAGGGTTAAAAAGTCCGTTTTTTCATATTTTTTTTATTGAAACATTTTTATTTATCAATTACACGTGGTGGTAATTTTAATAGAGCATACTATTAATTGTTTTTAATGGATATTGATGGAATGGTACACCAATGCTGCACCAATGGTCTACAGCGGGGCGCTATTGAAGGATGATAGAATGGACATAAAGTCAGGTTTGTTAGCCCATCGCGGCAAATTCACTAGGATTTATCACGATGTGTCAAGGGTGAATCAGCCTCACACGGTACATAGCTAGCAATGGGGTTATCAGTCTACATTACTAACAGGGATTGTTCGCCCCATGTACAAATATTGATGTGCACCACTTCTGCATTCATTCATTCATAATTTAAGAGCTACGCTCTTGTCGGTGGATCTCTTGCCACTTTCCGCGATCTTCCATCATGCTCTTTAATTCTTGATACGACACGACTCCCATTTTGTCCTCAATTTGTTTGATGTAGCTATTCTTTGGTCTTCCCCTCCCCCTCTTTCCTTCTATTTTCCCCTCAATAATAATTTTCAAATCATCGTGCCGTATCAAGTGCCCTAACATTTTTCCTCGTCTATTTTCTATTGTGTTCAATATTTGTCTTTTTTCTTTTACCCTGTGTAATACTTCTTCGTTTCTTACTTTATCCTTCCAGCTAATTCTTTCCATCCTCCTCCAACACCACATTTCAAAAGCCTCCAGTTTGTCTCTTTCCTTTTGATTTAATGTCCACGTCTCACACGCATACAAGGCTATACTCCAGATATAGGTTTTAATAAATCGTTCTGCATATGTTATCCAAAACAACCTCAAGAAATAATGTGTTTGGCAATATCGTCATTTTGGCGGTTAGAATTTGTTTAAAAAAATATCATGTTGCTTTCCATAATATTTGTAATGGTGTATTTTTTTTAAAGGATAGATCAAAGCAGGCTTTGAACGAAAGTCTAACAACAATTTTACTATTTGACAAAATGGCGTCTATTTTAAAAGATATTGCGTTAATAATCTGCAGATCAATATTTTGACATAAAGTAGACTATTTGAATTACCATCACGTATGATTGTTAAATAAAAATTGTTTTCATTAAAAAATAATGAAATAACGTCTTTTTTATTCCTCGTAACTGCGTATAACCCCTTGAAGAGTGAGACGGCAGTGAAATGACAGCAATAATTAATAATTAATACTTAATTTATATTATTTTGTTTAATTCCGCTATCATTAGCATATGTGAGACCACAAATATTCAGTGCAACCTATAGCTTGTACTTGTTCTAAGGTTATTGGTAATCAAATATTTTTTTTTTGTATATACATTGAAAACACCCAGACCGATACAAACAATCATACTCATGAATTATGTAAAGCGGTGTGCTACCACTCATATTGTGACATGTGTTCGAATTCAAATATATTTTTATTACTTTTAAGGGTTACTTTACATAATAATAACCCTGGACAATTCACACAGTACCATTGAGTCCTAAGCTAAGCAGAGCTTGTGTTATAGGTACTATAAAACTGATAGAAATACATACATTTTTTTTTGTAACCAATAAAAACAATCATACTCATTATTATAAATGTTTCCATCGTACAAGGAATGGAACCCGCGACCATCGGAAGTGAGGCGGTGTGCCAAACCGTTAGGCTCTGCGTCACTTTATATTATGTATGTTTTTGTGGAGAAAAATAAATATTTTTATTATTATTAATTAAGATGTATCGAAATTATGTTTTGAATGTGGAGAAAAATAAGTATTTTTATTATTATTAATTAAGATGTTTCGAAATTACGAGGGCTTGAGCCAAGGTTCGTTCTAGCGGTGCCCTCAGACTTAAGTCGTATCCTATATATAGTGCAGATTAGGAAGTGAAATTACAGGATAAGAGGCGTGACATGTTAGTACTCTGGAATAACGCGTGAGTGGTATCACGGGTGTCACGTGATAACGTGATGTCGGTAGTGCTGTTCACGTATGCGACGGTTACCACTTACCATCAGTTAGATCATCATCTTCAATCCCTCGCCAATCAAACGGGTATCGAAATTACGCCGCCTGAGTCGAGGTTCGAGCTCCTAGTGGTGCTCTCAGACTAAAGTCGTATCCGTCAGGCGGGAGTTGTCTTTCAGCCGCTCAATAAGTCCTTCCTTTGGAGTGCCATCTGCACTCGCCCATATAGTCCGGTGAAGATGTAAAGGTCAGCTGCGATCAACAGCATTAGAGTACTTCGAAAAAACCCGCACTTATCCCTTCTTAATGTTATGTAAGTTATGGTTGGTTCCTCTATTATATGGTATATAGTTAATTTAATTATTTGTTATATTCAATATTATTAAATATATTTAATGAATGTAATCGCTATTACATATCTTGCAGTTTCATTTCTTATACCAACAAAAGTAGAAGAAATGCGAAATTTTATAACAAAACTAATATTAAAATCTTTAAAAAATGTAATGTAATAACTAATAGAACAATATGTTATCTGTGCTAATAGTTAACCTAAAAAATAGACTTATGTTAGAACTTTTGTGATATGTCAAAGACTAAAAAATAGACTTATGTTAGAACTTTCGTGATATGTCAAAGACTAAAAAATAGACTTATGTTAGAACTTTTGTGATATGTCAAAGACTAAAAAATAGACTTATGTTAGAACTTTTGTGATATGTCAAAGACTAAAAAATAGACTTATGTTAGAACTTTTGTGATATGACAAAGACTAAAAAATAGACTTATGTTAGAACTTTTGTGATATGTCAAAGACTAAAAAATAGACTTATGTTAGAACTTTTGTGATATGTCAAAGACTAGAAAGAAAGAAAAATGTAATGTGACAATTATCATGAGTGTTGCCTAGCAATAGTTGTTGACTGTTGTTAATTATAAAATAAAAAGTTCGTAGATGTTATAAATAACCCTGGACAATTAACACAGCGCCATCTAGTCCTACGGTAAGCAGAGCTTATGTTACGGGTACTAGACAACTGATATAAATACTTAGATGTTGTTTTTATAAATACATACATATTATACATAGAAAACACCCAGACAGATAAAAACAATCATACTCATGAATACAAATGTTTGTACCGTGCGTGGAATCGAACTCGCGACCATGGGACGTATAGCGGTGTGCTAAACCACTAGATTACCGAGGCCGTCATTAGTATCAATTATTGTAATCATTATTACATAATATAAAACAAAGTTGTTGTCGGTGTCTCTCCGTCCCTATGTATGATTAAATCTTTAAAACTACGAGTGATTCAAGAGGAAGGTTTATATATATAATACACTAGCTTTTGCCCGCGGCTTCGCTCGCGTTTTTATTATTATTATATAGGTATAGTTTTTGTGGCTTTACTTTTGTTTCCTATCTTAGTGGATGCCTACGTCATAATAGCTTTATGCATGCAAAGTCTCAGCCCGATCGGTTTAAAATTGACAAAGTTTCATATGTACAAACTTTCATCCCCTATTTTATCCCCTTCGGGGTAGACTTAATCAAAATCCTTTCTTAGCGGAATGCTACGTCATAACATATACCTGCAAGCCAAATTTCAGCCCGATCCGTCCAGTGGTTTAGGCTATGCGTTGATAGATCACTATGTCAGTCATCTTTGAGTTATATATATTTAGATGTACACAAGTTGTAAATTTGTGACAATAAACAGACATCAATTTTATTTATTTGTATAAATTGAGATAAACAAAACATTTATCAATTGGGTCGTTTATTGTGAAACACAATAAACCTTTGTTATTATTATCTCTTAATATTGAACAATAGCGCATTCAATGTCTGAATATAAATGTTAAACTACACTACCTATAGGGTGTTCATATTTTACCTCGGTAGACATTTTTTTTTTACAGATGTCAATGGAATGGTGCACCCGCCTGCGCTAACGATATACGCTGGCGGGGCACCAGTGGAGAATCATAAGATGAACATGAGGTCAGGTTAGTAATCGGGACAAATTCTCCAAGAATTTATCACTATAGTTTCCAGGGAGAACCGCGTGGAGGTCAATCTGCTGATCTGAATAAGGTCAACAGATTGACCTCCACGGGGTTCCCCCTGTTCACATTACTAACAATCCCCTTTCACCGCCAGGGACCTCGGTAGGCATTTTTTTTACGGATGTCAATGGAATGGTGCTCCCGCCTGCGCTAACGGTATACAGTGGAGGACGATAAGATAAGCCCATCGTGACAAATTCACCAAGAATTTATCTCGATGGTTTCCAGGGGGCACCGCGTGGAGGACAACCTGATAGGGTACATTGCTAGCAATAAGATCATCAGTCCACATTACTAACAAGGAGTTGCGATTCGTATTTGCGTATTCCATATGTGGCCAGGATGAGCCACCCAGTTGGGAAAATAATCCCAAGGTACCGGCCTTTCACCTCGCCGGGCTACATGCCAAAAGGTAACAATTGCTCTTACTAAAATAGCTTTTTTATCAGACTACTCTAATGCTGTTGGTCACAGCTGGTCTTTACAGCTTCATCGGGCGCTAGGGGGCGAGTGCAGATGGCACTCCAAATCTACGGAAGGACTTATGGCTGAAGGCCAATTCACACCTGACGGATACGACTTTAGTCTCAAGGCACCGCTAGGGAATCTCATAATTTCGATATCCGTTTGAATTGGACGGGGTACCGATTGGAGGGGCAATTTATTACTGTTGCCAAAATAACGTATCTACAAGAACAAGCGAAACGTGAAGGAGAAGACAAATGTGTAAATAATTAATACATAATCCTTGGGAATGGCAACACATGAGGTGTACTACTGATGTCTCATAATGTGATGTCCGTGTGGTTTAAACACACTAAACGGTTGGATCCAATAATATACCAAATCCGTAAAGCTATTTATGTGATTAATAATGTGATTACCATTTAGTTGTCAAATTACAATATGAAATCAAAGTGACATGTATCATATCCTTTGCCTTTCTTACAAGAATAATTAAAAAAAATAAGTGACAGATGTCACATTGACATCGTGTGTCAAAAACATGCAATTGGTTGAAATACTGTTTTATTGAAAATTATTTATAAGAATTTCTTTTTATTTTTTTTATGTAAGCACGAAATTATCATTAATATGTACTAAATAATTTACTTGTTATTGTATCTATATTTAATTACCTATATTAGTAAAAAATGTTAGACTTCTTGCTATATATTATTACATTTAGTAATTGCTGAATTTCAGGTCTGAATATTCATATAAATATAAGTTTGCTGACTATGGAACAAATATACAAATTGGAAAAAGATATACAGGAACTGCGCAAACTATTGAGAAGTAAAGAGAAAGAGTTGTATGTAATGAAAAAAGAATATTCACAGGTTAGTGATTTACTATCTTTACATAGTATAAATTGAAGTAGCTTCCGATATCTGTTCGCTTATAACTTTTAAAGTACGCAACGGATTTTAATGCAGTTTGTAGCAATAGATAGAGTGATTCAAGAGGAAGGTTTATATGTATAATACATGCTTATGAAGTGGGTAGCTTTTTAGATAATAAAAGAAATGTAAGACAAACATAGTATATTGTATATGCGGTATACCTGTGTCATGTGAAATACACCTATAATACTCTCTTATACATAGCTGTCTGTAGGTGAAAGAATTTTTAAGTCTCTCAACTAATTTATGAGTTTATACTTTACAAACATAATTTCTATTTCAATTATTTCTATTTCTATTTCTATAACGGATAATGAACTTAGTATGTTTTGGTCTATTGAGACAGTTATTTCGACTTCATACTAGGGTTGCTTATATGTTTAAAAACAGGGTGCAGTAATAGAATTGCAATCATTATTAAAAAAATAAAAAATTAAAATGTATTATTTTACTTATTTTCACTACATATTAATTAAAAATTAAAATACAAATTGCAGTGGTTAACACTTTTATTTTATTTTTTATTTTTTAATTAATAGGTATTGGAAATAGATGAAATATAATTAAAACAATCATATTTGTTGTAATTAAAATATTTGAAATCTTTGAAAAAATTATTGGCCTGAAAACTAGCTATTAAAACAGAAGCAAATTTTAATGTAACTCAAATAATCATATTTTTTGTAAACTAAGTATTTGATTAAAATTATATGGCTTGAAATATAGGGAAAGTTTGGACTCAGAGTGCAAGGGACCGAACCCTATGGAAATACTTGCAGGCCTATGTCACATGACAGACTGTTGACATTCAGATGTCGAAAAAACTTTATAGACTATCAGGACTGCAGTTACTGCTGTAAATTTGTAATGTAATGTTAACAGTAAATAACTCTGGCCAACTGAAGAGGAAACGCTGCTTCACATCCTATGTGGTTGTAGCCCACTCATGCATAAACGAAATATCTCCTTTGGAAAGTTTACACTCTTTCCCTAGGAGATAAAAACGATTGCTCCTAAGAATATCCTTCAATTCTTGTACCTGACGGGTCTAGGTAGTGAACTCCGAAAGGGCGAGCACAATAGATCTATGTAGGTCGCAGTGCGACAGGTGCTACACATCTGAACAATAGCCCAAACAATCCAATAAAAAAAAATACAGTAAATAAAGGCATTTATTATTATTATTATTATATATGGCTTGAAAATCATTAATTTTTATATAGAAGTAATAATCGTAATCTTAAAAACTCAGGATGCTACTTAAAAACTATTCAGAGCACAACAAAAGCTAGGACGTTATGGGAAAATGGGTAACTCTATACTTCAAGCTCTAAACTTCATACAAATATCTTCTGACAGACAGACGTAGGTCATTGTAATATATTTATATAAACTTTAAGGCACAATGTTGGAAACTATTTTATTTACCTTTTCTAGTGTCTATATTTTTTATATTATATTGTTTTTATATGACATAAGTCAATTTAATACAAAAATATTCTACAACTACAACGGTGCTGTTTTACTTATTGCTTGTCATCTTGGTCTCCATCCTTCACACACAAGTATGCACATATATGGCAGACTTAACTCCTTGAGGGAATACCTTGTTATTAACCCGTGTTTAATTAAAAATTTCAGCAAATTCAGCAACAACATACAAATATACAATCAGATGCTGTGTATGTGTGTGGAGATAAATTACCTAAATGGGCCATAGAGAGGTATGTTTTTTTTTAATGGATGATACTAGAATGATACATCTACCTTTGGTAATAGTATATGCTCGAGGCGCCAGTGGATGATGATAAGATGAGCATAAACTTAGCTCAGTTATCATGGATGGTTATAAGGTATAAGGGCAGAGGACGATCAAAAAAGAGATGGATGGACTGTGTGAAAGATGATATAGTAAGAAAGGAAGTAAATAACGCGATGACTCTGAACAGGGATGAATAGAAGAGAAAAACATATTACGACGACCACAAATTAATGGAATGATGATAAAGACAGGTCAGCAGATCATGATGAATGCACTGACCTCCGCCATTTTAAATTAAATATATAAGGTCTCATTTGAAAGTGAGAGACCTTAAAGGAGGTGAATGTACACGCCCCTTTAGGGTTAGGTTTATGACCTACTTTGTTGAGATCTTGGGAGCTTGTAATGATACAGCCGAGAGACAGATCAGAAGTGTTTTTATTGTAAATATATTTCAGCCTTCTACATATATGATTTTACACGTGTCGCGTTTAAGCTCAGCTGCAAGTAACGACGACTTGAAGGTCGCACAGCTGCGTTTCTAATAGAATAGAATAGAAAATCATTTATTCAAATAAACTTAATTTAAGCACTTTTGAATAGTCATAACAATTTGTTTTTTATCTACCACTCGTTCGGAAAGCTGTCTCATCACAAGAAGAACGAGCAAGAAACTTATGTGTTGCTCTTTTAAATAAACCTTGTAAGTTTACATTTACAAGTCGAAACGTGTGAATACAAACTACCAACCAGCACTAATTTTTTGGGTCAAATATAATCATGCAATAAGATTAAATCAGTCGTAGTGATAAGAGCAGACCAGTCCCTACAAGCAGCACTCGTTCACGAGTATGACGGATGAGCCAGCCATCTCTGCGCTCGACCATATTTTAGGGAGCCCATTGACCCGGCCCACCACGCCGCCACATGTCTGGACATTTTAGTGAGCATGACTACTCATTCCACACGACCACGTCACAGCTACAAAAATTACTATATGGTAGTTACAGTATTCGCACTTTACATAAGGATGCATGCGGCAATCAATACAAAAGTCGCTACGCTATCATATATCAAGAAAGCAGTATGAAAATTAAAATTATAACGCTGTCCGCAAATAAACTTATTCTTGCTATATATTGCTATCATCTATAATGTTACACCTGCCACGCGGTTCTCCCTGGAAACCATCTTGTTAAATTCGAAGTCGTGGGCGTAGGCTACTGGAACTCGATGATTAACCAGGACCACCAAAACAGACGATGATTCTGCTGGGAATCACGCTCTACTCGCGACGTAGCACCTACACCACATCTGTTCATAGTCTCCGACTGATTGCAGGATAGGCACAGAAAAAATCAGTTAAAATATAAAATATATAAAACATATATTATTATGTACTTCGATATTTGCAGGTACAGTCGCCAGATATTGCTGTCTGATATTGGAGTGGCTGGCCAGGAGAAGCTGTGCAGCGCGAAGGTGCTGCTGGTGGGAGCTGGTGGTCTAGGCTGTCCCGCCGCTATGTACCTAGCGGGCGCTGGAGTTGGTAATTTACTCTTCTTTTTTAAGTTCATTCATGCTTGAAGGCAAGAGATCGATATGTTAATCGTTACCGTGTGGTAACGATTTAAATTTAATTGGACGAGATGTGTATCTCGTCCAATTAAAACGAGAGTTGTCCTTCAGCCGTTGCATAAGTCCTTCCGCAGATTGGCAATGCCATTGGCGCATTTTCTTCTTCTTAATATAGTTATATACATAAAGTAAGTGTTTTGTACGTTGAGTAGTTTAACCCCTACTTATTTCTACGGCTGTAATGGATCGATTTAACACACCACTTTACTTCAAATGATCGCGGATTCGATTCCTTGTATGGTGCACATTTGTGTTCATAAGTGATTGTAACTAGGTATTTTCTATGTATATTATGTTGTATTTACATAAAAAAATATCTAAGTATTTATATCAGTTGTCTAGTACCCATAACACAAGCTCTGCTTTACGTGGGGCTAGGTGACGCTGTATTAATTGTCCAGGGTTATTTATTTACAGGTGAGATTGGCATAGTGGATTATGATGCAGTGGATCTTACGAACATTCACCGTCAGATACTGCACGGGGAAGGTGACCAGCACATCAGTAAGGCAGAATCTGCAGCCCAGACCTTGAGGAGGTAGGTCAGAAGTCATCCATTTTTCTGCTATACTCTATTCTTTATTGTGCCACACTCATATGTTAGGGATCACGTCAATATTGTAGAAAAATCCAATATTTTAAAAATATTTTTTTTTATTTAAATTTATTTATTCAGATAACAGAGATCCAATTTGTTAGTAACAATTGTACTTAGCCTACGTTAGTATATCTAAAATTACATATTATCATTTAAAGGCCCCCGTAACAATTTGGGTCCAAAAACAAAGTATTGGGCTGTCAAATTTATTGCACAGCATTTTTAGAATGCTGTTACTGCTGCCCCGCAGTCTGTGCAATAGAGAAGCGATCCGTTTGCGTCTGATGGCATACAGGTCGTCTGTTGATGCTGCTGCAAACATTGTGGATGCACTACAAAAGCGCGGCAAACGCAACACCATTCTGAAAACATTGTATTGAACTCGCAGAGCGCTGTATGCCTGCTGTGTATAGTTAACCCACAAGCTGCTTGTGTAGAAAGATTGACAGTAAGCTTTAAATAATTTATAATGAATCTGTATTATTGTAAACACGTACATTTATTTGAAAAGAATACGAGCTGAGTTTCTTGTCAGTTCTTCTCACCTAGAAATCATTCCGAACTGACGGTAGATATGTTACATCATAAGAGTTTGTAATAGATCTACATGAATAAAGATATTTTGATTTTAATGTTGAATAAATAAATATTATTGTTTCAGCATCAACTCCAGAATCACCATAACGCCGTACAATGTCCAACTGACGAGTTCTAATGCTTTGGACATCTCGTCTCGATATGATATCATATTGGACTGTACAGACAACGTGCCTTCCCGGTACCTGCTCAATGATCTCTGCGTTATGTCTAAGGTGTTTTTTTACCACAGCAATAATAATAATAATAATAATAACCAGGCACACAATAAGTACACACACACTCACACATACATACTCGCGCACACACACATACACACACTCTGCACTTACTTGGTTTCGGCCCGTAAGTGTGGAGAAAACCAGCAATAGCTGAGAAAAAATAAAGAATAATAATAATATATCTCAGGACAATTCACACAGCGCCATCTAGATCTAAGTTAAGCTAGCTAAAGCTTGTGTTATGGGTACTACACAACTGATACATATATATAGATTTTTTTTTCGTAAATACACACATATTATACATAGAAAATACTCAGACCGATACAATCATACTCATGAATACAAATGTTTGTGACGTGCGAGGAATCGAACCCGCGACCATCGGACGTAAAGCGGTGTGCTAGACCGCTAGACCAGCAAGGTCGTTAGTGGATGACTAGTACACCCGCGCAACTTCGTCTGCATTACACTTACTTGACATTTATCGTTATATTTTACCCAATTTACATAATATATTTTTAAATTATAGCCTATATGTTATTCTGATATATAAGCTTTTACCCGCGATTCGCCCGCTTGTATTTGTTTTTTTTTTAATGAAAAGTATCCTGTGTTCATTGTAAAACCTCCAAGAACATGTGTAATGTATTAAATTAAATTGCATGATGATCGGTTCAGTAATTTTTGCATGAAAGCATATAATATTAGTAAGGACGTTATTGTGAAGTTTCATCAAAATGCGTACAGTAATTTTTGCGTGAAAGAGTAACAAACATCCATCCATACTCAAAAAGCGTTTATAATAATAGTAGGATAATGGAAAGCATGCGCTAAATTTTGTATGTACTTACAAAAAAAAACATTAAAATATTTCTTTAGTCTAGATAACACAAGCTCTGCTTACTACGGGACTAGATGGTGCTGTGTTAATTGTCCAGGAATATTTATTATTTATGTATAGAAAAGTTGCGAGGTAACAGATTGAGCTGGTATGGGCATGTTATGCGGAGGAATGAGGACCATGTCTTATGGAAAGTGTATAATATGAATGTGGATGGATGTAAAGGGAGGGGACGCCCTAAGAAAAGATGGATGGATTGTGTGAAAGATGATATGAATAAAAGAAGAGTATGTTTAGATATGACGACCGATAGAGAGCAGTGGAAGAGAATGACATACTGCGCCGACCACAAATAATGGGATAAAGGCAAGGCAATGATGATGATGATGATGTATACACTAGCAGACCCGCCTCACGTTGCTGTGGCTAAGGTTCTTGAATAAAATAATATTGCGACTATAAATTGAGATGTAAGCTATCCTATCTTTCAAGTTGGAACAAATTGCACACAATGTGCAAATCAAATATGCAATCGATTCAGTAGTTTACGAGTCCATCGCGGACAAACAACGTGACACGTAATCTAAATATATATAACTCAAAGGTGACTGACGTAGTGATCTATCAACGCACAGCCCAAACCACTGGACGGATCGGACTGAAATTTGGCATGCAGGTAGATGTTATGACGTAGGCATCCGCTAAGAAAGGATTTTGATGAATTCCACCTCTAAGGTGATAAATTAACGCGAGTGAAGCCGCGGGCTAAAGCTAGTTTTTATATATAAAGATTATTGTGTATAATATAATATTATATTAATGTTATTCAACAGGTGCCATTAGTATCTGGTAGTGCATTGAAAATGGAAGGCCAACTGACTATCTACGGCTATAGGAGTAAGAAAAATATGAATGAAATGGTAAGAATTGTAACATTTATGTATTACGGCTACTAGGCTCATATTATAAATAGCTTATAGAGTAACATAGTGTATATATCTTATATATAAAATTCTCGTGTCACAGTTTTCGTTCCCATACTCCTCCGAAACGGCTTGACCGATTCTCATGAAATTTTTGAGCGTATTGAGTAGGTCTGAGAATCGGCCAACATCTATTTTTCATCCCCCTAAATGTTAGGGGTAGTCCACTCCTAATTTTTTATATATAATATGTTTTTCTCTTCCATTCATTCCTGTTCGCAGTCATCTCGTTATGTACTAGAGGTAATCCTCCACTGGTGCCCCGCCAGCGTAAACCGTTAGCGCAGGCGGGTGAACCATTCCATTATCATCCATAAAAAAAAATACTGGTGTAAACCATAATCCTATTTTATTCTGAAATTAAGAACTATGATAAAAATGTCTAGATTAGGTTGCAGGTTGTTTTTGATTGCTATCAAATTAGACAAAATAAATACACGTGATATCTTACTACACTCTTCCTCCCTCTTGTGATATTTTCCTGATCCCCCCCCCCCTCCCCCTCCTCTCAAGCCTCACGTGATTAATGGACAATCTCTTTTCAGGATGCCTCATATATAGGACCTTGTTACCGCTGCGTGTTCCCCTCTCCTCCGCCACCGGAGACAGTCGGCAGTTGCTCGGCGAATGGCGTCGCCGGTCCCGTGCCAGGGGTCATAGGTTCGTTACCAATTTATATTGTAGAGACGTAGGGAATTGTTAGTATTAGGTTCATAACCAATTTGTAAATGCGTAGATTATTAGTAATTGGTAATTAGTAATAAAAAAAATGTAAAAGTTCGTGTCGATAGCAATGTATATCTTTATCATCATTACATAGTATAAGACAAACTCGCTGTAGCTATCTGTCCCTATGTATGCTTAAATCTTTAAAACTACGCAACGGATTTTGCAGCGATTTTTTAATAGAGTGATTCAAGAGGAAGATTTATATGTATATATATACATGTACAACCACGCAAAGCCGGGGCAAGTAGCTAGTAATATTATAAACGCGAAAATTTATAAGTATGGATGTTTGTTACTTGTTACTCTTTCACGCAAAAACTACTGAATGGGTTTTGATGAAACTTTACAGTAATATACGTTATGCATCAGAATAACACCTAGGCTATATTTTTTATTGAAATTTAATGCGGATGAAACCGCGGGCACAGCTAGTATCTATTCCTCTGCAGGCTGTCTCCAAGCTTTAGAAGCTATAAAATACATTGTGGGACATACACACGAACAGCTGCTGGTGGAGAGAATGTTACTTTTCGACGGCGCAGACAGCAGCTTCAGAACTGGTATGTTTCTATGAAATATGATTTCACAAAACACAACCCTAAGAACTATAATGACCTGACCTCATGCTCTCATCTTATCTTCCTCCACTGGTGCCCCACCAGGGTATACCGTTAGCGTAGACCGTGCACCATTCCTTGCATATCTACTTCTTCCTTATCTCATTTATTTGTGGTCGTCGTAATATGTTTTTCTCTTCCATTCATCCCTGTTCGCAGTTATCTCGTTATTTACTCCCTTTCTTATATCATCTTTCACACTGTCCATCTATCTCTTATTCGGCCTTCTTCTGCCCTTATAACCATCCACATTTATATGTAACACCTTTCTTATGATATTATCCTCATTCCTACGCATTACATGTCCATACCACGACAGACGATTACTCTTCAACCTCTCCGACACCGGTGCCACTTTCATACTTCCTCTAATGTATTCATTCTTTATCTTATCCATTCTTGTCACACCACACATCCGTCTATCACATATTCTTTCGTCTGTTGCCATCCAATATCATGAATATTACATTATTTAAAATTAAGATACACTTAGATTGTGGAATGAACTACCTGCCGAGGTTTTCTCACGAGACTACAGCATGGGGTTTTTCAAGAAGGGTGTATTAAGGTTTCTTAAGAGTCGGCAATGCGTACGTGACATCCCTGGTGTTTCAGGCGTCCATAAGCTACGGTAACCATTTACCATCAGATGGGCCGTATGCTTGTTTGCCACCATCGTAGTATAAAAAAAAATAATCAAGAAAAAAATATATACATGAACAGCGTTATGAAAATCATGTTATCATTTGACGGTCGTGATACCACTCACGCGTTGTCACTCCAGAGTACTAACATGTCACGCCTCTTATATTGTAAATTCTCTTCCTAATCTGCACTACAACCGAAACAGCTTACAAAGCAAGCTGCTTGGCTGAAATAGGTGAGACTGAGGTACACACGCAGACGAGTTTTTACAGTCTATCTTACAAAAGAATTACAAATTGCAGTGAATTTCTTGCCTTTACTTCACCTCACCTCACGACAGAGGGCGAGTGCAGATAGCACTCTAAACGAAAGAAAGGACTTATGGAGCTGTTTTTTGGATGCTGTTGGCCGCAGCTGGCCTTTACTTGACCTCACGATAGGCCGAGTGCAGATGGTACTCCAAACCAAAGGAAGGACTTATGGAGCGGCTGAAGGACAACTTCCGTCTGACAGATACGATTGTAGTCTGAGGGCACCACTAGAGATTTGAACCTCGTCTCAGGCCGTCGTAATTTTGATCCCCACTTGAATTGGGCGGGGGATCGATCGAAGAGGTTCTCGTAATCAGCAGAAATAGATGGGTCTTAGGTGCGTGGGTGACGCAGACGACTTTGTACAGTCTACCGTACAAAATAGTGACATTAACTTTCAATTTGCAGTGAAAATCCGCGCTTGTCATTGTCGCGTCATACTCGTGAACGGGTGCTGTTTGTAGGGACTGGTCTGCTCTAATCACTACGACTGATTTCCTATTATTTAGTTATTTAACCACTTGGTTGTATATGCAATATTTTTTCTATTCGAGTATTTAATTGAATTAGTGCTAATTGGTAGTTTGTATACACACACTTAAACCTTAAAATGTAAAGTAATAATAAAATTATTTAAAAGAGCAACACGCAAGTTTTTTGCTAGTTCTTCTTGTGATGAGACAGCTTTCCGAATGAGCGGTAGATTAAAAAGATGTAATGACTATTAAAAAGTGCTTCAATGTAAGTTTATTTGAATAAATGATTTTCTATTCTATTCTATTCTTGTAAAGCTCAAATTGTTAAGACTTAGGTGCATGGGTGATGCAGGCGACTTTTTACAGTCTACCATACAAAATAATAACATTAACGTCCAATTTGCAGTGAAACTCCGCGCCCGTAATCAACAATGCGCGGCGTGTTCAGAAAACGCAACTATATCCCAACTACTCGACTACGAGGTGTTCTGCAAAGCACAGGCCAAGGAAAAGGTTAGAATTCACTTTGTAATCACCAAATTAAATAGTTTGACATGTTTGTTTGTCTGTGGCATCGTGACTCCTAAACGAGTGGACCGATTGTAATGCGGCTTTTTATGTTGAACTAGTGCCTGCGAGTATGTTAGCGTTATCAAAAACACTTCATACATGTTTTTTCGGTAACCTGAACTGTATACGCAGCGTGCTCAACGGAAGCTCGCAATTATGAATAATTTTCCACGTTTTTACATTTTTCACTGATGCTTCGCTTCTATTGGTCGTAGCGTAATGTTATATAGCTTAAAGCCTTCCTCGTGAAATGAACTATCCAACACAAAAAGAATTTTTCAATTTTAACAAGTAGTTCCTGAGATTAACGCGTTCAAAAAAATAAACAAACTCTTCAGCTTTATAATGTCTGTATATATAAAAATGAATTGCTGATAACTCGAGAACGGCTGAACCGATTTGGCAAATTTTAGCCTAGAAATATTCGTGAAAGTCCAGGAAAGGTTTAAAACAGTGATAAAATATGAATAAATTGCATAGCTTAAAGCCTTCCTCGACAAATGGACTATCCAACACAAAAATATTTTTTCAATTTGAGCCAAGCAATTCCTACGCAAGGGATTTTAATGGAATTTCTAGCAATAGATAGAGTGATTCAGGAGGAAGTTTTGTATGTATAATACATGTAAAACCGTGCGAAGCCGGGGCGGATAGCTAGTTCATAATACCGTTCTCTCGGAAACTGCCGTAAATAAATAATTGCAAAGTTTTGAAAATGGACATTAAGTCTATATAGTTAAAGTCGGTTTCCCAAAAAGAAATGTTTTTGAGTTAACGCATTTGAAAATGGACTTAAGTCTTTACTGTTAAAGTCGATTTTACAATAAAATATGATATTGAGTTAACGCAATAGAAAATGGACTTAAGTCTTTATTGTTTAAGTTGATGTTTGGGAAACTACTCTACTACCAAAATGTTAGGGAAAGTACTTTATATATATATATATATAGGGAAAAATTAGTGTGAGCGTCAGTTTCGTACCTTCTGTTTCCGTATGGTTCTGCGGATTTCTTGGGCTTCAGGGTCTCGAAGGTATCTTCGCTAGCTTTCCAGTTTCACAGTAGGTTTCACAGTTCTAATTTATTTTAATTCACAACACAATGCGCGCGCGCGTCAATGCCGTCGTACAGTCGGTTCAGTACTAGTTAGGGAGGGGAAGGGAACGCGCGGGAACAGAAAACTAACGGACTCTAATATAATATAATATCTGTGCTTACGATGATACAGAGTAGATTTTGAACAGGCGATTTTACAATAAAATATGATATTGAGTTAACGCAATAGAAAATGGACTTAAGTCTTTATTGTTATATTTTAATATATGATTGAGTTAACGCATTTGAAATGCTTAAGTCTTTATTATTAAAGATTTTACAATAAAATATGATACAGAAATTGGTTAAGATTTTAAAGATTTTACAATAAAATATGATATTGAGTTAACGCAATAGAAAATGGACTTAAGTCTTTATTGTTAAAGTCGATTTTACAATAAAATATGATATTGAGTTAACGCATTTGAAATTGGACTTAAGTCTTTATTATTAAAGTCGATTTTACAATAAAATATGATATTGAGTTAACGTAATAGAAAATGGACTTAAGTCTTTATTGTTAAAGTCGATTTTACAATAAAATATGATATTGAGTTAACGCAATAGAAAATGGACTTAAGTCTTTACTGATAAAGTCGATTTTACAATAAAATATTATTTGAATTACATTAGAAAATAGTCTTTAAGTCTTTATATTTAAAGTCTGTTTCACAAACAAAATATTTTGAGTCAATGCATGGGATGTAGTATAACGAAAATGTGTGAATTATTGTGCACTTCAAAACTGCGAATGTTGCATTCAAGGTAAGTTGATTTGGTTTTTTTTTGTTTAATTAAAAGTGATTCTGCTGCGACATTCGTGGTATTGAAAACTTTATATTTGTTTATTTGTTATATATAAAATATATCTTTATATATAAAAACGTGTCACGTTGTTTGTCCGCGATGGACTCCTAAACTACTGAACCGATTGCAAATTTGATTTGCACATTGTGTGCAGTTTGATCCAACTTGAAAGATAGGGCATCTCAATTTATAGTCGCAATATTATTTTATTGTAAACTAGCTGTGCTCGCGACTTCGTCCGCGTTGAATTAACTTTATTTTTCTAAAATAAAAGTAGCCTAAGTTACTCCTTATTACATTACATCAAAAAAGCTAAAATCGGTCCAGCCATTTCAGAGATTAACCGGAACAAACAGACAGACAGACAAAAATTGTATAAAACGTTATTTTGGTGTATGTACCGTATTTATATTCATTTGCATGTAGTAAAAAACGGTTATTCCAATATTATAAACAGACACTCCAATTTTATTTATATTCGACTGATATAAATTTATTTGTGTTATTTTATTTGACGGCCTCGGTGGTCTAGCGGTTGTGCACACCGATTTACTTCCGATGGTCGCAGGTTCGATTCTTTGAACTCACGAATGCAAATATTTGTATTCGTGAGCATGATTGTTTGTATCGGTCTGGGTGTTTTCTATGTATATTATGTATGTATTTATATAAAAACATATCTAAATATTTATATCAATAACATAATCATAATCTATACCTATAACACAAGCCCTGCTTACCATGGGACTAGATGGCGCTTTGTTAATTGTCAAGAGTTATTATTCTACTAGCTATGCCTGCGGTTATACCCGTGTGAGATTTATAGCCTATGTGTTATTCTGATGTATAAGCTATATGACTGTAAAGTTTCATCAAAATCTGTTTAGTAATTTTTGCGTGAAAGAGTAACAAACATCCATCCATGCTCACAAACTTTCGCTATTATAATATTAATAATATAATAATATGATTACAGTCATATAACAGTTTATAACAAATAAATTAATTTCATTTCAGAAGAAGAAAGAATCTCGTCTTAAATCAGAGCGCCGTAAACAAGAGAAAGAGAAACGCATGACCGGCCAAAAGTACTACGGGTTCCGTATAACCAAATCTAACGACACCAAAAAATGGATACAGGACGTGCCGAAATCTGAACGAAAATTGGGCTCCCCCTGTATATCGGAGTTTTGTGCGAAAGGGACGGCGCGATACTGCTCACAATTCACTGAGGAACAGAGACAGGAGATATTCACTTACTTCTGGAACTCCCTAGATTGGAAAGGGAAGAAGAATTACGTAAGATTACTAGTCGACAGTGTACCACCAAAGAGACGTAGACTAAAACATAAAGGCGAGGTATCACGGAAAGGCGATTCTAAACTCTACCACTTATACAATAAGGATCAAAGACAACCAGTTTGTAGATTAATGTTTTTAAACACTTTAGGTGTTAAAGAAGCTATGGTCAGGTGTTGGTTATTGAACGAGGACAAGCCGAAGTGCAAGAAGAAACCTTTGAAGTCGTTAAATGTAGATGGCTATATTGATAATTTGCCTAAAGTACCCTCAAAATGCCAATATTGTATAAATTCAGGCTGTAATATAATGTATATAGATCTCGATGTAAAAAGTCAATACCAGTTATATAATCAATATATTAAAGATATGAAATCGATCAACATAGTACCAGCGTCAAGGAAGACCTTCTCCAAAGTGGTTCTTATGAAGAATGTGAGGATATTTAAGCCCAAAAATGATACGGATGTATGTGATCTGGTCGCACAACATAATGTGTTGCCGAGTTTAGGATATCAGAGTGTGAATATGGATAAAAATGAATTGACTAGTCAGAATGTGAATGCGAGTTATTTTTATAATGCACAATGGTAATACAGTGGACCCGCGGTAATCCGGCCCCCCTTGTAATCCGACATTGTCTATTATTTGTTATTGAATATTACTTTGACAATATACTTCAGAGTGCATATACATACATACATATATAACATAGAATCTTATCACTGGATCTGTAATTTGTCGGATTACAAGATACTCTTTTGTAAAAAATTCCGGACTATAAGCAGAGGACCCTTAAGCAGCACTCTATAATCCGACAAATACGATGGTCCGACACTGCCCTGCAAAACGTTTGTCGGATAACCGGGGGTCTACTGTATATGTATATAATATAAAGAATCATCATTGGATCTATAATTTGTCGGATTACAAGGTACTCTTTTGTAAAAAAATTCTAAGGGGTCTTAGGCAGTACTCTATAATCCGGACTACCGGGAGTTGTCGGACTACCGGGGGTCCACTGTAATGTAATTGTAGTCGTAAGGAATTTACCACGATTTCCAGGGGACACAGCGTAGAGTTACAATGTACAATAGCAATGGGTCAACAGTCCACTAGTCCAGTTAATAACACTCCCTTTTGTTGTCACCATACCGAATATAGAAAAGTATTCTTTTTTTTTTTATTTCAATATCAGCATAAAATTAGTAAAATATTTTTTGATTAGCGATAATAAGTACAATAACATTATATGACATTTTTTTTATATAAACGTAAGCAAGTATGAATATGTAATTTGTATGCGTAATAAGTGGAACGACGTGGTGGTACGTGAGTGCGACGTTCTTCTGTCTCTTTCATTTTATTATCGCAAATATAAAGGATTATTTAAAAGAGCAACACGCAAGTTTCTTGCTCGTTCTTCTTGTGATGAGACAGCTTTCCGAACGAGTGGTAGATAAAAAACAAATTGTTATGACTATTCAAAAGTGCTTAAATTAAGTTTATTTGAATAAATGATTTTCTATTCTATTCTAAACGCGCGCGGCTACTGACTGCGTTCTGAAATGCAGTAAAAGGTCGCAACTATTACTCATATATTTTGTGACTGTTATTATATTAAATTTAGTTGCATTTCGGAACGCAGGGTGAGTGAAAAATATTGTAAATGTACCGATAATATGCATCATAACTAGATCTCTAAATATGCTGACGGCCTCGATGGTCTAGCGGTTATCACACCGCTTTATTTCCGAAGGTCGCGGGTTCGATTCCTCGCACGGCGCAAACATTTGTATTCATGAGTATGATTGTTTGTGTCGGTCTGTGTGTTTTATATATATAATATCTATGTATTTACGAAAAAAATATCTCTGTATTTTTCAGTTATCTAGTACCCACAACACAAGCTTTAAGTAGCTTAACTTGGGACTAGATGGCGCTGTGTGAATTGTCCTGAGATTATTGTTATTGTTATTGCTGTTACCTCTGAGAATGGCTAAAATATGCAAATGCATATGCGAATATGCACATGCATATAATCCGATCTCTAATCATGATAAATTCTCCGCAATTTGTCATGTTTCCGTCAATGAGCCAGCTTCATCAAATCAAATCAAATCGGGGGGAATGAGAATGTTGAATATGAATGGGAATGTGGAATAATTACCCCATTACTAATAATGTACCCTGCCTGGTTGACGTCCACGTGGTTCCCCTGGATACAATCATGATAAATTCGTGGTCAACTTGTTACGAGGGGCTAACTGACCTGACCTCATGCTCATTCTATCATCCTCCACTGGTGCCCCGTCTGCGTATACCGTTGGCGCAGGCGGGTGCATCATTACATTATCATCTATAAGAGAAAAATATTCAAATATACAGAGCGAAATGTGGTCATGACACAGTTGACAATGACTCTGACCACCCCGTCTGGAGTTATAGTCGTTATGATATATTATTTTAATATATTTTACTTTGAAAATAATGTACATATTTATGTATTAAAATGATCTGACTGCTTTTGTAAGTATTTATTGTAAATATAAGTGTGGGAAATAAATTATTATTTATTGAAATTTATTTTATTTACTCTGTGTCAAGTAAATATGTGATTTTATTATAAAAAACGATTAAATAGAAACCCATCTGTTTCAATGTTTTTTATATTACTAAATTTGAGAACAATCTCACCTGATATTAATTGATTATGCGGTTTTATCTGTTACAATCTGCAGATTTTGCCAAGCAGAAGAGGAAACGCCAGTACATATCCTATGTGGTTGTAGCCCACTCATGCATAAACGTAATATCTCCATTGGAAAGTATACTCTATCCTGAGGAGATAAAAACCATCGCTCCTACGAATATCCTTTAATTCTTGTCCCTGACGGGTCTAGGTAGCGAACTTTGAAAAAGGGCGAGCACAATAGATCTATGTAGGTCGCAGTGTTAAAGGTCAATAAATTGCCGAAGTCGTTTTAAAGATACAGCAGGTAAAAGAAAGAGCGGTTCGGAGCGGTGAGTTGGCAAGAGACCGGGCCTCCCTCCAATAGAAAAACAAGCTATTACAATCTCATAGTGCCTATACACTCTTGTCGCGTACAAGCAGCAACAAAACGCAACACAATGGGAGCGTTCTGATTGGAGCGCACACCCATCCAATTTTAAATACGCAACGTAACGTACAGACTTAAGAAGCTATCAAACCGGTTTTCGAAGATTCGAGGAGCAGAGACACAAAACAATAACGAATCTTTGAATTCTTTGATTTGGACTTTCGCTCCTAAACATCTTCATTCTGGTCCCAAAGTTGTTGAAATTGCTAAATATCAACCGATCTAACGTACTTTTGTTCACTCCACCAAAATTGTAATTTATCACAGTATTTACACATTAAATTGAAGACTATAAGCAAATCTATCATTTCTACAACCCTGTAATCTGCTGAAGACAACCTCATCTGCCATCTGAGCATTCGGGCCGCATCATCACGTACCACTCTTGAAAGACTTAATGCTGTATAAACACCAAGAAACCTAGATACATTGGGGGGAAATGGGATTGTTAGTAATGTGGAATGATAACCCCATTGCTAGCAATGTACCATGTCAATTCGACCTCCACGCGGTCCCCTGGAAGCCATCGTGTTAAATTCCTGGTGAATTTGCACGATGGGCTAACTGACCTGAGCTCATGCTCATCTTATCATCCTCCACTGGTGCCCCGCCAGCGTAAACCGTTACCGCAGGCGTAAAAGGCGTAAAAGGTTCTCCTGGAAAAAATCATGATGACTATCATGATGCACTGACCTGACCTCATGTTCATCTTATCATCCTCCACTGGTGCCCTGCCATTGTATATCGTTAGTGCAGGCAGCTGTACCATTCCATTACCATCTATAAGGTTGCCACAGTACAAAAAAGATTCTCACCATTTCACACATTTTAACTTAAAAATGTAAAGTTGCAATTATTTAAAAGAGCAACACACAAGTTTTTGCTCGTTCTTCTTGTGATGAGACGGCTTTCTGTATGTGCGTTGGATTAATAACTATGATTATTCAAAAGTGTATGACATATTATTATTTGCACAATTTGACCCTCTCAACACTTCCTACACCACGCTGTATTGGTTTGACTGGAAGAGATCTCTTTTAGAGATAAGTCCTCCTTTGTTAACATTATTTCTAATTAATATAACTAAAAAATGTATTTAAGTGCATTAAAAAATATTTGTAACATTTATAATGAAATTTCTATTCTATTCATCAAATAGAATCTTTCAATTATATATGTTTATTTACAGGATGTGGAACTGCATATATTACCGCCAGAAAGTCGAGTCTCGCCAAACCAACTGGCTGAGAAACTCAAGACAAACATAAATCACGAACAGCGCCATCTATTGGTAGATGTCAGAAGCGAGTCTGAGTTCAATATGTGTCGGATAGATGGCGCTGTTAACTGGCCCATAGAGAGTCTGCACGGGTCGCGATTCGAGCAGCTTTTAGAGCAAATCAAGAAGTGTTCAAGTGAAGGTTATTGTTTATTTATTTAATTACTAGCTTTTGCCCGCAGTTAATTTATCCCTTAAGGGGTGAAATTTATCAAAATCCTTTCTTAGTGGATGCCTACGTCATAGTAGCTTTATGCATGCAAAGTCTCAGCCCGATCGGTTTAAAATTGACAAAGTTTCATATAAACTTTCATCCCCTATTTTATCACTTTGGGGGTAGAATCAATCAAAATCCTTTCTTAGCGGATGCCTACGTCATAACATCTATCTGCATGCCAAATTTCAGCCCGATACGTCCAGTGGTTTGGGCTGTGCGTTGATAGATCACTATGTCAGTCCCCTTTGAGTTATATATATTTAGATAATACATTATTATTGTTATTATTATTATTATCACTATTGTCTCATTTTCTTAGCTTTTGCTGGTTTTTTACTCTGTGACGTATACCACATCTTGAAAATCTCTGAAATAGCTGGACCGATTTTGACAAGAAGTTCACATGCAGATAGCTAATGTTAAAGGAGAAACTTAGGCCACTGTAATTGATAGAAGGGAATTGTTAGTATTGTGAACTAATGACCTCACACGGCTCCACGCGGCCCTCGTCATCCTACTGCGCCTGCGCACCGTGCATTGTGCATCTGTGGTGCATTACGTTTGCGCGGGAAAAAGATTAACAAAATGGCTTCCTCTGACGACATACTGATTCTTAATTGTTTTATACTATTCTACATAAAGTTATATGTTTACTAGCCGTACCCGCGACTTCGTCTACGTGGAATTTAACTTTATTTTTCTAAATTAAAAATAATTTAAAAGTAACCTAAGTTACTCCTTATTACATCAGCTACCTACCAAAAAAAGTACCGTCGAAATCAGTCCAGCCATTTCAGAGATTAGCCGGAACAAACAGACAGACAGACAAAAATTGTAAAAATGTTATTTTGGTGTATATACCGTATCTATATTCATATGCATGTAGTAAAAAATGGTTATTTCAATATTACAAACAGACACTCTAATTTTATTTATATGTATAGATTTTCGGTTATATCAATATATTACTTTTATATACAACAAAGCGAATATGAATCAGCTTGCTTAACAATCTAATTACATACAAAAATGTTACCTTTTCAGTTACCTTCATTTGCAGAAGAGGGAACGATTCCCAAATAGCAGCCAAAAAGGTTCTAGAAGCAATAGAAGACGAATATAGAAGCAAGATTACTGACTTAACTGGAGGTCTACACGCTTGGTCTAGAGATGTAGACAACGATTTTCCAGTATATTAAATTTTTATTTCCAATGAGTGAATGAACGAGACAGAAAGTGTGGCGTCTTATTCTTTCTCGCAGAAGCAATAGACTAAGTTATATAGGAAGTGAAATGATTAGAATATATATTGAAATAAGTATATATGTACGTAATAAAAGTATTACTGCCACATTTTAAAAAAAAATCAAAATTTATCCAAAAAATAAAGAAAAAATGTTAGGGATGGCAACACATATCACTTAAGGGTATGAAAAATAGATAGCCTATTCTCAGACCTACTGAATATGCATGTAAAATTGATTTCATTTCATTTCCTAGACATAGACACTTTCATAAGTTCACAATGTAAATAAATTGGCTTTTAAATCTTGAGTTTTTTACCAGTTCTCAATAGAAATGGAATACTGAACTGAACTGAACTTACGTTCATAAGCGACTAAAATGTCCTACATGAAATAAATATTTTGATTAAAAAACCGGAACAGACAAAAATTGTAAAAATGTTATTTTAATTATTATGTACCGTATTTATATTCATATGCATGTAGTAAAAAATGGTTATTTCAGACAGATTTTCAAAAATATTACTTTTATATACAACAAAGAACTGAAATTACGAGCTGAGTTTCTTGTCAGTTCTTCTCATCTCGATATCATTCCGAACTGACGGTAGATTTGACATATCATAAGAGTCTGTAATAGACCTACATGAATAAAGATATTCTGAATTTTGAATTTGAATTTGATTATTTGTGTCAGTCTGGGTGTTTTATATGTATATTTCAAGTATTTATATCAGTTGTCTAGTACCTATAACAGAAGCTCTGCTTAGCCTGGGACTTACTGGAATTACTGTATTATGAATGTGGATGGATGTAAAGGGAGGGGACGCCCTAAGAAAAGATGGATGGATTGTGTGAAAGATGATATGAATAAAAGAAGAATATGCTCAGATATGACGACTGATAGAGAGCAGTGGAAGAGAATGACATACTGCGCCGACCACAAATAATGGGATAAAGGCAAGGCAATGATGACTAGCTGTGCTCGCGGTTTTACCCGGATGACCCGGATGATCCGGATGACCCGGATAACCTGGATGAAATTTATAGCCTATTTGTTATTCTGATGTAAATCCCTTCAGTAGATTTTGCGTGAAAGAGTAACAAACATCCATACTCACAAACTTCCACGTTTATAATATTATTAAGATAAGATTTCTAAAATTTAATAAATTGTTTTATTATTTAACCTTATTATTTGCGTTGATCTTCTTGTGTAAATTTCTTGCTCATTTCAGTGCGCAAGTTTCTTGCTCTTTCTTCATTAAAAAACATGCTGAGATCTGTATTCCTCTAATTATTGGATTGAGTTCCTAGCGATTTCTATATTGATCATCGCATGCCTCCACCTTGTTAATGTGTATTTACTTAAGACAACATTTAGTCAGAAGAGCAACACACAAGTTTCTTGCTCCTTCTTCTTGTGATGAGTCTGCGTTCCTAATGTGTGGCAGAATAAAAAAAAGAAGACTATTCAAAAGTAATAATAATAATATATTTTTTTTATATTATTAATTTGACGACCTCAGTGGTCTAGCGGTCACACCGCTTTACGACCGATGGTCGCGGGTTCGATTCCTCGCACGGTACAAACATTTGTATTCAGGAGTATGATTGTATTGGTCTGGGTGTTTTCTATACTATACTATACTATATAATACAAGCTCTGCTTAGCTTAGGACTAGATGGCGCTGTGATAATTGTTCTAGGCTATATTATTATTATTATGTTTATAAAACAGGTTTCATTCGTCACAAACTGACAAAATAACCAATAAAATATATATAACTAATATTCATACACTTTTTAAAGTTTATGAAGTGACTAATAGAGACTACCCTACTTGCAAAATTGCATTTTCAATTGGTAAACTCGGTTGACACGATTTTGAACTTTACTCCTAACACAATAAGGTTTAGAGGTAATCTATCGTTAAATTGTGGCAATTTTGTAATGTATCCCAAGCCTTTTTCTTGGTAAAGTAGTCGGGATTGGCTCGCTCCTGAAATGCGCGCGCACTACAAATTTGCAACAACAATTTTTATGCAAGAAAATGAATACATTGATGGTTTTGTATCATTTCATTGTTTTGTTGTGCAAGGGGAGGAAGCAATGTATTTCGTGAACTTAGATATCGAAATAAATCGAAATACAATGTTGCAATCAGTACCTTGGACTGAGAAGACATCTTTTCTGTTAGTTTGCTTCGTTTCGTGTTGCTCGTAGTGCTTTTTTTTTATAAAAAAATATGACTTTTTTAAATATTTAATTTAATATTAAAGTGTTCGTTGTAATATATAAAATGTAATTAAAAAATAAAAAATACTGCATCAATATCGTAAATGTGTTCTTAAAAAAAAAGAATAGTTATTAATTAAATATTTAATATAAAAAATTAGTATAAATATTATACGGTGATAACTTTTAAAAACATTTTTAAAAAAAGAATTGGTATTTTTTTTAAATAAAATGCATTCAAGGATATGATGTCATACAGCCATAACCCTTCCTGTGTTATGGAACGTTAGGTTGTATTGCCAGGTTTAAAATGGCGAATGTTACGAAAGTTTTGGCCACAATAAAAGCGGTTATTACAAGATTAGTGTTCGCGTGCCATGGCATCATAGCTATATGGCAGGTTACCGAGTTTAAGAACAGTATTGAGTATTGGTACTTGGCCTCTCCCATTTTGCTTCTCATTTTCGAAGGGCTCTTCACTTTGACCATAAAGGAGAACCAGGAATGGAAATGGTAAGTAATTTAATACTTATATATATGTACGTAGATAAGAAATTTGTTTGTATCTTCAGTTTTTTTTATTTTCTGACTACTCTAATGCTGTTGGCCGCAGCTGGCCTTTACGGCTTCACCGGACGATAGGGGGCGAGTGCAGATGGCACTCGAAACCAAAGGAAGGACTTATAGAGTGGCTGAAGGCCAACTTTCGCCTGACGGATATGACTTAAGTTTGCGGGCATCGCTAGGGGTTCGAGCCTCGGCTCAGGCCATCGTAATTTCGATCCCCGTTTGAATTGGACGGGGGATCGATCGGAAGGGACCTATCTTCAGTACAGTTCAGTTTAGTAACAAACCATTATGGTTATTAACAAGACTGCCAACTATGATTTAACTCTGTTCTTACTTGCTTAAACTTTCCTAAAAACCGGAAAAAAATAGTTTTAAAAATTATAATAATTAACAAAACTGCCAGATACGAGTTAACTCATAGTGTTTACTTATTAAAGTTTATTAAAAAAAAAAAACTAAAATATGTAGTTACAGAAATTATAAATAATTAGATTCAAGAAATAAAAAAGTTTATTTATAATATCAAATTCACATTTTGGCTTGATTACTGCAATATTCAGGAGCGGGCTATGTGTGCAAGATTAAGACGTGGCGGCGTGGTGGGCCGGCTCATTGGGCTCCCTAAAATATGATCTGGCTCATCCGTTATACTCGTGAACGAGTGCTGCTTGTAGGGACTGGTCTGCTCTTTTACGACTGATTTAATCTTATTGTGATTTTATATTTGAGCCTAAATAAATTAGTGCTGGTTGGTAGTTTGTATTCACACGTTTCGACTTGTAAATGTGAACTTACAAGGATTATTTAAAAGAGCAACACACAAGTTTCTTGCTGGATCTTCTTGTGATGAGACAGCTTTCCGAACGAGTGGTAGATAAAAAACAAATTGTTATGACTATTCAAAAGTGCTTAAATTAAGTTTATTTGAATAAATGATTTTCTATTTTCTATTATATAATTCCAAATGACCATACTTCATGTTTATACTAAAATTGCATTGGCCCTATTTAAAACATTTAATGACAGCCTTGTAGTTTAGTGGTTTAGCACGCCGCTTTAGTATCAAAATTCAAAAATTCGATTCCTAAATTCAATACATCTAAACAGTTCATAAGTATTAACACTAGTATTCAAGAGTATGATTGTTTGTATCGGTCTGGGTGTTTTCTATGTATTTTTTTACGGATGATAATGGAATAGAATAATATTTATTACATTCATAAAGATTACATACATAAAATTACAAATGGGGCACCCGCCTGCGCTAACGGTTTACGCTGGCGGGGCACCAGTGGAGGATGATAAGATGAACATGAGGTCAGGTCAGTTAACACATCGTGGTAAATTCACCAATAATTTATTATGATATTATGATTGTTTCTAGGGGGAACCGCGTGGAAGTCAATCTGCCATGGTACAGTTCTACCAATGGGTTTATCAGTCCACATTCCCCCTTCTGTGTATATTATGTATATATTTACAAATACATCTTATATATAAAATTCTCGTGTCACAGTTTTCGTTCCCATACTCCTCCGAAACGGCTTGACCGATTCTCATGAAATTTTGTGAGCGTATTGAGTAGGTCTGAGAATCGGCCAACATCTATTTTTCATTCCCCTGAATGTTAGGGGTAGTCCACCCCTAGATTTTTTTTTTATTTTAAGGCAAAACAACGTTTGCCAGGACAGCTAGTAAATATATATACATATATATGCGAGTATATTTATCAGTTGTCTAGTACCCATAACACAAGCTCTGCTGAGCTTGGGACAAGATGGCGCTGTGTGAATTGTCCAGGGTTATTATTATTTAAATATTATTTAGTTTCAACTCTTTCGTTCAGAAAGTGTCTAATAATATCAACGTTTATTTAAATCTCACGAACTGTCTCCGACATGGTAGGGTGAGTCTTCACAAAGCTACCAAATGTCACATAAGCGCCCAATAAAGCTGTATAAGGTCAAGATCAGGCGTTTCCCTTGATTTGGAATGAAATGAAAAAAAAAATAAAAAACAAATTTGGCGGGAATTTCTTTTCTTTTTATTTTGATGGTTTGGCTGAAAGTGTTTTCGCCAAAAACTGTTTTTGAGAAAGTTTACGAATTAAAGAGAATAATGAATATTCGGATATTACTACATTATATAGAAATACTAGATTAATAAGTTTAGTTTATTTATAATATTAAGTCTAGTGTTTTACTACCCAATATTGACCATAAAGATTGTTACTTCAAATCTCGTCGATACAAAAATAAAATAACTTTGACTTACATTTTTCTGTTACTTACTGACATTTCGGTGATGGAAATATCAACGTTAAACTGAACTAATCGGCTCGCTAATAAAAATGCCTCTGACAACCCCAACTGGACCTAGACCCATTGCTAACAATGTACCATATTAGGTAGATCTCCACGCGGTTTTCCCTGGAAACCATCGTGATGAATTCTTGGTGAATTTATCACCATGGCCTAACTGGCCTGACCTCATGCTCATCTTAACATCCTCCACTGGTGCCCCGGCAGCGTAAACCGTTAGCGCAGGCGGGTGCACCATTCCATTATCATACACTAAAAAAAAACCCCCCAACTAGGATAATAGAAGAATAAAATACAAAATCATTTATTCAAATAAACTTACATTGAAGCACTTTTGAATAGTCATTACATCTTTTTAATCTACCGCTCATTGGGAAAGCTATCTCATCACAAGAAGAACGAGCAAGAAACTTGCGTGTTGCTCTTTTAAGTAATTTTATTGTTTCTTTACATTTTTAAGTTGAAGTGTGTGAATACAAACCACCAATTAGCACTAATTCAAAGTCATTCAATAGTCGTGAAGGTATGTTAGTTGTTTCGTTATTTATTTAGCAAACATTATTAACATGTATTTACAAATAGTTGATATTTATGGCGAGGGGATTGTTAGTAACCCCATTGCTAGCATTGTACCATGTCAGGTCGACCTCCACGTGGTTCCCCCTTGGAAATCATCGTGATAAATTCCTGGTGAATTTAACACGATGTGCTAACTGACCTGACCTCACCTGACCTCATGCTCATCTTATCCTTCACTGGTGCCCCGCCAGCGTATACCGTTAGCGCAGGCGGGTGCACCATTCCATTATCAACTCATCATCATCTGCTTCTTCCTTATCCCATTTATTTGGGGTCGGCGTAATATGTTTTTCTCTTCCATTCATCTCTGTTCGCAGTCATTCCGTTATTAACTCCCTTTCTCACCATATCATCTTTCACACAGTCCATCCATCTCTTTTTCGGTCTTCCTCTACCCTTATAACCATCCACATTCATATGTAACACCGTCCTTAGGATATGATCTTCATTCCTACGCATTATATGCCCATACCACGATAGACGATTACTCTTTAACCTCTCTGACATCGGTGCCACTTTCATACTTCCTCTGATGCATTCATTCTTTATCTTGTCTATCCTCGTCACACCACACATCCATCTCAACATTCGCATTTCAGTTGCATGCAGTCGTCTCTCATCCGTCGCCATTAACAACTATATGAAAAAAAAATTCCCGATACAAAAATGATTACAAAAATTATTGCATTGTAAAAAAATAAGGTTTATTTAACGCCTCCTTTTTTAAGTAGGTTGTGAAATTCCTTCTGACACAACATTAGTTAAATGCTTACAAAGCTAATGTTCACATCCGGGCCTCTCCCCTGCTGTCTACATTAACTCGATGATTCTTAAAACTATCGCAATACGGTTTATTATAGCACAACAATTGATTTGTTCAATTATTTCTGCTAATACCTATATATCGTCGGTTAAATAGAAAAATGGCACTACTTATTATGTTGTTGGGAAAGTAATTTCGTTTTTTTCCTAACTTAGGATTTAATTGTATTTTTTGCACTCAACTTCACACTTAAGCTGTATAATTTTTATATGCTTTGAGAGCTCATATAGCAAGGCTTGTGTGTGAAAAATTACAATTAGTTCTACGCAGTAGTTTTTGGTTGGTGCCCTTTTAAATATGTCGAGCCATATGCAGCATTTTCGACATATCTTACTGTTTTACTACAGAAAGGGCAAAAATGCTGTTCAAGCCAGAAAGAAATTGACCGATGTGTGTGGAGGTGTGTTAACAGTACACCAGTGCCAGAACTGGTTCGCTAAATTTCGATCCAGCAATTTTGATGTCGAAGATGTACCACCCTCGGGAAGGCCGGTTGAAGCTGATAATGACATTGGTTGATGGGAACCTAATATATATTTATTTAAACTTTATGGCATTGTACAATAGGCGGGATTAATGCTATTAGCATTCTTTACCAGCCAACCTTAGGGAGTGCAGAGATACTCGATGGCGGTTTAGTATATTAAATAGATATGGGTACATAGAATAATAATAATAATAATAATTTCAGGACAATTCACACAGCGCCATCTAGACCCAAGTTAAGCTAGCTAAAGCTTGTGTTATGAATACTAGGCAACTGATACATAGATAATTTTTTTTTTTCGTAAATACATACATATTATACATAGAAAATACCCAGACCGATATAAACAATCATACTCATGAATACAAAATGTTTGTGCCGTGCGAGGAATCGAACCCGCGACCATCGGTCGTAAAGCGGTATGCTAGACCGCTGGACCACCGAGGTCGTCGCATATAAATAATGAAATATAACATACATACATATAATATATATTATAAATAAACTACACATATATATTAGATGATGATGAGTCTTATTACTATTCAAACTATACATTTATTTTCATTTGTTTTTTATTTAAATTGTATACAATGCTCTGGAGATGAGCGCAAATAACTGCAACACAGTTTTTTGTAAACTAATGTAGTTGTTTACGTTTAATATGTTATTGTTATAACTTTGTTTGTGGTTTAAATAAATTATTTAAAACTTCTATTCAAACTGTATTCTTTTACAAGACAAGCAAGCAGTTATTAAATTTATTTTTTAAATTAATTAAATTATTTTTACCTTCATAGTTTTAAATTTACAGAGGTAATATATATCATTTTAAAAGTATTTAGATAATGATTAAGACGGCGTGTTTAATTTAATTGACTTAAAAGGATGCAATTCTAGCTTCTAATTTTGAAAAATGACATATTTCTATTTAATCGATGATATGTATTATTTTTTTTTACATTAAGTTTTTTTAATTATATGTATGAATATGTATGTATATACATACATACTAGACGTCAAGATCTCTACTAACTTTTAATACCTATCAATAACAAAATGGAGGAAGGTGATTTTCAGTAATGAGAATCAAAAGGGCAAAGAACAATAGGTAATAATATAATATACTAACTGACCCCGTGAATGTTGTTTTTCCATATATATTACACAAACCTATCAAATATTAATATATTGAGAGTTGCGAGATAAAATGGTTGAAATTTTAGGGTTGTATTTTTAATGCCACATTATAAAAAAATAAAAGAAAAATTTTTGTCCATAAATAAATGTTAGGAATAGACAACTCTTATCACTTAGGAGTATGAAAAATAGATAGTAGCTGATTCGCAGACTTGCTGAATATCTCATCTCTTTTGTCATACAAAATATATCATAATATTAAACTCGGTCATTTCACATTTATGTTTTTGATGGGATATGGGATGTAACGATACATGTGTTTTTCCTTATATTATACTGTTTGTGCTTTTTAGGGTTGTCTTTTAATGCCACATTATACAAAAATAAAAAAAAAATGTCTAAAAAAAATATTCTATCTGATCTCTATCTATCATAAAAATCGGTCAAGGAGTATGGTTTAGTACTAACATTGTGACACGGGAATTTTATTTCGGATTCGATTCCTCGCATGTTACAAACATTTGTATTCATGAGTATAATTGTTTGTATCGGTCTGGGTGTTTTCTATATATAATATGTATGTATGTTTGGGAAACTACTCTCTGCTACCAAAATGTTAAATATATATCTGTCACGTACCTGTATGGTTCTGCGGATTTCTTGGGCTTCATTCTCGAAGGTATTCACTAGCTAGTTTCACAGTAGGTTTCACAGTTCTAATTTATTTTAATTCACAACAAATTGCGCGCGCGCGTCAAGGCCGCTGTACGGTCCGTTTGTTACTAGTTATGGGTGGGGAGGCAAAGGCGCGGGAACAGAAAACTAACGGACTCTAATATAATAATCTGTGCTTACGATGTTACAGGGTAGATTTTGAACAATGTATTTACGAAAAAAAATATATATCTATGTATTTGTATCAGTTATTTAGTACCCATAATACAAGCTTTACTTAACTTAACTTGGGACTAGATGGCGCTGTGTGAATTGTCCTGAGATTTTTATTATTATTACTAGCTACTCTCCCCGGTTTCGCGCGGGTGTACATTTATATATATATAAATATAAACCTTCCTCTTGAATTACTCTATCTATTAAAAAAACTGCTTCAAAATCCGTTGCGTAGTTTTAAAGATTTAAGCATACATAGGTACAGACAACAACAGCGACTTTGTTCTATACTATGTCATGATTACATTCTAATTGTCCCCAGGTTCTGTCCATCAGTCTTCATATACCTGGGCCTGGTGGTGCCAGCGATCTGGCTGCTGGAGCTACACAAGGTGGACATCAGGCTCGCAAACAAGAACAACCTTCAGAATACATCCCTTGACGTAAGTTCTTTTAATATACTTTTTTTAACAGCCTCAGCAGTTTAGTGGTTTAGCACACCGCTTTACTTTCGTTGGTCGCAGGTTCAAATCTTCACACGGTACAAACATTTGTATTCATGAGTATAATTGTTTGTATCGATCTGGGTGTTTTCTTATATATGTATTTACGAAAAAAATATATCTATGTATTTGTATCGGTTATGATGATGTAATCCTGGCTGATTTCGGCCACACCAACTGTCTTCAACTCCGGTTTTACCGTTGATGTTAGTAGTTATCTAGTACCCATAACACAAGCTTTAGATAACTTAACTTGGGCCTAGATGGCGCTGTGTGAATTGTCCTGAGAGTAATTAAAAGATTAAATCAGTCTTAGTGATCAGAGCAGACCAGTCCCTACAAGCAGCACTCGCATTATTGAAACTCGAGAATTGTCCAGAGTTATTATTATTATAGTTCACTAGCTGTTCCCGCGACTTCGTCCGCGTGGAATTTTGCTTTATTTTTCTAAAATAAAAGTAGCATTATTACATCAGCTACCTGTCAAAAAAAGTCCCGTCAAAATCGGTTCAGCCATTTCAGAGATTAGCCGGAACAAACAGACAGACAGACAGACAAAATTTGTAAAAAATGTTATTTTGGTGTATGTACCGTATTTATATTCATATGCATGTCGTAAAACGATTATTTCAATATTACAAACAGACACTCCAATTTTATTTATATGTATAGATGTACTTACAAAAAAAAATATTTCTGTAGTCTAAATAACACAAGCTCTGCTTACTATGGGACTAGATGGCGCTGTGTTAATTTTCCACGGATATTTATTATTTATGTATACACTAGCAGATCTGGCCACGTGCTGTGGCTAAGGTTCTTGAATTAAATATTGCCACTATCACTTTCAATGTTACAAACAGACACTCCAATTTTATTTATATGTATAGATGATCTTAGGTCTACAAGCATCAGTATCTTTTCAGATTGACATCGTAATACCAGGTGCTACGAAGATCCCCACCAACATGTGGGTGACTCTCATTGAGCAGTTCCTGATGCTGACGCTCATCGTGGGAAGATGGTTACTCCCGAAAGGGGACCTCACCAGGGACCAGCTCAGTCAACTCCTTCTTGTTTATATTGGTATGTTATTTTTTATGGTTATTAAGATCCAGTTGATATTTGTACAGTTCTTTATTTACTTTATGAACACACTAGTTGACCCGCGTAACTTCGTCTGCATCCCACTTACTTGACATTTATCATTATATTATACTAGCTGTCCCGGCAAACGTTGTTTTGACTTAAAATAAAAAAAAATTAGGGGTGGACTACCCCTAACATTTAGGGGGATGAAAAATAGATGTTGGCCGATTCTCAGACCTACTCAATACGCTCACAAAATTTCATGAGAATCGGTCAAGCCATTTCGGAGGAGTATGGGAACGAAAACTGTGACACGAGAATTTTATATATAACATTTCGCCCAATTTACATAATATCTTATTAAATTATAGCCTATATGTTATTCTGATGTATAAGTTATATTACTGTACAGTTCCATTAAAATCCGTTCTGTAGTTTTTGCGTGAAAGAATAACAAACATCCATAGTCACAAACTTTCGCGTTTATAATATTAGTAAGTAGTTATACAACAGAAACTTCTTAGATAAAAACGAACAGGAACAGAAAGCATATTTTGAACTAGCTCTACCCGCGGATTCATCCACGTGTTTCTAGCCTATATGTTATTCTGATGTATAAGCAATATTATTGTAAAGTTTCATTAAAATCCATTCAATAGTTTTTGCGTGAAAGAGAAACAAACATCCATCCATCCATTCACACTCACAAACTTCCCTATTAGTTAGACTATATCTGTATCCGCCACAGATTAATAACACATAATCTTGATATAGATTATAAAAAAAGTTTTTTAGAATCATCCGAATGATGTTGATCTCAGCTGACCTTTATAGCTTCACCTCACAATATGGACAACTTAAGGAGCGGCTTAACGCCAATTCCTGCCTCACGGCTACGGGACCTTGTTTGCGCAAACTTGTTTCCAATTACACAAAAAAATAAAAATAAAAACAAAAAAAAACTTATCAAACAGGAACAGCGGCAGATATCATCGAATTCTTCGACTCGTTCAAGGATGAGAAGGTCGCAACCGAGAAGGTTCTAGTACTCCTAACCCTGGCCATTTGGTCGTGGTCCCTGATGCAGTTCACAGTGGTACTCACCGCCACCAAGTCCAGGAAATCCCGCGGAGCTGCTAATAGGTCTGAAATGTATGTAAAATTACTTGGTACACCGCACGCAGGCCTAGCACGCTGATGCACTGATTTGTCGCTTCTGTGGACGAGTGGGATATAACATATGTTGGTAGTGTGAGTTATGTTCTATATTAAATAACAGTTATGATCGGTAAATGAAATATGTTGGTAGTATGAGTTATGTTGTACGGTAACAGGCCATTTATAAATCACGTCATACCGTTTTCACCCCCTTCTGTCACAGCTGGTCACACTTCGTCATCATCTACTCCTTTCTGATCCCATTTATTTGTGTTGTCGTAATATGTATTTCTCTTCCATTCATTTTTCGCAGTCATCTCGTTATTTACTCCCTTTCTTATATCATCTTTCACACAGTCTATCCATGTTTTCGGCCTTCCTCTGCCATTATAATCATCCACTTTCATATGTAACACCTTCCTTAAAATATTATCTGCTATTTTAGTTGATCACACTTCGTGTAACAGTAAAATTGAAATTTGATGTAACGAAATCTAAGACCTTCACTAGAAGGTTGGGAGAAGTTCTAGTATTCGTATTTTGGACGAAATATGTTGTATTTTTTTAATAATAATCGTTATTAGCCAATAAAACACTCTTATATTTATGATAGTTCGGCGAACAATACACTAGATATGCAAGTCTGTATCGTGTAATTCAGAGGATACCTTTAGACATTTAATATGTTAGGTGCTCGGTTGTGACTCATAAAACCCCTTGTAATTGCTATATCACACTTTCTCGACCCTTTACGTATGACGTAATTTACGAATGGCCTGTATAAAATATGTTGTTAGTAAGAGTTATGTTGTATTAGTACGGTAAGTACATTAGTTAGAGATATGTTGTAGGTACATTATAGAAGTATGTTGTATTATTTTTAAACTTTCAATATTAACACAAATTGTTTTATATGTAGTAAATATTTCTTTTTATAAGTAGATTTGTATTTATAGAGTAACTTAGTAGTTTTAATGTTGAGGTCAATAAAAGTTATCTTTTAAGAAGGATCAAATTAGGGGTCGTCTATAACTTGTCACATAAGGAGATAGCGGGGGTTGATGAAGTGTGACACTATGTGACAAGAAGTGGAATGAGTCATAAATTCTTCTTCTGCGTCTGTTGTAATATTATACAGTAGATATAGCTTGCACGCTGTTTGTTAGTTTATTATGTATTAATTTATATAAAAATACATTTTGTTATTGTCAAAATCTTTACATATACTATGTAAACATTTTGACAAAGCAGAGCGTCGTTGCTATCTGTTCATTTATATCTTTTAAATTATGCAACCAATTTTAATGCAGTTTTCAGCAATAGATAGAGTGATTCAAGAGGAAGGTTTATATGTATAACACATGCGTGTTATAGTATAGAGCAAGCTGGGGAATTCAAAGATTTAAAACATCCGTGCGTAGCTGGACTTGTCGCTGATAGTAGAAAAATCGGGGACTTTTTTTGTAAAGCATTCAATTATGTGTAGGAAATGGGTTGTTAGAGACCTGTGCTTAAGTAGAAATATTGTTAGCAAAGCAGGACATATCTCTAAAAGAGATTTTTCCAGTCAATATAAAACAGCGTGACACAGAAAGTGGGAGTAAAAGTTGAAAAAACAACTTTCCTACCAATGGGGTTCTCTCACAAGCCTTGATCTACTAAGGTCTAAGACCTTAGGTACTAATTGATCAACTTTGTTTGTCACTTTAATGACTTCTAAATATACGGTCATGAAACGAGAATTAATCTGTGAGACGACGGTAGGTGGCCCCCATTTTGTTTCGAGAGGAAATGTTAATACAGACCGCTTTTATGAAGGGGTACTGTGGGCTCCTGACCCATTAAAACCCCCTGGTTTTCCGCTCATACGCGATTAGTAGCCGACGTCTCAGGTACGCTTCCGCAATCGGTCGAGACGCGGCTCGTTCTCCACTGAAGGAGCCCCCTCCGAATGTGGGACACGGGGACCACATGCGCCCACTCTCACAGATCACTCGCCTCCTAGGGAGGCTCGCCCCCTGGCGCGTTGTATTTACAAAAAAAACTATGTATTAGTAATCTAGTACCCATAAGTCTGGGTGTTTTCTATGTATAATATGTATGTACTTACGACAGACAGACCGATACAAACAATTATACTCATGAATACAAATGTTTGTACCGTGCGAGGAATCGAACCCGCGACGATCGGAAGTAAGGTGGTGCGCTAAACCGCTGGACCACCGAGGCCGTCAACGTTAACAGTAAATTAACAAAACACACATGGACTCTGTTTAATGCAAGTTTTAGTAGCAATTTCGTAGATGACTCTATCCATATTTTACAATACCCATAACATATTATTATTATATTATATTACTAGCTATTCCCGCGACTGTGTCCGCGTGGAATTTAACTTTATTTTTCTAAAACTAGCCTAAGTTATTCCTTAACAGCAGCTACCTGCCAAAAAAAGTCCCGTCAAAATCGGTCCAGCCATTTCAGAGATTAGCCGGAACAAACAGACATACAGACAAACATTTTAAAAACGTTATTTTAGTGTATGTACCGCATGTAGTAAAAAACGGTTATTTCAATATTACAAACAGACATTCCAATTTTATTTATATGTATGTATGGATATTATTATTATATTATTATTATTATTATTATTATTATTATATCTTGCATCTCTTTCTACAGGAACAGTCGAGCATGCTGTTGTTCTATAGAGGTTTGTGCTATAATCATGAATATAGCACTGCAGGACGCCCCGTTCCTGGCGTTCCGGCTACTTATTATATGTCATTACAAGATTATAAATTATATGAACATATTCTTTACATGTAAAAATACATTGGTAAGTATATATTTGCAGCATTTTCATATCATTTCATATTTTAATCGCCCATAAGCAAATAAGATAATCGCAAGAAATCGCCCATAAGCATCTCAGTGTGTTGTTTGCCCCACCCCGACCACACTTTTACACACATACACGACACCGTCCTCGCCGGCGAAGACGACGACCTCAAACACACATTATCGCGCATTCTAGCGGGCGCTCCACACCGGCGCCCCAGGGCGCCCCTCAGATCGATCCCCCGTCCAATTCAAACGGGGATCGAAATTACGACGGCCTGAGCCGAGGTTCGAACCCCTAGTGGTGCCCTCAGACTAAAGTCGTATCCGTCAGGCAGGAGTTGGCCTTCAGCCGCTCCATAAGTCCTTCCGCGGGTTTGAAGTGCCATCTGTACTCGCACCCTAACGTCCGGTGAAGCTGTAAAGGCCAGCTGCGGCCAACAGCATTAGAGTAGTCCGAAATGAAAAGTGTTGTATGCGCGAGCGGTTAACCACTGATTTTCAACTGACATACGCGAGGATGCATGTAACAAGATCGACTAAATTACTAGAAGAACTAATAGTTCAAAATCAAAATTCAAAATATCTTAATTCATGTAGGTCTATTACAGACTCTTATGATATGTTAAATCTACCGTCAGTTCGGAATGATTTCGAGGTGAGAAGAACTGACAAGAAACTCAGCTCATATTCTTTTCAAATAAATGTTGTACATGTTTACAATAATACACAGTCATTAAAATTCAAATTTGGGAGAATAGAGTGACCACAAGCATATGCTATTGCAAAAAACAAAAAATCTAATCAGTGTTCGCAACCTGAACAGACGAGTCCCCACATGCAGCACCCGTTCACGATTATGACGGCTGAGCCTGCCATCATTGCACTCCACCATATTTGAGGGAGCACATCGACCTACGATCTACGACTTAGTAGCTGACGTTGTATTGCCATATAAATTAATATCGCTATTAAAAATAGGGGTTGATGATAGAAGGGTGAATTTAGGAGTGTATGTATTTTTTACATGCTACATTATAAAATATTAAAATAAAAATTAAAACCCGTAACATAAAAATAAGTTTTGCGGTGGACCGCATAAGGTTGAGCCTACACTTGTAATATTTCTGTCGACACTTGACACCCTTCCATTAGTTTACGTCTCCACTAACATAGATTTAAGTTAAGTGTAAAATCAGTCTTTATTCCCGACTCCGCGTCGACTGGAAGCGTTATTAATAAACCATGTTGATTAAAATAAAAATTAACACCCGTAACATAAAAATAAGTTTTACGGTGGACCGCATAAGGTTGAGTCTACACTTGTAATATTTCTGTCGACACTTGACACCCTTCCATTAGTTTACGTCTCCACTAACATAGATTTAAGTTAAGTGTAAAATCAGTCTACGTCCTGACTCCGCGTCGACTCGACGCGTTATTAATAAATCATGTAGATAGATAGATAATAGTTTTTATTTGTATGTTACTACACACATATAGGCCTAATTATAACATCACATGACAAGTACCTATAATATAACAATTCAATAAGGGTGTGCTACAGCAATACCGGGTCATTGGGCTCCCTAAAATATGGTCGAGCGCAGTGATGGCTGGCTCATCCGTCATACTCGTGAACGAGTGCTGCTTGTAGGGACTGGTCTGCTCTTATCACTACGACTGATTTAATCTTATTGTATTTTTATATTTGAGCCTAAATAAATTAGTGCTGGTTGGTAGTTTGTATTCACACGTTTCGACTTGTAAAATGTGAACTTACAAGGATTGTTTAAAAGAGCAACACACAAGTTTCTTGCTTATTCTTCTTGTGATGAGACAGCTTTCCGAATAAGAGGTAGATTTAAAAAAATGTTGACTATTCAAAAGTGCTTAAATTAAGTTTATTTGAATAAATGATTTTCTATTCTATTCTAATACAAAACTGGTACATAGCTCAGTGTGGAGAATCACTCAAGCAGCAAAACACTGATTTTCAGCTATGTCCTCGAGGGTCAATAATGTACCTTTTATTTATGTAGCACACAACCAATAAACTTAATAATGTCTTATAAATCGTGCAATCATTTCACCGGTATACTCACTACCTACATACTACAATAAATAATATATTATGTCGTGCCACCTCATCACAACATATATAACGCTACAGTGATGAGGATAACCACCGCGCTGCAAGGGTATGAAAATTCGTAGCCCTATTATAGGAAATTAAACCTCTTTCCCGAGGAGATAAAAGCCATCGCTCCTAAGAATATCCTTCAATTCTTGTCCCTGACGGGTCTAGGTAGCGAACTTTGAAAAAGGGCGAGCACAATAGATCTATGTAGGTCGCAATGCTACAGGTGCTACAAACATCTGACAATAGCCCAAACAACCCAATAAAAAAAAAAAAATAGGAAACTATTTTGTTTATGACCTATCCTCAGACCTACTGACTGCACACACAAAATTTCATAAGAATCAGTCAGCCGTTTCGTAGGAGTTTTATTACAAACAGTGACACGACAATTTTATATATTACATTAACTAATAATATAAAACAACAATTATGTATTATTATTTTGTATGTGTACATGTATATGTATGTATGTATGTGTGTATAATAATTATTATTTATGTGTATGCAACAATGCAATGATTGCAAAAAATATTTTCTGTCTTCCTTTCTAATTGGATTTCCTTATTATGCTGTACTTTGTATACATATATCTTATTATGTACACAATAAAGTTTTTTATGGATGATAATGTAATGGTGCACCCGCCTGTGCTAACGGTTTACGCTGGCGGGGCACCAGTGGAGGATGATAAGATGAACATGAGGTCAAGTCAGCACATCGTGATAAAATCACCAATAATTTATCACGTATGTTTTCAGGGGTAACCGCGTGAGGGTTCTGACCTGGTACATTGCTAGTAATAAGATCATCAGTCCATATTACTAACAATCCCCTTTCCCCCTCACAACATAGTTTTTTTTTATTAATTTTATTTGTCTCTCTACTGTTTTTATTATCACGCTTTTTTTTTGGAATATAAATATATTGTCTAGTACTTCAGCCGCGATTTGATACGGCCAAAGACACACAACATAAAATTAAATAAAAATTTTTAAATAAAATATTTTCTTTCTTTTCTTTCTTCTTTATATCTAACCATTTATGTTTCAGGTAATATTATTGCAAATATATAGGCTATATGTACTACATTTGGAGACGGTTGACGAGGGGAATGGAGGTTCAGTGTACAGGAAAACCCACAAGCACAAGTCTAGCGAGAGAAAAGACAAGGACAGGAAACACGACAAAAAGTGAGAGAAAAAATATTTTTATATAAATGATAATAATTTTTTTTAGGAAATAATTAATTTAAAAATCATAGCGCTGACAGTGTTGTCTGATTGAACAAAGATTGAGTGATTAGCGGTTTCTATGTTGATTGTCGCATGCCTAATCCTTGTTAACTTAACGTAAATCTACTTAAAACAATATTTATTTAAAAGTGCAACACACAAGTTTCTTGCTCATTCTTCTTGTGATAAGTCTGCGTCCCTAATGAGTGGCAGAATAAAAAATGTGACTAATCAAAAGTGCTTATATTAAGTTTATTTGAATAAAGTTTATACATGTAAGTATATATTTATATCAGTTGTCTAGTACCCATAACACAAGCTTTGCTTAACTTGGAACTAGATTTCGCTGTGTGAATTGTTCAGGGTTTTTTTTTATGTGTTATTATGAAATGGTGCACCCACCTGCGCTAACGTATTACGCTGGCGGGGCACCAGTGGAGGATGATAAGATGAGTATGAGGTCAGGTCAGTTAGCCCATCGTGACAAATTCATGAGTGCAATGATGGCTGGCTCATCCGTCATACTCGTGTACGGGTGCTGCTTGTGGGGACTGGTCTGCGCAGGTTGCGAACACTGATTAGATTTTTTGATTTTTTTATATAGCATATGCTTGTGGTCACTCTATTCTCCCAAATTTGAATTTAAATGAAATAGTATTATCGTAAATATGTACATTAAAAAAAAAATACGAGCTGAGTTTCTTGTCAGTTCTCATCTCGAAATCATTCCGAACTGACGGTAGATTTGACATATCATAGAGTCTGTAATAGACCTACATGAATAAAGATATTTTGAATTTGAATTTGAATTCACGAAGAATTTATCACGATGGTTTCCAGAGGGAACCGCGTGGAAGTCAACCTGACATGGTTATGCTAGCAATGAGAACATCATTCCACATTACTAACGATCCCCTTTCCCCTACTGTTCAGGGTATTAACAATAATAATATATATTGACGAATATATCAGTACATTTTTTATATTTAGCTCTGCGGTTACTATATTTGTTTCATAGCTACACGACTCTTCTACCAGATGGGGTAGCCAGAGTCATTGTAAATTGACAATTTCATAGTGATCACAACACTCGAGAAAATAAACAACATACATGTATTTGATGGCCTCGGTGGTCTAGCTGTTTAGCACACCGTCTTACTTCCGATGGTCGCTGGTTCGATTCCTCGCACGGTACAAACATTTGTATTCATGGGCATCATTGTTTGTTTGGGTGTTTCCTATGTATAATATGTATGTATTTAAGAAAAAATATATATCTGTATTTGTATCAGTTATCTAGTACTTATTACACAAGCTTTAGCTAGCTTACCTTGGGTCTAGATGACGCTGTGTGAATTGTCCTGAGACTATTATTATTTGGGGGTGTTTATCGGTAAAGTCTATCCATCGACTATTACCCCATTTTCCAAAATCTACTCGAATTCGCAAGTTACAAGTTACGGGGACTAAGTTGACCTCTTTCAAGCTATTATGTTACTCTAAGGTCATCCCAAGTTGACCTTGAGAACGACCTTGTGTCTTACAATCAAAGGGTGAACTTAACCTTACTTCCTGTTCGTTATTCGAGCACGGTGATGAATGACTCATCATACTCGTGAACGTGGCCTGTTTTAATCACTACGACTGATTATTTAGTTACTGAACAAGATGATTGTGTTATTGTGTATTTATTTTGACTCTAATGAATTGCGAAATGGTAGTTTGTATTCACATATTTCAAATTAACGTAAAGTTAGAATTATTTAAAAGAGCAACACGCAAGTTGCTTGTTCATTCTTCTTGTGATGAGACAGCTTTCCGAATGAGCGGTAGATAAAAAAAAAGCAGTGCTTAAATGTAAGAATAGAATAGAAAATCATTTATTCAAATAAACTTAATTTAAGCACTTTTGAATAGTCAACATTTTTTTTAAATCTACCGCTTATTCGGAAAGCTGTCTCATCACAAGAAGAATATGCAAGAAACTTGTGTGCTGCTCTTTTAAACAATCCTTGTAAGTTCGCATTACAGTAAGTTTATTTGAATACAATTAAATTGTGAATTGAACTATGTGCCGAGATTTTCTCACGAGACTACAGCATGGGGTTTTTCAAGAAGGGTATATTAAGGTTTCTTAAGGGTCGGTAACGCGCATGTGACACCCCTGTAGTTTCAGGCGTCGATAGGCGTTCAGGTTACGAATGCTGATAAGACTTTTTGCTTTTGCAATATCATATGCTGGTGGTCACTCTATTCTCCCAAATTTGAATTTAAAAATGTATCTGTATTATTGTAATTATAACATTTAATCGAGTTTTTTGTCAATTCTTCTCATCTCGAAATCATTGCGAACTGTCGGTAGATTTAACATATCATAAGAGTCTGTAATAGACCTACATGAATTAAGATATTTTGAGTTTTGAACTGTTCAGATATATAAGCTACAATTTGAAAGAAAGAAAGAAAAATATTATATTCAGTGCAATGTAAAAAATACAATATAAACAACAAACGAAAAAAGAGCAAATAAAATGTACATATAATTTAACTTAATTTACCATGTAGATAATTAAAAATAAACATAAAATAATCATTTTTTACATCCATATGTGCACTGAAATGGCTCCACTCAGCTTTAATGTATGTCCTAGGTGAACATACAGCTGGTTTTCAGTTGCACCATTTGACGTTAACCATCTGTTGCCATTAAAGAAAAAAAACTTTTTTTTAGGAAACATCATAAATCGAAGAAACACAAAAAGCATGATATTGGGGAAACTTCAATAGCAATGATCAGCGATCCTCGAAGACACGACAAGGGTGATGGCGGACGTATCAGGTAAGACTATCAAAATGTATAAATTCAAATTTAAAATCATTAAGTAATTAATTTTCGCCAACATCTGCATGAAATTTTAAATAATTTGTTTTTGTATGTAGGGTAGGGTAATGTAGGGTACATTACCCTACCCACCCGGAAATGTACCCTACCCTAGTAGGGTACATTTCCGGTCTTATGTATGTAATTTTTTAATACTATTATATTACTAGCTGACCCCGCAAATGTTGTTTTGTCATATATATTAAAATCGCTATTAACAAATAAGGGTTGGTGATAGAAAGGTGAAAATTTAGGGTTGTATGTATTTTTTAATGCCACATTATAAACGAATAAGAAAATAAAAAAAGGGATTTTTTTCCATCAATTTAACATAAAATGATAGGAGTGGACAACCCATATCACTTAGGGGTATGAAAAATAGATAGTAGATTCTCAGACCTATTGAATATGCATATGAAATTTCATAAAAATCGTTCAAGCCGTTTCGGAGGAGTATGGTAACTAACATTGTGACACGAGAATCTTATATATAAAATTCTCGTGTCACAGTTTTCGTTCCCATACTCCTCCGAAACGGCTTGACCGATTCTCATGAAATTTTGTGAGCGTATTGAGTAGGTCTGAGAATCGGCCAACATCTATTTTTCATCCTCCTAAATGTTAGGGGTAGTGCACCCCTAAATTTTTTTTTATTTTTTGTTTCTATTTTTTTATGATACAACATACAAAAATACATACAATCCTAAATTTTCACCCTTCTATCATCAATCCCTATTTTTTATAGCGTTATTAATTTATATGGCAAAACAACGTTTGCCGGGACACCTAGTTTTATAAGATACTAGCTGCGTCCGCGACTTCCTCCGCGATACTTCCATAGAACCTTTCATATTCCCTTTCAACCCCTTGCAACCCTTTTTTCACATTAAAAAGTAGCCTATGTCCTCTGTCAGGGTCTAGACTATCTGTGTACCAAATTTCATTTAAATCGGTTCAACGGTTTAGGCGTGAAAACGAGACAGACAGACAGACAGAGTTATTTTCGCATTTATAATATTAAGTAAGTATATATATAAAATTCTCGTGATAAGATGGGGTGATAGATTTATTATTATTATTACAATATAACTTTGACGGTAGACGAAGTGACCGTTCATTGAAAAGAAATCTAATTTGGTTCGAGGTTCGCGCTCGTAAGCGACGAAAAGTAGTTTTGAATAGATAGGGGTGGATATATAGGGGATGGGGGTTGCTCGTCACCTTGACACGACTTCAAATTACCTCTACTAGGGCTGCACTGCATGTCGGTAATGTCGATAGAAAATAATCGTCTCAAAATTCATACTGTATACTGGCAGACCCGCCCACGCGTTGCAGTGGCTGAGGTTCTTGAATAAAATAATATTGCGACTATAAATTGAGATGTAAGCTATCCTTTCTTTCAAGTTGGTTCAAATTGCACACAATGTGCAAATCAAATTTGCCATCGGTTTAGTAGTTTAGGACCCAAGGCGGATAAACAACGTGACACGTAATTTTTATATATAAACATTCTTCTTGTGATGAGTCTGTGGTCCGAATGAGTGGTAGAATAAAAAAACTGTGACTATTCAAAAGTGCTTATATTAAGTTTATTTGAATAAAGATTATTTCTATAGAGAATTTTCTCGATTTTCTAATTGTGAGTTGTGCTCGCAATTATTTAACCGTGGTTTTGAATAATGCTTACTAATATTATAAATGCAAAAGTAACTCTGTCTGTTTGTCCCGCTTTCACAAAATTACTGAACCGATTTAAATTGAATTCGGTACACAGATAGTCTAGACCCTGAGAAAGGATATAGGCTACTTTTTAATGCGAAAAAGGATGGTAAAAGTTTGAACGGGGACATTAAAGGTTGTATGGAAATATCGTCATTTTTAAATGTAGAAGCGTGAAACTTATTTTTTAGGCTGTTGATTAAATATAAATATATATGTCATTCGAAGAATGTAAAAATTTTACCCTTAGGAGGGGTCAATTTATTATTCAAAAAATATTTGAGGTCCTTTTTGAAGCTACAATGTTCAAACTTTATTCTTTGACTTTTTTTTTTAAAACACATACCCTTTTGTTTATTGTTAATCTGTGGTCAAATTAAGTATAGATTAATATTGTTTGTCTATAAACTGAAGGTAAAATGTAATATAAACTTAAAATTTCATTATAGTCGAATTTCGACCAATAGTATAAATATTTATGTATTTATATCAGTTGTCTAGTACCCATAACAGAAGCTCTGCTTACCGTGGGACTAGATGGCGCTGTGTGAATTATCCAGGGTTATTTATTATTTATATCGATAAAATGACTATCGACACATCCCCATACTATCAACTAAAGGGTGGGGCTAGCAAATGACTGGCCGCACAAATCGTTGGATGATCCGTGTCTCTATATATATGTACACATATATATGTATGTCTGTTTGTATATTTGAAGAAATACCAGACAAAGCCAATTTTAACAGAACTATTTCATCAGAATAGTCTTATTAATATTATAAACGTAAAAGTTGTTGAGTATGGATGGATGTTTGTTACTCTTTCACGCGAAAACTACTGAACGGATTTTGATGAAACTTTACAATAATGCATCAGAATAACATATAGGCTATAAATTTCATGCGAGTGAAATCGCGGGGATAACTTATCTAAATATATATATATAACTCAAAGGTGACTGACATAGTGATCTATCAACGCACAGCCCAAACCACTGCACGGATCGGGCTGAAATTTGGCATGCAGGTAGATGTTATGACGTAGGCATCCGTTAAGAAAGGATTTTGATTAATTCTACCCCCAAGGGGATAAAATAGGGGATGAAAGTTTCTATGTAACTTTGTCAATTTCAAAACCGATCGGGCTGAGACTTTGCATGTATAAAGCTACTATGACGTAGGCATCCCCTAAGAAAGGATTTTGATAAATTCTACCGCTAAGGGGATAAATTAACGCGAGCGAAGCCGCGGCCAAAAGCAGTAATAGCAGTATTCAATATCAACTATACTCCATTTTCAGAGCTATAATCCTAACAAATTCGGATGAAATAAGAGAAGTGGAACTGTCAACGCTTTTCAGAGATCAGATATCAACAGAGAATGAGAGGAAGAAAGGGTAAGAATTATTATTATCTTAATAATTTATTTATTTTAATTGCACACACATTTCTTACAATTGTGGTTCCATTATTTAGGCCTATGTCCAGCAGTGGACGTCTTTCGGGCTGCAATGATGGTGATGATAGAATAGAATTCTAAAATAAATAAAATTTTATTAACTCGTTTTTACAGTAATAACATAAGAAATACAAGAATAATTTACACGTTAAAAAACGGAATCAATGTGGACCACAACTCGGCATAATCCTGGAAATAGTTTCCAGCGCTGATTTTCAGCTGGGCCCTCAGTACGGACGCGCAAATATTACAATTAAAAAATAATATACATAATCTTAATAAATCAGATATTATACAATGATGATGAATTTACGTCACAGGTTAATAGATTCATTGTCACACTCTGTCCCAACCTCCCTCGGGTTGGGACAGAGTGTGACAATGAATGTATTTAAAAATATATTTTTTTTCGAACTGTTCTAATGGCCGCAACTGGCCTTTATAGCTTCACCGGACAATAGGGGGCGAGTGCAGATGGCACTCCAAACCAAAGGACTTATGGAGCGGCTGAAGGCCAACTCCTGCCTGACGGATACGACTTTAGTCTGAGGGTGCCCTCTAGCTAGGGATTCAAACCTTATATTAGCTGAGACGTTCGTAATTTCGGTTCCCGTTTGAATTGGTCGGGTATCGATCGGAGGGGGAGTATGTACTGACTAGTTGTGACAAGGAAAGGCCACCCCCTCTAACCTTTGTCACATAAGCTTTATTTTTTACCAAGACTGATACAAACAATCATAATGAATACAATTTTATTGTTTGTACCGTGCGAGGACTCGAACGTGCGACCATCGGAAGTAAGGCGATGTGTTAAACCGCTAGACCACCAAGGCCGTCAAATCACCAATAGTTCGCTTCTAAAACACTTTTAAAATATTTATTTAAACTACAATTATGCCTGAGAAACTAGTTTGGCGGGAAAAGTCATAGATTTCAGTATTATAACAAGTTTCTGAAATAGAGAGATATGCATATTACTCTGTACAAATTTGCCTTGTGTTAATTTGTTATTAAAAAAACTTTTTCAGGACCAAAAAGAAGCAAAAGTCGGAATCATCAGAGGAATCGTTGAACAATATTCATCATACCACAGACGATTCTGGTATTTGACATCACCGGGTACGTAGGGAGAGCCCGAAACGAAGTCCCAAACATAAAGACAAGCACGACAAGCGAAAAGACAAAAAGAGCAAGAGGAAAAAGGAGAGCACTGACAGTGAGACTGACAGCTCGAGTTGAACACGGCAGCATGACGTATGGTTCTTTGTCTTATAAAATGTTTGGTTATATAAAGTGTGTGGGCCACGTATGGCAGTGTGCGGTTATGTCTTTTGCCTGAGAACGGCGTTTAATAAAAATGGTATATTGGCAAAATGGCGGGCTTGGAAAATTGTGCACTTGAAAGGAAGTTCACAAAATGCACAGAATATATTTGTTATTTATTATATTTCATAATATAAGCGAATGTTTTTACACAATGAATAAGGAATATGAAATAATGGAGATTTTTTTAAAAGAATGATATAAATTCTTTTATTAAAAGTTGTTATCAGGTCGTGCGTAGTATTCTTTTACACTTTGATTAGTAGCTTGTTTAGTAATTAGCTGTTATTACATTAATATATTATATAATACTAGGCTCGGCCGCCCACCCGCCTCGGCTTTGTACGGGTGTATATGTATTCCATACCTACATATAAACCTTCCTCTTGAATAACTCTACCTATTACTAACCCTAATAAATTAGTGCTGGTTGGTAGTTTGTATTCACACGTTTCGACTTGTAAATGTGAACATACAAGGATTATTTAAAAGAGCAACACACAAGTTTCTTGCTCGCTCTTCTTGTGATGAGAAAGATTTCCGAATGAGCGGTAGATTAAAAAAAATATATTAACTATTCAAAAGTGCTTAAATTAAATTTATTTGAATAAATGATGTTCTATTCTATTCTAAAAACTGTATTAAAATCCGTTGCGTAGTTTGTAAGACCTAAGCGAACAAATAGCGCAAGCGATTCCATTTACACTATGTAAAGATAATATATAACTTAATAATAATAATATCTCAGGTCAATTAATAATAATAATAATAATCTCAGGACAATTCACACAGCGCCATCTAGACCCAAGTTAAGCTAGCTAAAGCTTGTGTTATGGGTACTAGATAACTGATATATACATAGATTTTTTTTGTAAATACATACATATTATACATAGAAAACACCCAGACCGATACAAACAATCATACTCATGAATACAAATGTTTGTGCCGTACGAGGAATCGAACCCGCGACCATCGGTCGTAAAGCGGTGTGGTAGACCGCTAGATCACCGAGGTCGTCAAATTCGTAATCTGTTTGAGAATATGGTCATAAAACAGAGTTTAAACGTGTTTTTGTCATTATATGGAGGTGAGATTATACTAAACACTGTAGGAACATGGTGTTAAAACAACAACATATAACTTTTTTTACTAAACTGATATTTGTATCTACTAAACTTTAGGTAAACATTAGATACTTTTAATATTGGTGCAATAAAGAATTATAAATAAAATAAAATAAATTAACTTACTAATCAAAGTGTAAATACACGAAGCACTATTGATATTTCAGCCATTTTGTAATCAGTGACGTTTTCGTAATAGAAAAGAATTAACTATATATTTTTTTGTCGTAAAAACATAATATATATATATTTGATTTTACATATTTACTACATATATCTAATATATTGATAGACAAATATAAATGAGGAATAATATATATTGAATGTTGAATATTTAGAAAATATATAATAATCTATATATATAAATAAAATTGGAGTGTCTGTTTGTAATATTGAAATAACCGTTTTTAAATGCATGTGAATATAAATACGGTTCATACACCGAAATAACATTTTTTGCAATTTTCGTCTGTCTGTCTGTTTGTTCCGGCTAAACTCTGAAAAGGCTGGACCGATTTTGACGTTACTTTTTTTGGCAGGTAGCTATTTTGACGTTACTTTTTTTGGCAGGAAGTTGATGTAATAAGGAGTAACTTAGTCTAAGTTACTCCTTATTACATACTAAGTTACTCCTTATTACATCAACTTCCTGCCAAAAAAAGTAACGTGTCCAACCTTTTTTTTTAGAATCTTTTTTTAGACTTAATTTTAGAAAAATAATGTTAAATTCCAAACAGCTAGTATACCTATAATAGTAAGATAACCACGTCAACACAGAATCAACACTCAGAGAGAATCCGTAAATGTATTATCAGCTGTAACACAGTTATAATAATAATAATATATTTATTTGTCAGAATATGGTATATACAACGGTGATAATTATATATATTATATATTTCATCATAATTCCATATTGCTTCTCTTTGTTAATCATATATATGTATATACATCGTCGATTGAATAGAAAAACGACATCTTACAAAATTAGAAGCTAGAATTGCCTCCTTTTTATATAAGTCAATTAAATTAACCACGCCGTCTTAATCATTATCTAAATAGTTTTAAAATGATATATATTACCTCTGTGTAAATTTAAAACTTTAAAGAAAATTATAATTTTAATAAATTTAAAGACTAAATGCTTCTATACAAGACAATACTAAAATGTACATTTTGTATACTGCCATTTTTTTATTTAACCGACGAAATATGCTCCTAATTGTATACATATATATATATATATATATAGAGAGAGAGAGAGAGAGAGAGCAATAATTACATATATATCTTATATATACTATACTATATTAATTTTATACACAAACTATGTAGCGTACCGTCCCTGATGGCACGGATACATTACGAATCATTGTTTTTCTCGGCTTGTTCTATACTATAACACGCATGTATTATACCTATAAACCTTCCTCTTGAATCGCTCTATCTATTGCTGAAAACTGCATTAAAATCTGTTGCGTAATTTAAAAGATATAAATGAACAGACAGCGACGACGATTTTGTTTTGTACTATGTAAAGATATATGATATAATAATATTTATTGATAATGAAAGATATGTATAAATATATTTATCAGTGCCTTAAAAGATTCGTGCCTGTTTTGAAATGTTTTATTGTGTAATAAATAAATCTATACATCTATACATATAAAGAAAATTGGAGTGCCTGTCTGTAATATTGAAATAACCGTTTTTTACTACATGCATATGAATATAAATACGGTACGTACACCAAAAATCACTTTTTACAATTTTTGTCAGACAGACAAGTTTGTTCCGGCTAATCCCTGAAATGGCTGGACCGATTTTAACGGGACTTTTTTTGGCAGGTAGCTGATGTAATAAGCAGTAACTTAGGCTACATTTATTTTAGAAAAATAAAGTTAAATTCCATTCGGACGAAGTCGCGGGATCAGCTAGTTGTTAATAAAATTGTTTATTACATATAAAACAATATTGATTTTTGTAATAAGTATTTGTGAATTTCTAGAATATTTATTATATATTATGTAAAATTAAGGCACGCACAATTAAGATGTAATCAATTATATAATAAATACATAAGTAATCAATTATTCATATTTTAATATGTTCAGTAGATTTTTATTAAAATTTGAAAAGCATAAGTGTCTTTTATTTTTACATTTATAATTAATATTGACTGGCCCGCATAACTTCTTATATTTCGCCCAATTATCATAATATCGTTTTAAATTTTAGCCTATATATTTTTCTTATGTGTAAGCTATATTACTGTAAAATTTCATCAAAATCCGTTCAGTAGTTTTTGCTTGAAAGATTAAAACATCCATCCATACTCACAAACTTTTATAGTATTAGTCACATTGAAGTTGTTTAGCAACTTGTAAGTTTAGTGGAAATAGTTACTGGACTGGCTACTTGCATATCCAGTGCTCTTATCACTACTTTATTTAATCTTATTGTTTTTATTTGAGCCTAAATAAATTAGTCCTGGTTGGTAGTTTGTATTCACACGTTTCGACTTGTAAAATGTGAACTTACAAGGATTGTTTAAAAGAGCAACACACAAGTTTCTTGCTTATTTTTCTTGTGATGAGACAGCTTTCCGAATAAGCGGTAGATTTAAAAGAAATGTTGACTATTCAAAAGTGCTTAAATTAAGTTTATTTGAATAAATGATTTTCTATTCTATTCTATTCTATTCAGTGCAGACAAATATTATATTTCTTTTGTGGAAATAGTCACTGTCTGATGAGACAGTAACTACATATTTTAGATTTATGTAAATTAAATATTGTAATGGGTGATAACTGTGATTGGTACAGTTTATGCTGTAAATAATATAAATGACGTAGTGGAGTAACTTGAAACAGTCATGCTCGCTATAAAGTTCAAACTTGTGGCGGCGTGGTGGGCCGGATCAATGTGCTCCCTCTAATATGGTTGAGTGCAATGATGGCTGCCTCATCCGTCATACTCGAGAACGGATGCTGCTTGTGGGGACTGGTCTGTTCGGGTTGCGAACACTGATTAGATTTTTTGATTTTTTTTTATATAGCATATGCTGGTAGTCATTCTATTCTCCCAAATTTGAATTTAAATGAAATAGTATTATTGTAAATATGTATAAAATTTAAAAAAAAATACGAGCTGAGTTTCTTGTCAGTTCTTCTCATCTCGAAATCATTCCGAACTGATAGTAGATTTGACATATCATAAGAGTCTGTAATGGACCTACATGAATAAAGATATTTTGAATTTGAATTTGAATTAGAGAGTTTATCTAACAAACTAAAGAGTGAAAGATTTGCGTACTAGTTCGCATAGTTTCCATCTTTGTTTTAGTTCATTCGTGAACTATAGAAGCATAACAAATTACAAGGTCATGATTATGTATTTTGAGGAATAATCTTCTCAGTAATAATTAATTTCCATTTCTTTTATTATTATTATATTTATAAGCAAATTAACACAATCTTAACAATAGAATAAGTTAATAAAAATTATTGTTTAAATAGAACTGTCAATATTCCCGCCAAAATCTATTTCGGCGCCATATTCGAGGTACAGTGAGCGCCAAAAGTACGCGCGGTCCGGTGTTAGCGGTGCGACGTATTGCGGCTCCAAACTTATCGCCAGGTGGTGTGGATACGGAAGCCATTGGCCATTATCCTGTTCTGGTGTTGGGGTGCTGAAAGGAAATCATAATGTTGACTTAGTAAGTGTTTCTATACTCTTTTACTATTATAATGCTGTGGCTATAGCTTACAGCTTCATAAAAGCGATGTAATAAAAATAATAACCCGTATAATTCACAAAGCCACATCATAACGGCCTCGGTGGTCTAGCTTTACTTCCGAAGTTTGCGGGTTCGATTCCTCGCACGGCACAAACATTTGCATTCGTGAGTATGATTGTTTGTATCGGTCTGGGTATTTTCTATGTATAATATGTATGTATTTACAAAAAATATATCAATGTGTTTGTATCAGTTGTCTAGTACCCATAAGACAAGCTTTAGCTAGCTTAACTTTGGTCTAGATGGCGCTGTGTGAATTGTCATGAGATTATATATTATTATATCTATTAATTGTCTAGTACCCATAACACAAGCTCTGTTTAGCGTGGGGTTAGATATAAATAAACACGTGTGAATGTAGACGCATATGTCTGCCCATAAAAGATTTGCCATCTACCCGCTGCTCTTCAGTTTACCCGTGATCATGGCGGTGAAAACACTGGCAAAATATCGGAAATAAAACGTGATAAGATTCCGTGATTGTCTGGTTTCATTAAAAACGATGCTACTCACCCATATTTCGCAAAGTTGGTCCACATCATGGTCATAAAAGTGACCATCCGCGCGTCATTCTCGTCCATCGGCAACGGCAGTCTCTCCAGTTCGAAAACATAGAACAACTCGTCTTGATTAGTCGTGGCCAATAAACTACTATTCGTTAACATTCTACCAAGGTTTCTATTACCCGTATAGTTGAATACAAATTCGTATACTGGCAACACTGAATTGTTAGCATACAATTCGGAAAGCAAAGACATTGGACCCACAAACCCAAAATCTGTATTCAAATTAATTATACCCCCAATAACAGTTTCTTCAGATTTTATATCAGAGAAGTAAGTTTCTTGTAACGTGGTTCTAAATTCTTCTACATCCTCTTTTGGAATAATGAAACTTCTTTGATCCAGAACAGAATAATCTTCATGCATTATTCTATCCATTTGACTGGTTATTGTATTATAATCTAACGTACTTGTTAAACCTTCTACTGTATTCAGACCGAAGACAGCGGGCACCGGATGAAATTTATTATCAACTATTATATTATAAGGCTTATCTGTTAAGAATGCTTCCTCTCCTTCGAATACTGTCTCTACTGATGGCACAAAAACGTTTTTAGCGTGCATTTGCTTAGATATAGCTTCTTCTACTTTCTGAATCTCAGTTTCTGAATAGATCTTCAACAGTTTAACAGGATCTACAGTATTAACGCCCAACGATTTGGCTACTTGACTGGCAGTCTCCAAAGGTTTAGGATCAAACGATCCAGGACTAAATAGCGGGCCGCTTTCTGATATAATTCTGTGGAAAAGACCTTTAGTAGAATCTGATAGGGTAAGATAAATAGCTGCTGTTCCGCCACTACCTTGCCCTAATACAGTTACATTGTCAGGGTCTCCAGAAAATCCTCGGATATTATCCTTAATCCATCTCAATGCAGCTCTGATATCCTTCAAACCAGCATTACCAGGTGCATCTACTGTGCCTAGATTCAGGAAACCGTATGCATTTAGCCTATAGTTGACAGTGACTAAAACTATACCATGGCTGACTAGGTATTGGGGTCCATAAAAGCTAGGGGAACCAGACCCAACACCAAAATCTCCTCCGTGTAAGAAGACGATTACAGGTAAACTAGTGTTAGTGACTGCACTAGGGGAGAAGATGTTGAGGACCAAGCAGTCTTCATTATCGCTGGGTGCAGCGAGAGGATCGTGGCAAGGAAACTGTGGACAGAGTACTGCTCGATTATCAGCTTTGTAGACTTCGTCGAATGTCGGAGGCTCTTCTGGGGCCTGTGGAATAATATTTAAAATATATGATTTACGAAAGCATTGCATTATAAATATATATAAATGTTATTACTATAGCGACAATTTAATATATTATAACATAAATTCTATAATAATTATCGTTCAATAAGTAGAACGGTGAATTTTTGGGTTATAATCTAACTAAATATCTATTTCTTTATTTGGTCATGCTGACGAAGCATACCACGCAGACGAAATCGCGGGCACAGCTAGTTCTATAATAAATCATTTATTTAAATATATAATAATTATATTACATTTCTAGAACTAAGAGAGTGTCATTACTTATAGGCCTAGAACTAGTATAACTGGTAGTGTATTAGATAAGAAAGAGAGTTAATTTTTTTACGAGGAAAATAAACTTGGAGACCTCTGCACTGACTTTAGGAAGCTTTTGATTGAAGGGTATTATACAAGATTTATATAGGTTATTTATTATTTGTGTTATATACAAAATTCATATTAAGAACACGCGAGGGAAACAGTTTTGATGATTTTGTCATAAAAGAAGGAAATATACTTGTATTATAATCTATTGCTATTAATTATTAATATTCGTTGCATAAAACTTACCCGAAATTTCACTGGAACTCCATATCTGATTCCTAAATACTCATAGTAGAGTTCGTTAGACGCCAAACTACCTTCAACTCGACCTTGCTTAGTTGCTACAATCTTCGTTTTATCAATTGAAAAAGCGACGCCAAAAAAGGCGGCAAAAATTATAGATGTATAAACATACATTCCTTTGCTTCGAAACTTACACCTAAATTTATTTTTTATTCCTTAACCTTTTTAAACATAGACAATTGGATTATAAAACAATTTATTTCGCACCTTATTGCGTAACGTTTAAAATTCAAAGTAAGATATCGATTTTAAAAAGTACGTGATCACTGTTTAAGATTTAATAACAATATTTTGTTCAATGAACTTACGTGTTTATATATTTGGTAGATAACAATAAAAATGCAATACTTGCATAATTTGTCTTATCGTGATTTGCATATATTAATCAGTAGGTATTGAATAATACTCAAATGATTATCGTACATAAATTAAAATGTAATATATATTGTGTAAATAATTATCTTTTACAGCGATGTAATTCTTTGATGAAACTTTAGTATATGCTTGTATCCCCGGCTTCATCTGGGTGCATAATACCACTGTTGCTCACATTTTTAATGTACAAGAAATTACTATTTTAAGTAACAAGTGGAATGTAACGTATTTAGTAACAGATAGGCTATGTATTATTAAATAATACATAACAATTACCATACAAACAGTGAAATCGAGTTTACTGTTCTCATAACAAAATCTCTCTTTAGAATATTATTAGGAAAATCTTAAACATGCAATGTTATAAGTCCGACTGCTAATTGATGGGTAGTTAGGCATATGTTTGTTGCTTTTTTTTATTAAGTATTTTACGGCCCTGGAAATTTCCTTTCAGCCAATTTTTTGCTTGTTTAATGGATATTGCTATCATTGTATTTTATGTATCATAGCAGGTCGACCTCCACAAGGTTTCCCTTGGAGTTTACTATGGTTAATTACTGGTCCATTTGCCGCGATAGGCTAAATAACCTGACTTCATGCTCGTCCTATCATCCCCCACTGGTGCCCAGCCAACGCAATACAGGCTGGTACACCATTTCAATATATTTAATTAAAAATAACGGCCTCGGTGGTCTAGCGGTTTAGTACATCGCTTTAGTTCCGATGGTCGCGAGTTCGATTTCTCGCACGGTGCAAGTATTTATATCGGTCTGGGTGTGTTGTGTGTATATTACGTAAGTATTTACAAGAAATAAATATCTAAGCATTCATATCAATTGTCTAGTACCCATAACACAAGCTTTTTACCCTGCGACTAGATGGCGCTGTGTTAATTGTCCAGGGTTCAAAAAAAAAGAACCGTTTTGGGAAAAGAGGGGACTTGCCGCCGTAACTTGAATTACTTTGAAACTACTGATTACAATGATAAGCCAAAATTAAAAACAGGGTAAGTGTCATAAGAACACAACAAGTCAATTACGATGGAGTGGAACGAGTAACTTGACTGAGTCAAAGAGAAAGAAATTGAGGGGAAAGGAGATTGTTAGTGATGTGAACTGATGATCCTATTGCTAGCAATGTACCATTTCAGGTTGACCTCCACGCGGGAACCATCACTCCTGGAAACCATCGTGATAAGTCCTTGGTGAATTTGTCATGATGGGCTAACTGGCCTGACCTATGCTCATCTTATCATCTTCCACTGGTGCCCCGCCAGCGTAAACCGTTAGCGCAGGCGGGTGCACCATTCCATTGTCATCCATAAAAAAAAGATAAAGAAATTGATCGACTGATTGTTTGTCATCTACGTAGTTTAAAAAAAATGGTAGGTAATGTCAAATTCAAAACATCATTTATTCATGTAATATATTATAGACCTTTAGGTAAGCCAAGATATTGTTTTATTATATATACCTTCAATATTTAATTGAAAAGAACTGGCAGATACTCAGTTGTTTTTAAGTCAATTTTTTTGGTCTGTTTCCCATCTCTGGGATTTAAGTCCAATTGCCAACTGTCTGTCCAATTGTCAACAGTCAATATTGTCAAATTTGAAATCTGTCACAAGCTGTCACTTCTGTCCGTTTAATTTTTCTGCCAGTTTTTGTGAACTTGTCACTTCAGTAACCAATAATACTCATCGTTATTTCTAATAATCTAATTAAAATTATATTAATTTTAGCACAATCTATCCGTTTTTCTAGTACATAAAACAAACAAGCTAATAAGTGATTATTTAATGGTGCAACACGTCAAAATTTAGTTCAATCACATGTACACAATATCCATTTGTCTACGTGTTTAGTACAATATTGAATAACTGTAAGTGGATTCATCAGGTATAAGGATAATAAGGCTCAATTATGAATAAGAAACCCATTAGAATGGGTCCGAAAATAAGAATAACACGGCCTGTAAATCGCGTAAGGAAACTAGAAGAAGGCATTATATCAGCGCCTAGAGTTGTGGACGAACGCAGCTATATATACACCTGCCAGTATTGTGGTCTAAAATTCTCGCAAAACAGTCATTTTTTCCGTCACATGACCTCCAATCATGAGAATCAGCAGCGCCAAGCTACTTTTCAATGCAACGAATGTCAATTAGTCTTCACAAAGAAAGCTAAACTCGATACTCACTGCCAAACTCAACATCAGACCAAAAGCAAATCTAGATGCGAGATGTGTTCCATAACTTTCAAATCGCGGTATTGTCTACGGAGACATTTAAAAATAAAACAGTTGATGCAAGAGAACTCCTGTCTAAAATGCCAAAAAAAGTTTTTATGCAAAGAACAGTTAACCAAGCACATAGAGAACAAGCATACATTTAAAAATATAATGTTTCAATGTGATTTGTGTTCATTGAAGTTTAAAGTTAAGGGATCATTGGTGACTCATTTGAATCGAATACACAAGAAGTTATGATAGTGTTGTATAGTTTTTTTTTATACATTTTTAGATAATATCTGTTTCTTTTTCTCGAATAAATGTTTACACTGTTACAATTTTACACTTTATGTAAATGGAATATGTATAATTATATTATTTATGAGCTGGATTCTATCACCTTGATAGCTCAAATACAAAGCTACTTGTAAACTCATTCCATAGCTAGTCATAGTATTCATGATATTAAACAACTTTGCCAAGAAGTAAATAGTAAATTAAAAAAAAAACAACTAAGTTACATGATCAACTTAGTAAAAAAATGTTTAAATATATTTTCATAAATCTACTTTGTTTGTTGGTAAAGATTTAGTTATATGAGTATTCCTACTTGTCCATTGCCCTGGTATACCATTTACCATTAAAGTCGTAATATATATTTATAACATTCTCTTTGTGTAATGTTTACAATTGATAAAATATATTTGTAATAACTTTGTAAAAGTTACATTACTGTACATATTTATATAAGTTAATTTATTTATTAGCTAATATTGTGTAGTACACCGGACTATATGCAACATAACCTGTAAATATACAAGAAAAATACTTTAAAATGACAATAATCTGGAATCTTTTTTTTTATATGGCATCTTAAAAACAGTGTATTTTATTTTCTATAAACTTTACAGTCAGACTTTTTATTAATTAATTAATATTCAGGATATGTTTTAAATGTTACAAACTAAAATATTGTACATAATTTTCTGGTATTGTAACTAGAAACAATCTGTAATTTTTTTGAATGTATTCACTGCAAACAAAATTAATTTTTGTTTCATACAAAAATTAATTTGTGTGATACCAACTGTGATACCAATATTTTTTTTACCATGGCATGTTTGTAAGCATTAGTATATTAATTTTAATAGTTTTATGATCATTTCCAAACATTTCTTACTGTAAACAACTAAGTTAAACTTCAAATTTTTTTTTAAATATCACAATTTGTTGCATAGATTAAATTTTAGTTAAAACAAACTTATTATTAAATATTGTGTTAATTACTCTGTTGTGAGATTGTTGTATTTGTTCACTATAAAATGTTTTTTTAACATGTCCGATCACCGAAGTAAAGCAATATTGGGTGTGGTCAGTACTTGGATGGGTAACATTTTTTTAATCTATTTCAAAAATATTCATATGTAGGTGAAAATGTAATAATATTCTAGACTATAGTCTATAGTCCGGTCTACTCTAGTTATTTTATTTTTTAGTATTAATTTTATGTACTTAAGTACAATTTTTTTTCTGTAACATATTTGCATAAGGAACACATTTTATAAGTACTTATTAGATAAAAGTTGAAAAAAAAATATTTATAATGAAAACTGGTTTTTGTTTTACGTTTTGAGATTCTCAATCCGGAATGGTCTACAATACACAACCTATAGCCATTGTTTGTTATATTTAACTCAAGCCTGTACATTTTTTTTAAGAAAAGTTATTTTAAGTACAATATGTTGTTTTATAATCTACATTTAACAGCCTGTGGAATATTTGAAAACTTGTTAAATGAAATTATTAAATTTTATTAGTATATTTATTTAAAAAATTATTAGTTGTTTTTTTTCGAATACACAAATAGTAATTAAAATCTCTTCTCTTTTTGCTTGCTGTTCCAACAGGGTCTATAATTAATCTGTTTCGAATTTAATCTACCTACCTAACCTATTATGGAATGCAAAACTGAAATAAAATAATCTATGCACTGCTAGATAGCGCTGAAAAGAAATTTTATTAATATACGTTGATAATAAATATTATTTACATTGTCTTCGAGGAAGACGAAATTTGTAATCAGAAATTGGAATATGAAAAAAATATAGTTTTAAAATTCACCCCGGCAAAAAATATGGCGGGCCTTTTGGTTTAAAATTAAATGTAATATTAATCATATCATAATATATTTATTTTAATTGATATTGAAGTGACAATTATAACCATTACCAAACCAGTTTGTATTCTCAAACCCCGGATATATATTTATTTAAATTTTTGCCCCGCCTCCAACAAAATTAAGATCGGGAATATAAAATTAGGATCTGAATTAAGATTAAGATCTGCTATCGAATATATATCGAAGTACTCTCATGTTGGTCGCAGATTATTAATAAAAAATAAATACTTTATATATAAACCATGTATTAACAATAATTAGGTATTTACATTTACATAATTATAAAAAAAATATAAATGAATTAGTTTCTAAAATTATTTACCTTAATTAGATTAAGGTATCATCATTGGGAATTAGGGTCTTACAAAATAATATTTTATGTACAAATAATACACAAAAAATGTATAAAGGGGGCCGTTCAAGTGTTACGTAAGCACAATTTGCTTTGCTCACTTTTGCTGACTGTAATAAATTTGTTACAATTTTTGAAATAGGAATAAATTTGCTTACGTATTTCTTGAACGGCCCCAAACTATAGTCAGGTATATGAAAAATAAATACATTTCTACATCATTATCTCTAAATTTGTCAGCCTCGGTAGTCCAGCGACTAGTTGTTAACACACCGCACACACTTACTTTCGAAAGTATCGGATTCGATTCCTAGCACGATACAAAAATTTGTATTCATAAGTATAACCCAGATACAAACATTTGTAATTTTATGTACAAGTATGTTTATATCGGTCTGGGTGCTTTCTATATATTTATATATGTATTTACAAAAAGTATCTATGTATTTATATCAGTTGCCTAGTACTCATAACACAAGCTCTGTTTAATTTGGGACGACATGTCGCAGTGACTTGTACTGAGATACTATTAATGTTATGTTACTGTACTTCCATGGCTTTCACATGTTGATCATAACTTTCTGAGTTTTTAGGAAAAAAAAAATGTTTTATTTATTTTTATTGCGTTCCCGATATTCCGGCAGTGATTCAAACGCCATGATCACGGGACGGGTAAACTGAAGAGCAGCGGGTAGATGGTAAATAAACTCTTTTATGGTCAGACATATTTCTGAGTTTTGTATATCTGGACAAAATATACACAGAATGTATATTTTGTCACCCTGGTATAATGTATCTTTCAAATAGTGAAAGTTTTATCAAATTAGTGCAGTTGTAGTACCGGAGTTTCAACTGTCTCGCGCTGAGCGCACACGGTCCGTGAAGCGTGAGAATGTAGACATTCCCCGACTAGACGCCGCGGAGTCGAGACGTAGCTGTGGCTAACGAGCCGATATTATGGCATAACAACTAATATACTAGGAGATCTAAGAAGACTTAAATAACAAATATGTTAACACTACACTTGTCATAACAAAATTTACTCTCCTTTTTATAACATTAGTAAAGATTTACATTTACTCTCTTTATATACAAAAGTAGAAAAGAAATATTAATATTTTTTATCTTACTCTTGTTTAGTTATCAAGAGATTCATTGTACAAATAAATACAGATCATAAAATGAGACTAGAATTCAGACTGATGGTTTAGGGATCATCTTTAAATGACGTCATTATAATTTAATTATTTTTACAGCGGTGATGGGGATAGCCCTTCTCCCTAACTATCACCGCTGGTCACATTTTAATATTTATTAACAACAATAGTAGAAGATAAAATAAACTCTGCTCTCTATCTTTATAATATTAGTAAAGATTTACATTTACTCTCTTTATGTACAAAAGTATAAAAGAAATATTAATTTTTTTAATATACTTTTGTTATGTTGTTAAGATATTCGTTATACAAATAAATACAGATCATAAAATGAGACTAGAAATTTACACCAATGTCTTTAGGGACCATATTTAAATTATGTCACTATAATTTAATTATTTTTACAGCGGTGATAGGAGAGTCCCCCTCCCCCAACATATCACTGATGGTCACATTTTAAGAGTTAAAATTCTTGTTATAAATATTATAATTAAAATGTTAATCACAACATTGTCTCAAATTACTTTTTAGAGCGGTGATAGGGAGACCCCCCCTCTCCCCAGGTCACATTTCAATAGTTACAATTTCGTGTTTTGATATTAAAATTAAATGTTACATTCACAAAATCTAGGACCCATCCCACGGTTGGGACCCCACCTAGATTTCATGATTTTTTACATGAAGATTATAATTTTACCAACCAGTTGTCACACTTTGACGCCCTCCCCACAACATGTGACGTAATTTACAGATGGCCCGATATTGATAGAATACTGATATAATTAGATGTTAATATTGTGATGAATAACGTATGTAGACACGGGGGAGATGAGTATGCCTGTCTACTTATATTATTCCAGGGAAGCACTCCCCCTCCCCTGAAAATAGTATTCTTTACCGTATAAAATGCTGTAAATAAACAAATTTGATTGCACCTCTAGCCCGTTTCTGGGTTCAGATATTGCGAACACATAATTGCTAGGAAAAAATATGTAGTTTTTTCTCTCTATGATTAATAAAAAAAATTTTGTATAAAAAAGTTATAAATAGAATGTCTTATACATAATAATATGCTATATCTTATAAATAAATTCATAGTAACAACTATATATATATTGTTTTCAGTAATGTATATCAACAACAATTTGTTTTATATTAGTACTAGCTGACTCCGCAAACATTGTTTTGGTATATAAATTAAAATGGCTATTAAAAAATAGAGGTATAAAAGGGTGAAAATTTAGGGTTGCATGTATCTTTTAATGCCACTTATTAAGAAATTAAAAATTAAATTGTTAGTGTGGACAACCCTTATCACTTAGGGGTATGAAAAATAGATAGTAGTTGATTCTCAGACCTACTGAATATACATATATAATTTCATTAAAGCGATTTCAGAGGAATATGGTTTATATTAGAAATAAATAAATAATAATAATATTTATTTACAGTAATATTAACTTCTTTCAAATTGTCAAATTATGTCAATGAACGCTTTAAATTTAAATTATATATGTCATATAATATAATTCCTCATGATGGTCTATTGGGTTAGCACACCACCCTACTTCTAATGGTCATAGGATTGATTCCTTGCACGGCACAAACATTTATATTCATGAGTATGATTGTTTGTATCGGTCTGGGGGTTTTCTATGTATATATATGTAGTTATGAAAAAAATATATATCTAGGTATTTGTATCAGTTATATAGTACTAACATAAGCTTTAGTTCGCTTTACTTGGGTCTAGATGGCACTGTGAATTGTCTTGAGATTATTATTAAAATCCTCGAGCCTCAACATCAATCTCAATGAAGTAATATTAATGTGGTAAACCGTACAGTCAGGTATATAAGTAATCTACTGTATAAGGTGGCAAAAAGCTTGTTTGCCATTCCAATAAAAAAAGCATATATAAAAAATAAGGTACATAAAAAAATAGATGGTCTTATCTATTACAGTTACAAAGCAGGTTGCATTCATATTATTCACTTATTATTCACACATTTAGTATAATAATGAATTAACTTAAAAATTACAAACATTGAAAAATACACTCTTAAGTACTAACTTTAAAGTCTAATTTCAAAAATTTCACACACTAAAAATGTGTAAAAATATTTATTTAAAAAAGGAATGCACAAGTTTTTTCCATATTGTTCTTGTGATGAGTCTGTGATCCAAATTAATGGAATTAAAAAAATATGACTATTCAAAAGTGCTTGTATGAAATTTATTTGTATTAGGAATATTTTTATTTTTAATTTTTGAATCAATCCAGTTTTGTACTAGGTGTGCAATATGCTAAGGTAGTAAAACAATAAACTATTATGAGGAGGCATAATACTTTAGTCCTCCAGAATGGCAACATATGAACAGGTTGTGCCATGTGCATATGTTGCCTGAAGAGGTGGGAGTGGGTACAAGGGGTGTCAGATTATATTCATGTGTATAGGTGACGGTTGCCACTTACCATTTGTTTTCTCTTCCAGTTACATAAAAATAAAAAAAAATTGTTGATATACATTAATGAAAAACTTACTATATAAAAGTATATTGACTTTATAGAATATCCGAGGACTTGATTAATTTACCATTAAGCAATCCCATTTTGTGTTTCTCCCTAACATGCCTGACTACATGGTCTTTCCGTTTGTACACCTGTCCGCAAATCGGACACACTACAAACTGGTTTAAATGCTGGGACTTGACATGTCTCAACATGTGATCTCTTCGCTTGAATGTCGTCTGGCAATGGGGACAAACATGCCGTTCGGTCAGCAGATGCGTCTTCTCATGACTGTCGAGTTTCGACAGCGTACCACACTGGAATTTACACTCCCTGCAGTGGAAAACCTCTTGATTCCCATTATGTTTTCTTTTAATATGCTTCAACAGAATGTCTTGACGTTTACAATCTTTCCCGCACACAGGACAATTGCAGTACTTCTGGTTAATATGCAAACTTTGTATATGCCTCTTCAAGTGGTCTTGGCGCCTAAAAGTGGCGTTACATAAGTTGCAAGCTACCACTTTCTTCTGACCATGCATTTCGACATTATGATGTTCATATTCGATTAAATCGTCAAAGCTCAAGTCGCAGTGCCCACAATAACTGCTGTACGGCTCTGGTACCGGCAATTTAGGTACTGATACCCTCTCAGAGCTATTTGCGAATGGATTTATCGCGTACTTAGTGCCGTCTGAACACTCAAATATAGCTTGCGTGTAGTAATTACTCTTTGAGGTATCCACCATATTGAATTCTGAATTATCAGTGATAATTTTAGTTTGTTATTTAGACATTTATTGTTTGGATGTTTTGTTATTTGCTGTGGTAAAAATAAACAATTTATGTACACCCAATACTTGCGCAAAATCAATGAAAATTGACATTGATTGATTTGACTGACATTTGGCTAGTGTTGCTTGTATAGTACACCAGTGTTGCATACTTCATTTTATAAAATTCTACTAAAAATGCATGATATACTTCATTGAAGTAACTTAAATAAAAATGTCCTATTTATTGGATTAATTTGAAGTTCATAATTTTTATATATTTTAATATAAATTATTAAAATTAGTTTATATATATTTTGTGGCGGATTACTTACTCAGTGTGGAAACACGGGAATAAGGATTCAGGAATGAAAATAAAAATACCGTCTTTTACTGGTTTTTTAAAATATACTTAATATGAACTTAATAACAATTTGTAATCTAATTGTATTTACCCTTACCTGTTCTTTATCTTTGCTTCTGACCTGTTTAAATGTGTAACTGTATAGTTTTTAAATAACCAATTTAAATGTAACTTTAATATTAAAAATAAATTCATGAGGTATCTGTTATTGGCTTTACTAACTATGTAATACTATATATTGTCTATAAATTGTATAGGCTGTTGATTACCTAAAATAAATAAATAAACAATCTCTAAATATCTGTAAATTTGAGCACAATAGATCTATGTAGGTCGAAGTACCACACGTGTTATACAACTCTCACGTCATACATAACGCTTCACTGGTAAGGTGATATATACACGTTACAGTATTGTTTCGTGAGAAAACGATGGTAGTTCAATCCAAATCTAAATGTACAAGCAAACCGCACTATCGGACCCATTCCAGCGTGATGGTTCTCTGTCGAAACGAGCGGTGATAAAAGGTAGCTATAAACATTTTTTATGCTACTGTAATGGCAAACAAGCATGGCTCATCTGATGGTAAACGGTTACATTAGCATTATACTTACTCTGGAACCACAGAATATTGTAGAGTCCTACTCCATGCTAAAAGTCAGACTGATTGCACTTTCCAATCAGTCTCACTCTGTCCTTCATAATCAGTCAGTCATCTCTTAATTAGTCATAATCTTATAATGGAGATACCAAAGGATTCCAGAGGCAGTGCAATATTTAAGAATAAAGATTTATACTACCTGTGCTACTCCTCACTTCTCTTTTCTTATATAAAAGATAAAGCGGACGGTATTGCTTTCACATCAATTTTTAAAGCATCAAAATAAATCAGAATATCCTTATTCATGCAGATTGATTACAGACTCTTATGATAAATCAAATCTACCGTCAATTCAGAGTGCTGACGAGAAGAACTGATAAGAGACTCAGCTCTGTGCTTTAGTTGTATGCGTCTAGTCCCAACCAAATAAAGCTTATTATAAGTAGGCACTGAACAACCAATAGAAATACTTAGATACATTTTTTGTAAATACATAAATAACTAATAAGTAATATTCTTTCATACAGTCTAATATAAACAATTATACTTATGAATCCAAATGTTTATATTGCGCTAGTAACCGAACGTGCGACCATCGGAAGTAAGGCGGTGTGCTTAACCGCTAGACCACCGAGGCCGATTACAGAAAACTTTCAGATGTTTTTTTCTGGTCCAACTATCCATGGCACATAAAATATCGCTCGTCTGTACAGGGCACTAAAATTCACCAATTCTCTTATTTAAGCTTACTTTTTGTGATATAGGTATTCAGTGTTCAAATATATTAGTAGTTTCCCGGTAATCGAATTTTGATCATAGCTTATTAAATTAGCCATAGTTGAAATTTGATTACTGAGACTCTATACGCCTGATATTTGATAACAGAAACTTAATATTTTATATTAAATATACTTGTCAAATACACCATGTATTTGACAAGTATATTTAATATTAAATATTAAATATATTAGATTAAAAAAGTATAAACATTCTGCTGTCCTGTTGCATATAAATTTAAACTGTATATACACGTCATGTGTCTTTTGTAAAAAGGGGTTATTTATTATATAATATATAAGTAATATAAATAATTAATAGGATCATAAAATAAAACAAGCATATAAAGATTTAATATTGGACTAATATTTAGTAAAATACCATATTATAATAATAAAATTCATATAAAAATTCAAGTATTTCAATTTTAAACAATACCTACGAACTTGCGGGGGCCAGCGTCAACGCGTTTGTACCAAGAGAATATTTCACATGAACACTATTACACACGATTTATTGTAGTTGGTTTTTTTATCGGCGACAAAAAGTCGCTAGTCTACCTGGTGTTCCATCTGAAACTCTAGCTTAGCACAGACGATTGCAAAACAAATTGAAAGTGTAAAACAACGTTTAAAGATTTACGTTGGTTATATGTAGTGGTCGATTTGCAGGCGAGCGACACTCGAGCGATAAGTAGAGGTAAGAATGGTGATAAGACGTCGTTGCGTCGCTCATGTGCAGTCGACCTAACAACTAACGTAACTCTAAAGATTCTTAACCACCGGCTCCCCACAAGTATTTAACGCTATAATTAATTTCTATTATTTCAAACAAGAAAAAAAATATAATTCACTCTCGATAAAAAATAATATAAACACAGGTAAATTCAAACTACATAGTTTTACGCCTAATAAGTTTTTTACATAAATATAAATATATAAAAAATGTACGGTATTAAATTTTAATTATAATACATAAAACGAAAACAACTAAAATATACGCTTAAACTGGTAAAGCTCTGATTTATAAATTTTTGAATCTACGTCGCGATGCAGTAGGTAGTTATAGTATTGACAAAACAGTTATTTTTTTACATTTTTCCGTAATATTACCATGTCATTAAATATACATAAATATCCTTAAATTTATTTCCTTACGGCCAATGTGCATTGTTAACTTTTTAATTCTTTATATTGGCGAAAGCTTAATCTAAGTTGCAGTGTATATTACTTATCGAAAACTCTGAAAATACTGAAAAAACGATTAACACTAATAATAAAAATATAAACAACTAACTACAGTGAATAAACATTACTATTTAAATAAAAAAAGTTATACAAAAAAAATAGTAAAAAATAAATAAATAGGAATAACGTCAAAATACATCAAAACAAATGGGTGATATATTAATTACAAAAGCTTAATTTGGGCCCGCAACACACGAGTCTACTGTAGCCATAAAACAATTTGTTTATCAAATGACTCCTAGAAAGTGACAAGAATATCGCTACTCGGTATCATGCGTAGCATATCTAAATAGAGATGCCAGTATCCTAGAAAGTATAGTCAGAGTAGAAATTTCTGCATATGGCAACACTATTTCTTTCTAGTTCCTTTACTGTAAACAAATTGCTTTCCGCTCTAGTTCGAAGACCGCATATGCGCCAGCTAAAGCCACTCTCCAGAATTAAGTAAACATTAGGAATCACTGGGCGTCGAATTCCCACCCTTGTCTTTTTGGTACTCGTCTTTGGTCAAATGGAGACGTAGCAAAAATAAATGTACTTAATAAATTAGGGCGTGACAACACAAGATTCAGAAATGTCTTTGGGCGACTGCGACGAGTATAATGCCGCAACTTGTGTTTACGCCATTGCAATGTATATATTCATGTGCCTTCGGCATAAATAAATAAAAATAATATAGAACCAATTGCACTATCCCAAACAAAACTACAAGATGAAACACAGGAGAAAGATTTCAAATTCATTTTAATAGTTCACAATAGTCTAAAATAATTTAAACAATCCGGCTACCGTTTACAAAAGCAGAGAGAAACAGTTTTAGCGTAAATTCACAAAACATTTCATTTATCTATTTAAAAAAACATGACGTACGCTCGCTCGATTCGGCTGTTTCGAAAGCCATGACATAAAAATACGCTTCGAAACTATAGTGTATGTCATCGCAGTGTGCTTAATTCTAAAACAAAGCTTAAAATTAATCTTAATTACGTCTCACTAAAGCTGTCACTAATTTAAAAGTCGCAAGTGTGGCGTCCGGAGCAGACTAGCGACATTCAGAATGGTCAAAATGAAATTTGAATACGGGCAGAAATTTCGAAAATCGCCGCAAATCCACACCGAACGTAAAACGACTGAATCGAGCGAGACAACAGAAAATGAGCACAAAGTCGCAAATTTAAATTATGAATAAAGAAAATCGATTACATTGGTAACGTGTCACTGAAATAACTGCCTATAAAAATATATAAATCTTATTTCAAATCAATTTAAATTATAGTTTTGCATTTGACTCCTGTACGTAGGAAGGAAATCCATTGGTAACATTTAGGATTTTGCAAGGAGTCATCTTTAAAAAGTCTATTAAAAAAATAATTTCAATGCACCACAGTGTCGTCAAAATATAGCATCGAGAGTATACGAAGTAGGTACACGACACACTTGCCATTATTAAAAAAACCGACGCCCGGTGCATAGGAAATATTTAAAAATAATATTGTCTAGCAACGTTTTCAAATATTTAGGTACTATTATCTCATACATTATACGTAACTAGGTAATGTATTCGATCAATTGCTCTACTTTTGCTATTATTTTAAAATTATGTTATAATTTTTAAGTCCGTACGCGGTATTCATCGATTTATTCCGTTGCAGAATTCTTTATTGCCTGCAAGTAAACAACTCCACTTCTAAATATGTTTATTAACTATTTTACACACGTTTTCTCCTCATGGCGCGTATAGCTCAAAATATTTTTAGAGAAGATATCGTTTACCTGACCAGGCTCATCCCATTCGCCTTTCGACACTACCAACCATGTCATGTCCCAAAATGTTTGAGACCAAAATGGTACCAGTGAGTAGACGGGAACCAATCGACGAGAATACCGCGTGCGGATCAACAATTTCACTAGAGACCCTAGCACGAATTTACATGGCGCCGACGCGTGCGAACGCTAAGTCGAAAATCTAACACGGTCCGCCGCCGCAAATTGTAAAAAAACGTCTTTTTTTGCGGGATTTTTCAAAATTTTCTCTATTCACTAAGAAAAGTTCAACGTACGAATCACTATTTACATGCAAGTGATATAAGTGCGAAAAAACTCACTCGGGAACGACGAGGGGTCCGACACAGATCAACAACAACAATACAAAGTTTATATCGTCGAGTACAAGTCTCACAAAAAAATGTACACTTATAAACATTTATTAAACAGTGACAATGCCCCCCGTGGTGCGTCGCAAGTGATATGAACGTCAAAATTACCGTCTAAAAGGAAAAATGTTACTAGCACACACCCTTAGCTCGAACAAACAACGTACAACAAGAACAGACCCGCAACGCGGTATAAACAAGAAAGCAAAACAACCTACAAACTAACAAACAGATAGAGAAAGCCTCCGCTCCGCAACGTACAAACCATTCAACAAAAAAGCCTCCTCTATAAACACAAACGCCTCCAAATTAACTAAATAGTATCAAAATAAAACTTTGCGGAGCGAAACAAGTTAATATAAAACTAAAACACACCCCCGACCAAAATGGATTCATTCCTTGATCTTTGTCAATTGCAGAGCAGAACACTATCGATACCAAAAAGTTCATATATTAAGTAACTTTTTGGGACTAACAGAAGACGAATCCACCTGAAATATTAAAGAATAAGATATTCGAGAACTGCCTTTGATCAGGGGCTAAAAAATAATAGGAAATCTCCTCCCATGTTTCAATTAAACTAGACAACACATCCAAACCGCCGGCTATGAATGAATTGGGCTCAACGAATCACTATTGTCCTCCAATGCCGTAAGATCGCATCTTAAACAAAGCGTATTAAGGATCTGGATAATTCGAGTAAAGTTACATTATGTTTTAATACAATGTGATTGTGAAAGAAGGCAGTTTAGTAAAACGACTTTTGTCCCTCATAGAAGCTCTTTAAAAATCCAATCGCTTTGTCTATGACAAATCCGTTAAACAATTATATGTACTGGCAACTCGAGGAGTCATCTGTATACGGTTTCCGTCTAGTAGATCTACATACAGTTTAGCACAATGCAAAAGCTTAGCAGAGACCAATATCCCAAACACCTCGGTCATAATCTAAACACCAATTAAGTTTATCGCTGGGTTTTTGACAGACCTTCAAGGAATCAGGGCGAATGTTCACAATTCGATTCGCATTCCTCTTTACCAATCATAGTTAACAACTCGGTACTAGCGTGATATTCCTGTACATTATATGTTTTAATGTGTTCCATGTATATATTTTGACTACACCTCCACGAAATAATTTAGGTATTATCAAAATAAATACGAGATAAAATTGAAGGCACCCCGTGACGGTGGCAAATCCTTGAAGATCTGTACTCGGGTCGAGACGACCGTTATATACAAAAACATAAAATCATTACCCAAGCGTTCAGCTACAAACGTTGCGCGCAAAGTAAATAACCACTTCCGAATTCACAATTGTCGTTTTTTATAAAAATACAAAAATACAAAATGGGACAGAGCGACCACACAACAACACTCACGCGTCCCACCTCTTTATTTCAACTAGGAGGGGTTAGGGGGCACCAAACAATTTCACCAAATATATATTTGAGCAATTTCATCCAAATAAACGGTAGGGTACATCAAACGCACAAAAACAGCATAAAACAAACCATAACAACAACAATGACGTCATACATCAAGGACAAAATAAGTAGGTAACAAACAATATTTTTCAAAAGTGTTGTCACATAAGAAAAATCTACCAAAGTGGAAGTTTTAAAAATGCAATAGAAAAATAATGTTGGATCGTTGTAACGGTTAAAATCGAGGTGCCGAGCAAAGTGACGATGAGATTATTAAGTGTAATCGGAGCATACTCAAGGGCGTGTCGAAATTATCTCCTAGGAAACTTCTAATTTTAATTTATGAACAGAGTACCACGAGCTGGCAATCTCAATTATTTGCTATTACTGAAACTATTCAATATTTCACTATAACTATAGAGTTTCTCTGTCACAGCGTGTGACCATCGAATCGTTCGACTTTTTGTATCAATATAAATACATATCAATATACTACATACTAAGAAAATATAAATATTTCGCAAATATTCCATTTTGTCTACATTTAATTGAGTTAGTTGAACATTATTTTTGAGTTTGCGACACAAAAAGTCGACAACACGTGCAAATATTATGGCAAAATTTTCACTAAAATGCTCTATTAGTAATAATACAAATTGTACCTACTTATCGTTTAAAAAATTGAAATGGACCAATTTCGCCCAACCAACCAGCAATATTCAGGGTATAATATTGCTTACAGCCTGCGAGGGGTAAATTGGAGAGGCAAAATTGTCCCGAAGGTATTCTCATCCCGATATATACCCTTACTTTTAGTTTCCGATAAACGCGTGCCAAACGTTTCAATATGTCAAGGTTTAAAAATTATGTCCTGTAACCGATGGTGTTTCGTAGCCTAGAGTAGATTTTACTAGTATATTTGCTCAAAATTTACGATTTAAAGTGTTTTTTTTTTACAAAAAATCGCAATAAATACGACGGACATCGGGCAACAACAACCATCTAATGAAGAAAACGCCAGAGTCGGGAGGGGTACGCCAAACGTAGTCGCATTCAAGGCACTATAAAGCCCTTTTTCATCTAATTTCGAAAAAGATACACAACATTAAAAAATCTCTTCAAAATCATGAAAAAACCATCAAAAAATTCGCGCAAGTCTTTTACTACAGTCTATAAAACGTCCGTGGTCGTCGGGATACGGTGTCTTACCGCGCGGTGAAACCGCAATTTAAGTACATACGAAAAAGAAAAACCCCGAAGTTTTGTTTTATAACAACGAAGAACACCTGGCGATAACACTAGTTTCATTCTATCCGTCAAGAAATTTGAAAGTAACCTATAAATTGCACAAGTCGCAACGTCGTGCCAATAGATGGCGTTGTTAACAAAATATACAAGTTCCAAATTCAAATGAAATCAGTGTTACCATATACCAGATAATAAACTCCTTCCATTACACTAATATAATAAATTGGTTAATATATTCCCTAAAAGAGACTAAACTATACGCTATTGCACTATCCCGGCTGTACGAAAAAATATTTTTTACCTTTAACGCTAAATAACTCGAGAACGTGCCTACAGCCGCAATGGTAACACGTTTGTACTAAAAATGAGTCCCTACCGCCTCCCATAATAATGAAGTAAACACAGTATAGGAACAAAATTATAGAAATACATCCCATTCGGGTCAAAAGGAATAGTCGACCAGCCGGCACTACTACCAGAGTCGAGCCAACCAAGTTATATGCACTAGGTACAATAAGACTCGCCGTCCTACTTCCCCATGGTTAGTCAAAGATGGACAATTAGTGAAGCATCCAAATTACTTTGAATAGCACAATCCTTATTAAACGGTACAAGTGATGTTTTTGTAGCAACTGTTAATAGGTAAACAATCACACAAAAAATGTCAACAGACAACAATGCAATTCTTGGAAGTAATTCTTTTCGATTTGTGTAAAATCAATAATCAGATATACCGTTTAAAAAGTCTTGTGAGCAGATCTAGAACTGCGCAGACCTCAATGATAGCGTGAATTTGATTCAGACTAACAACATGTAGGAAAACAGACGAGTGATTGCAAAAATAATGCATCAGTATCGACAACGCCAAAAATCGTCTTGAAGGCGATAACACGGAAACAGTAACATAGCTAACTTCTAATACATAAAACATTAAATTATACTGAACACAAAACCATGCGGTAATACTGAAAGTCGACAGCCGACTAATCGCAAATGCACACGAAGGGGACGAAACAATCGCAACAATATCCAAGTCCAGCGTCCTAATCGAAATTCGAGGATAATCTTAGGAAATTGATTCTAGCTAAACAGGTACAATTATGTTTTTTTTTATCGAAAAAATCAGACATTCCACTTATGTCTTACATTAATATCTTACGATAAGTGAGCGTACGCGCCTGCGACAAGTCGCAGCGACTGGTCGCAGCGATTAATCGTCGGGCGCGTCACTTCGTCTCAAGATAGAGCTTACCAAAACGGATATCTAGCTAAGTTTTATGGATACATATTTTTGCTTATATCGAAATCTATGGTCCGCTACGTCGCTGTCTCCGTGAACGTGAAAAACTACCAAGATAGTAGTTTCCCATCTGGCAACACTAGGTAACCGTTTACGGAGACAGCAACACAGCAAACGTAACGCTTGTACTTGAATTCTATAATATTCTGCTTAATATTAAACATTGGATAAAGTTGCTTATTAAATTGTTTTATTATTATTATTAATTTACTATTGCCATAGCCAATGGCTTACAGTTTCCTATTGGTATGTCGTATCCGTTAGTGACATTCAATTTTCTGTCATTACAATGTTGCCAGCATATCTTCCAGTTGTTACCAAACGATAGAAAAAGAAACCGACTAGTTAACATTGTAACTGTTCGGAGCGCATATTCCTATTCTACGCCGTTCCGTATGATTAGGGTTTTATGTTTAGAATTGAATCATTGCGGTAGTAAAAAATACCGCTCAGGAAACCGAACGAGTGAAATGACTAATAGCGCGGTATTACAAAACTACCGCTGCAAAACAATTCAGACAGAGTTATGGCAGGGGTGAGTAGTGAGAGAACAGTCAGCGAGAGATAACACCTTGACACTCAGTAGTAACAATCGCGAGAACAAAATGGCGCAGGTGTGGTAGCTATCTCCATCTCTGTCGCTCACTACCCATCCCTGTCAGTGTCTCCCGCTCACTCTCGCCTACTCCCGCTCACTCCCACTGACTCCCTCTCACTCCTACTCCACTAACACCAGCGGAATGGCACGGCCCGCGGACGGTCAGCGCCTTCCTTGACGAGCGGCTTGTGGAACTCGCGTCCGGGCCGCGAGTGGATCGTCGCCCAGCAATGCTCGCAGTAATACTGAAATGGAAACATTTTATTATACTGAAATGGTTAACATGATAAAAAAATAAAAAATAACTGAAGGCTGGTCTAGCACACCGATTTACTTTCGACGGCCGCAGGTTCGATTTCTCGCATGGTGAGAACATTTGTATGAGTAGGTGGATACGGATCCACAAACCTGATGGTAGATTTGCGCTAATATTTGAAAGATGTATACTGTACGAGATATTGACGTATTGATTGATGGTAATGTTTGAAGGGTTTCATCAAATAAAACCGCCTGGATTAAATTCTACTTGAAGACTAACGATTGTTAGGGTTCACATCGATATTGTCGAAAAATCTGATATTTAATATTAAAAGAAGGTAGTTTCATTATTACTCGGTATCGTTAAACTACTTGCATATAACCCCCACTCATATCTTCTCTGTATAAAAGGGAGGGTTTTTGTAGGCCGCGGCACGGCATTCCGCTGACCGACGCGCTAGCGAACGCACGTATGTGCTCGCTAGTCCCGCCGCCGTCTCGCTGTTCTCTGCTCCCTCGAGCAAACCACCGCGCGCGCGCACGTAGCGCAGTTACGTTCGCGCGTTCTAATTCTTATACTTCGCCGCGTGTTAGGTGCACTCGGTGCACCTTATGGCCCGGGGCCTCCGTGTCCCGCGCCGACCGCGGCCGACCGCGCTCTCGGCATCCGTTCCGACACAGTGCTACCGGACTTTCCGCGAGTGTAGTGTTGTGTTGTGAGGACTGAAGGAGAAACTCTCTTCGTTCAAGTGAAGTGAAGTGTTGTGTGTGGACGTTCAGTGGCACGGACTGTCGTGAGTTAGGGAGGTGCGTCACGCCTATTGCGCGACGCGCCGATCCGAGCCGCCGCCGCTGCCACCAACACCCGCCGACGCCTGCTGCCTGCCGCCCGCCACCGACGCCACCAAGTAGGTTCGCTTAGGTACACATTTTTCACTCAATAAGATTAGTGATCTTACATATTAGAGTCACATATCAATAGGCACTCACCCCCCTGCCTCACCCGGCAGGGAGGCCCCCGCTGACACCGTCGGCTGCACCCGCCGACGACCGTCCTTATCTTAAGTACTGACTTACCCTATTGTTTCATTGTATTGTATTGTTATTGTGTTGTATTGTTATTGTATTGTTTATATTACTATTTCTACTCTTATTCTATTCTTTTGAACAGTGGTAATTAACATTACCACTGTTCAAAAAAAATGTCCTTATCAGAGGCCGATATGCCTCTGTTCTTCCAGTTCCTGGAAAAAAAGCCGGCATCTTAAATGCTTTTATAGCATTCAAAGCCGCCAAGCCCGTCCACTTAGTGTACAGCTCGCCCCCCGCGTCCCCAATGATGACTCACACTGACGAACCGAACACTGACACTGACGAATTCGAGGACGACTCGCAACGGCTCCCGCCGCTTCCCCCGACCCAAGCCGACCAGGCCGAACCCGCCTCGCCCGCCATGGAGCAGGACGACTCCGTCGCGGAGCTTGACGCTCCTAGTATGGAGCTCGACGCCATCCGCGACGGCGACGTCCCCTCTCCCATCCCCCCGGTCTCCTCAGACGAGGACGATTTTATTCTTGTTGGCAACAAGCGTGCCAAGAAGACCCAGGGCTCCCAGCCAGCCAAAACAAAGCGTGCCCATGACGGCACCGCTAAAACCGCCCCCGGTCCGAGTGCACGCAAGTCGCACCCCGAGACCAAAGCCCCGCCCCCCGTCATCATCCAGGACAAAAGTGCCTGGAACACCGTATCCAATATGCTTAAAAACAAGCATATCAATTTCAGCCATGCTAAGGCTACCTCAATAGGGATCAAAGTATCAGTCCCATCATCTGACGACCATCGTCGTCTCACCACCTTCCTGCGGGAAAAAAACATAGGTTATCACACCTATGCTCTCGAGGAAGAGAAAAAGCTCCGCGTTGTAATACGCGGTTTACCCAAGGAGCTCTCAACAGACTCCATCCTTGAGGACCTTCAGTCCCAGAATTACCCAGCGCACGAGGTACATCGTATGTACCAGTCGCGCTCACGCAACAAGGCCGCTATCGACCTTGTTCTAGTCGTATTAGATTTATCCCCAGAAGGCAAATCGATCTTTGATATAAAGAGCGTTTGCCAACTATCCTCGCTCTCCGTAGAGGCGCCTCGCAAGCGTACCTACCCCGGACAATGCCACCGTTGTCAGAACTACGGGCACTCTGCCCGTAATTGTTTCGCTTGCGTCAAGTGCCTAGGCGATCACGCCACCGCAGATTGCGGCCGTAGGCCCAACACCCCCACGCCCCCCAGTTGCACCCTCTGCCTCACAGAGGGTCACACCGCGAATTACCGCGGTTGTTCACGCGCCCCACGTCCCGCCAAAAAGAAGGCCACCCACACCCAGGGCAACCGTGCTCCGGCACGTGCCCCCGCCAAGGCTCAAACACAACCCGAGCCGCTCGTACCCGCCCCTCTGCCTGCTAACAATGCCTGGATTAAACCCCCGGCAATTGTAAGCAAGGTAGCACCCAACCCGCCCGCCCAGAAAGCCCCGCCCGCCCAGTCGGCCCCGCCCGCCCAATCGGCCCCGCCCATGCCCATACACAAACCCGTCCCCAAAACACTGCCCGCGGCCCCCAAGGCCAACGGCAGCTCCCTCGCGCAGGACTTCGCATTGGTCGCTCGCTTAGCCAGCACCATCGACCCTAACGAGATTGCCCTTCTGGCCTCCAAGCTCCGCCTGTATAAGGAGTCGCCCCAAAATAGGCTCGCAGCCGTCTGCGAGCACATCGGCGTACTTACCGCCATCCTCAATTTTAACCTGTAATTATGGGTACTCGAGCTCAGAGAGAAAAGCCTCGGTCCGTTCGAATAGCGTTTTTTAACGCGTTCGGATTAAAAAAACAAAAGGAGGAAATCGCCTCCTTTCTCACTGACCACCAAGTCGATATTCTCCTCGTGCAGGAGACCCTACTGAAACGTTCAGTCCGCGATCCTAGAATCGCCAATTACAACTTAGTTAGGAACGACCGCACCGCCTGTAGAGGCGGCGGTACGCTCATATACTATAAACGGTCCCTACATTGTATACCGCTACAAACACCGCCTCTCACTCATATGGAGGCCTCCGTCTGTCTTCTCGGCATGACCGGCCACCGACCGCTCGCCGTGGCATCCGTATATCAGCCTCCCGGCAAACTACTGCTGGAAAGCGACCTACGCGCCCTCCTAGATATCAACAGCGCCACCATTCTGGCTGGCGATTTGAATTGTAAACACACCCGCTGGAACTGCCACGTGTCCACGACAAACGGCCACAAACTAGACAGACTAGCCGACTCGCTCGAATTCGAGATAATCGCCCCGCTCCGCCCTACTCATTATCCCCATAACGTGAACCACCGACCCGACATACTGGACATGGCACTGCTGAGGAACGTAACCCTACGGGTGAGCTCCCCAGAAGTCCATGCCGAGCTTAACTCGGACCATCGACCGGTAACCCTCCTTCTGGGCCCTCCGCCCGACACGCCACTACCAACCAAAACAATAACAGACTGGCAACGACTCGAGAAATCTCTCGAATCGACCGACACACCGATACTAAACCGTATTCCCGACGTCATAGAGTCCACCGAGGACACTCTCATTGCGATCGACTCGCTTACTAACCACCTGCAGTCGGCAGTCAAGGACTGCTCCAGGGAGGTACTGGCGACGGACGACCGTCGCTGGCAGCTTCCCGATGACGTAAGGAGGTTAATAAGCGATAAGAACGCAGCCACTAGAGCGTACGATCGCTACCCCTCCGAACCGAACCGGGTGCGCCTGCGAGCCTTACAGCGTAGCGTTAAGGAGCGCATCGCGCAGATCCGGGACGGCCGGTGGGGAAAGCTCATAGAAGAGATAACGCCATGCCACACCGCGTACTGGCGCATAGCGAAATCTCTCAAAACCGACCAACAGACAAACGACATGCCCCCGCTAGTCCGACCCGACAACACTATAGCCTTCTTCGACGAAGACAAGGCTGAGTGTCTAGCGTCCAACTTAGAAGCCCAATGCTCCCCCAGCACGCTCCCAGTCGAGGCAGGTCATCTCGAGAAGATAGACACCGAAGTCGAACGCATCGCGTCCACCCCGCCCACCGAATCCCTCTCACCAGTCACGCTTGATGAGGTCAAAACGCTAGTTAAACAACTACCTATCAAAAAATCACCCGGCTCAGACGGCATATCGAATAGATTAGTCAAAAGTCTGCCATCCCAACTTTTGTTATTACTCGTCGCTATTTTTAACGCGGCGCTGTCCAACGCTATATTTCCAGACAGCTGGAAAGAAGCCGTGGTCATTGGCATCCCCAAGCCCGGTAAAAATAAATCCGACCCATCCAGTTATCGTCCTATCAGCCTCCTCAAGGCTATAGGCAAGCTGTACGAGCGAATCCTCCTCGCCCGCCTAAAGGAGTTTATATACTCCAAAGGCCTGCTCATCAATGAGCAGTTTGGCTTCCGAGCCAAACACTCATGCGTCCATCAAGTGCACCGCATCACGGAGCACATTCACAAAAACACTCTGTACTTCGCCACCAAGTCCCCCAAAGGCGGTACAGGCGTCCTATTTTTCGATGTGGCTAAGGCTTTCGATAAAGTCTGGCACAACGGCTTGATTTACAAGCTTCATCAGTTAGGTGTCCCCGACAGGCTAGTACTCATTGTACGAGATTTCCTGTCGAATCGCTCTTATCGCTACCGTATAAACGGAGCGTTATCCGACCCGCACCCCATACGAGCCGGCGTCCCTCAGGGCGCCGTCCTCTCTCCGATGCTCTACTCGTTGTACACCAACGACATCCCCAAATTCTCCGACTTAAAAGTCGAAATATCGCTGTTTGCCGATGACACGGCTCTCTTTACATCCGCCAAGTCCCGTGCGACAATAGCCAGACGGCTTCAGAAAGCCGTAACGATACTGGGCGAATGGTTCCGTCGGTGGCGCATAGAAGTCAATCCCGAAAAAAGTGCAGCAGTGTACTTTAGCAGGGAATTCGACTCTATGAATCACCCGATCGAACTATTCGGCCAAAACATCCCGTGGGTTTCGAAAACGAAATATCTCGGCGTCACCCTAGATAGGAAACTAACGTTTCGTCCTCACATCAAGCGTGTCCGCGACCGAGCCGCCTTTATACTAGGGCGACTCTATCCTTTTATTAACAAGCACAGTAAAATGTCGCTTCGCAACAAGCTGACATTATACAAGGCTTGCATCCGTCCCATCATGACCTACGCTAGTCCCGTATTCGCCCACATACCCTACTGCTTAATCAACAGACTGCAGGTCATTCAGAATAGGTTTCTGCGTCGAGCCACCGGTGCGCCGTGGTTCGTTCGCAGCGTATATCTCCACCGCGATCTTAATCTGCCCTCCATCAAGCAGTTTATGAAGGAAGCGTCTCGACGCTACTTCGACTCTGCCCAATCCCACCCTAATCCGCTTATAGTCAGTGCGGTCGACTACGCACCGAGGAGTAATATCCGACACACGCGACAACGTCGCCCGAGGCACGTTCTCATTGACCCCGACGACCCCATAACGGCAGGTAACCTCCCCACGGGCCCACCCGTTCCACCCCGACCACACTTTTACACACACACACGACACCGTCCTCGCCGGCGAAGACGACGACCTCAAACACACAATATCGCGCATTCAACCGGGCGCCTGCGCGCGCCCGGGCGCTCCACACCGGCGCCCCCGGGCGCCCCTCCGATCGATCCCCCGTCCAATTCAAACGGGGATTGAAATTACGACGGCCTGAGCCGAGGTTCGAACCCCTAGTGGTGCCCTCAGACTAAAGTCGTATCCGTCGGGCAGAGTTGGCCTTCAGCCGCTCCATAAGTCCTTCCGCGGGTTTGGAGTGCCATCTGCACTCGCCCCATAACGTCCGGTGAAGCTGTAAAGGCCAGCTACGGCCAACAGCATTAGAGTAGTCCGAAAAAAAAAAAAAAAAGGCCGCGGCATTCAGTCTTTGTGCACAGGATGTGCTGGTTGTATTTTAATTGCTAAAGTGAATTGTGTTACGAGACATAGTTAAATTATTGTTATATAGTTGTTATTTTATTATAATACATATTTTTACTAGTACATAGGGTTGATATATCTAACACTATAGTTCTAGATATATACCTGCAGACAAGTGACGTTGGCGCAGAAGAACGGTGCGAACTTCGAGCCGCAGCGAGCGCCTGCACACTCGTCACACATCTGGTCGTCCAGCACGTACGGCTTCACCTGTGAATAAATAAAGTGTTTACTCTGATGATGATCATGATAAGGACAATGACAGTGGTGATGGTGGTGATGATGATGATGATGAAACTTTGAAAATTCAGAAAATTTCACGGCCTTTTCAACTTCGGCGTTTTACAGTTTGCCCAATTGCCTACTAAAGAACAATTTCTATTGGGTTAGCTATTTAATACACGTTATAGTCTTCTATATACCTCAACCAAATTGCTCAGAAAATTGGAAAAATTCAGAAAACTTAACGGGGCTTTTTCAACCTCGGAAAAATTCATAGAAAACTTAACGGCTTTTTCAACTCCGGGTTCTGACAGTTTGCCCACTTACCTACTAAGAAGGAACAAGGTTTATTGAGTCATATTTAATACACGTTAAGGTATAATCTTCTATTTACCTCGACCCTCTTGTCGATGTCGCCATGCTGCAGCTGCACGAACCGCGCCGAGATGGCCGCTATGTACGACTGTTGGTTGGAAAATGCTACCCGCCCAGCGCCCTGCAACCGCACAAATACGTTGCTTAATTATATTATTTTGTTTAATTCTGATACCATTTACACTGCGATGGTGGCTAACAAGGATATGGCCCATCTGATGGTAAACGGTTACCAACAGCAGCCTAAGGCTACCTAATTGGATCATATCCTTTAGTGTTATGTGCTTCACAGTTGACACAGGTCTTTTTTCAGATGCATGCTTACGAAACTCTGTTTATTAACCACTAATCATGATGCCTGGAGTTCACGAGTTTACTCTTCAGAATCCACTCTCTTTAGTACAGTATACACATAAATTATTCTAATATAGTTGGCCGCAGCTGGCCTGTACAGTATCACCAATTTATAGGGGTCGAGTGTAGATGACAATTCAAACACGCGGAAGGACTCATGAAGCGGCTGAAGGAAAACTCCTGTCTGACGAATACGATTTTAGTCTGTGCCCTCAGACTAAAATCGTATCCGTCAGGCAGGAGCTAGAGGTTCGAACCTCGGCTCAGGCCGTCGTAATTTCGATCCCTGTTTGAATCGTACGGGTGGTCGATAGCAGAGGAGTATACATAGATACTTTATACAAGAGATCCGACGGAAAACGTAAATTTGTTGCATCATGCAGCATGTCCGAAAGTACTTACCTTGGGGTACTTGAGCTCGGGGTCCGTGTCGATGCCCGCGTAGCACACCCCGCCGTACAATCGATCCATGATCATGGCCAGCTCCACTGTAATAATAATAATGATATCTCAGAACAAATCACAAAGCATCATCGTCATATTTAAGAATTATGTGTGAATACAAAATTAATAGTTACTTAAGTAACCAATAAACCAGTCATGATTATCAGATCACACCAGTACGTAATAGAAGCAGCCATACACAAATAAAGGAGCCATCACTGCGCTCATCCATAATTTAGGGACCCCAATGACCCGTCCCCCACACCACAGCCTTCTACTGTCATAGTGCCATCCAGTCCCAACCTTAGCAAAGCTTGTGTTATACAAGGCAACTGATACAAATATTTTTTTTTGTAAACACAATTATTGTATCTTAGTCTTTGGAATTGTGCAATGTTTCACGAGCTTCAAATAGTGAAGTGGCGTTGGTAGCGCTGTTCATATATAGGCGACAGTTGCCACTTACCATCAAGCAATAAACTTGATCTCTTGACAATATTTGTAAATTAAACATTTAAAGTCAGTGGTCAGTGGCTTACTGTGACATATATATTGACTTTATTTAAGATGTACTTGAATAGCCTTGGTTTTCCTTTAATAAATAAATAAATAAAAAAATAAAACGGAAATTGTAAATTACAATTGGCTATTTCATTCTATTCACCGCCTTACTTCCGATGGTCTCGATTTCGATTCCTGGCACACCTCAAATATTTGTATTAATGAGTATAAACAATCATACTATCGGTCTGGGTGTTTTCGGTATGGGTATTTTCTATGTATATTATGTATTAATGAAAAAGCATTTAAGTATTTACATCAGTTGTCTAGTACCTATAACGCAAGCTCTGCTTACCATAGCACTAGATGACGCTGTGTAATAATTGTTCAAGAAATTTATATACTATCAGCTATATGAAATGTATACTCTGTGTTATTCTGATGTATACGTTATTACTGTAAAGTTTCATGAACATCTGTTCTGTAATTTTCGCGTAAAAGAGTAACAAACATCCATCCATACTCATCAAATTGCGCTTTTATAATATCAGTAAGAAATATTTATACTCACCAGCTTTTAGCGGGCGCGGCACACCGCCAACGAACACCGTCTTGCGAGGATCCAGCGGCATGCTGGCGTCCAGCACGAAGTCAGCATCGGCCAGCCTCCACGGCCGAATCTGGACCGGCTTGTCGCGGATCGTTGGCGACGACACGCACAGATACAATTTGTCGTCGTCTGTGATGCACGCTTCCATCAGAGCTGCCACTGAACTCTCATCCTGTAGGTGAGAGAGTATAACCACGGATTAATTAGGCCCATATTATAAATACCTTATAGACTAACATTCATAAGAAATAATAATAAAATATAAATTGAAATTGTCTTTATATCACATTGCATTGGCAACGGCAATCTGCCACGGTAGCACTGATACACCATCTTCGGCCAATAGTCCTCCCTCATGAAGGTGAGCAGCATGTTGGACCAGGGCCACAAACGCTTTGAAGTTCGCGTGGTGACTTGATTCCAGCTGCATCACCTTCAATGTCAGGTTACTTTGATCCGGATATAGTCGATGTCCTGCTCCTTGTTGGAGTTGTTGCGGCATGGTACTGACACAATAAGGATAGGACTGGTCCGTTCCACTTACAGCTACTGATTGGATTATTTCCGTCTTATAAAAACGCAATAGCATATGCTGGTGATCAATATATCCTCACTAATTAAATTTAAAACGAATCTATTTCTCTGTAATCACGTACAAGCTCATTTGAAAAAAATATGAGCAGATTATCTTCTCAGTTCTTAGCACGATAGCACTCCATAAAGTCTGTAATAGACCTACATAAGATATTTTGTTTTTCAATTTAAGTAGGCCTAAAAATAGACAAATCAATAGACTTAAAAAAAGGTCTCATTTAAGGCCCTATATTTTGCACATGTAATCTTCTGTAAAAATGGATCAAGTTTGGTATTTTTTTTAAAGTAACTGCTTAATGTTATTCCGTTCTTTCCAAACTTGGTACGTTTTAAGAACTGTGTGATGACAAGATGGATCAAAATTTAAACCAGATCCAATTGGTCCATCTATTATTTGGTTCAAATAAAGCTATCTACTAACCCATCACCTATATATATATATATATATAACTCATGACATAGTGATCTATCAACGCACAGCCCAAACCACTGGACGGATCGGGCTGAAATTTGGCATGTAGGTAGATGTTATGACGTAGGCATCCGCTAAGAAAGGATTTTGATTAATTCTACCCCCGAGGGGAAAAAATAGGGGATGAAAGTTTGTATGAAACTGTCAATTTTAAACCGATCGGGCTGAGTCTTTGCATGCAAAAATCTACTATGACGTAGGCATCCTCGAAGGAATTTGATAAATTCCACCCCCAAGGGGATAAATTAAAACGAGCGAAGTCGCGGGCATAAGCTAGTTTACTATAAATTCTTCATCATGCTTCATCCGACGAGTGACTATTCGTCATGACTCTTAAATAGTAAAGTAGTGTACATCCATAAATTTCTATATTGCTCTAAATGATTTTTGAAGCAAAGAATTTCGTAAGATGAAGTTGTAAGGCCAGATACGGCCAAAGCAAAGAGTAAAACCAAATATGTATAGACATTGCTACATATATAAATGGCTCTAATTTGGTTTGGTCTAATAAATTATTTAAACTTTAAGCGATGGTACTCACCTGAAATAGTAGGAAAGCATATCCCTTGGGCGGAAAGTAACTCTTGCTTTCAGCTTTGTGTGGCCAGTCCACCACCAGGGGACCGAACCGCCGGAATGACGACGTTATCTCGTCTGGAAAAAGCAAAAATATTTGTTTTTAATTTCACTCGTTCGCACCAATACATCATTTTCGTTGATTGCTTAATCATCTGCAAGGGTACGAGGGTTAACATAAGAGGAATGGCATCTTTTTGAGGCTTTTTGAGGTAACGGTTGAGTGCAATGATGGCAGGCTCATCCGCCATACTCGTGAACGGGTGCTGCTTATGGGGACTGGTCTGTTCGGGACGGCCACTGAAATGCTGGTGGTCACTATACTCTCCCTAATTGAATTTAAAAATGAATCTGTATTTCTGTAAACATGTACATTAATGTACAAACAAACCTTATTTGAAAAGAATAAGAGCAGTTTCTTGTCAGTTCACTCCGACGGACTGACGATAGATTTGACATATCATCGGTTAAATAGACAAATGGCAGTATTCAAAATGTACATTCTTTACAAGACAAGCATTTAAAGTTTTAAATTTACACAAGTATTATATATCATTTTAGATAATGATTAAGACGGCGTGGTTAATTTAATTGACTTACATAAAAGGTGGCAATTCTAGCTTCTAATATTACAAAATGTCATTTTTCTATTTAATCGACGATATTCTAAGTGTCTATAATACACCTACATGAATAAAGATATTTTGATTTTGAAGTCACGACCTTCTCAGAGTAGTAAAACCAATACTTCTTACGATGAAACAGCTTTCCGAATGAGCGGTAGATTAAAAAAAGTGATGACTATTCAAAAGTGCTTAAATATAAGTTTAATTGCATAATGATTTTCTATTCCAATAGGCGATGATGCTCTCTCATCCTAAATATAGGCTTAAAAATAGTTCTCACTCAATTCGTATTACAAAAGAATGTTTTTGGCTTCAGTTTTTATGTTATTTGAAATAGGCCTAAACATAAATGCATATATAATATTACTGTTGCTATATTTTTAGGTCAGACGCTAGCTGTGATCTCTTTTAACGAATTAAGGTCTAGTTTCAATTGCATACCGGTTACTATTGTATTGTTACAGAAATAACAATGACACGACCCGATTGTAGACACCGACATCCGGTTGGCGAATGCGACAGTGCTGACAACTGAATTTCGGATATAGAAATATAAATAATCTTTATTTAAATAAACTATACATATAAATAAAATTGTAATATAAATACGGTACATACACCAAAATAACATTTTTTACAATTTTTGACTGTCTGTCTGTACTTAATATAATGACTATAAAAAAGTAATATTTTTAATTCTATCACTGTATGAGTGGTAAAATCAAAAATATTCCTATTTTGGACCAATTATAGGACCATTGAACAAATATTTTTATTCACGTGCAGAAACTTTAGACCATTTTTAATAGAACAAATCAATTAAAATAATTTATTCACGTTAGTAATTCATTTTATGGTAATTGCGTAAGATTCTATAAAACTTTGACATTAAAATCTTAATTAAACAAATGTTATGTAAAAAAGCCTAAAATTATATAGCAAGAATAAGTTTATTTGCATTTAATTTTAATTTTCATACTGCTTATAAATGTCCAATTACATTTTAACACATATAGTGCATAATGATTTATCACTAAAATGTCCAGCATCCTTAAATAAAAAAAAATTGCTATGATAAACTATTTGTATTCATTTCGACTTGTAAATGTAGGATTATTTAAAAGAGCAACACACAAGTTTCTTGCTCTTCTTGCAGCTTTCCGAACGAGTGGTAGATAAAAAACAAATTGTTATGACTATTCAAAAGTGCTTAAATTAAGTTTATTTGAATAAATGATTTTCTATTCTATTCTATTCTATTCTATTCTATTCATATACATCCTCCGTCTGTATAATTTTCATAAATCGTGCAAAGGTACTACACGTATTAATATAGTGATAAAAATTAAGATGGCTATTCATATAATACTAAAGCAATTTAATCTACGTATAATATTCAACACGTTATATGATTTACATGCAGGCACGTTCTTCACATCACGATTTTGTGTCCATGTGTCCATTAGAAACAATCTAATGTCTAATGGATATTATTATATGGATTTTAATTAAACACAAAAGGTCAGCCATGACTTTTAGATGCTCCAAAAAGTACGCTCACGACTACATTTTTTAATAATGATAATGGTATGGTGCACCCGCCTGTGCGAACAGTTTACGCTGGCGGGGCACCAGTGGAGGATGATAAGATGAATGTGAGGTCAGGTCAGTTATCATGACAAATTCGCCAGGATATAGAAGGAAATCTGAACTAACAACCCCATTGCTAGTATGGTTCATCTCCATGCGGTTCCTCCAGGAAGCCATCGTGACAAATTCCTAGTCAATTTGCCAGGATGGGCTGACTGACCTTACCTCATTCAACTTATTATCCTCCACTCGGGCCCCGCTAGAGTAAACCGTTGGCATAAGCGGGAGCAGTAGCCCATTACATTCATCTTTTAAAAAAATCGCCAATAAAGATATTCGATTTGATATATTTACTACTATCTTCTGGCAAAATGATTTGAATTGAATCAAATTTGAATGGCAAATTTCTGGCAGAGTCTCTCCTTCTATGGACCTTACATTTGACTCGTAAGTACTCCGAACTGACGGTAGATTGACATATAAGAGTCCTACATGAATAGACATTTTGATTGTTTGATTGATAAATCGATATATTGATTTATCTACTCACCCTCGTCGATGTCCGGCGGCAGCCCCCCGACGAAAACCTTCCGACTGAACCGTTCGCCGTGCTCCGAGCCGGCCGACACGGGCGACGACCGCGCCGGCGACCCGAGAGCACTCACGCACATTGACAGCCCTGCAAACACATTTTTTTATATATATGGAATGGTATTTTATGTTATTGGAGTCTTGCACTACTAGAACAAAGTTTTCTAACATTATTTACGCATGTTGGAAAGATATTGCTAGTAATACGAACAATTTTATTAGGCTAAGACCTGTAAAAATAGATGTAAGTGTGCAAAAAAAGAATAAATAAATAAAAAATTTAGCCATCGCTAGCAATGTACTAAGTCCGATTCTCCCTGGAGGCCTGTGAACAATTCCTGGGGAGTTTGCCATGATGTGCTAACTGAGATGACTATGAATCTTATCATTCTACACTGGTGGGGCACCAGTGGGGCCAGCGTAAACCTAATACATTTTTTTATTAGATTGTATATATTTTTTTATTTTTTTAACTTTGGACATTTAACACACCGCCATCTAGTCCCACGGTAAACAGACCTCGTGTTATGGGTACTACACAACTGATATACATACTTACATACTTTCTTTTGTAAATACATACTCATACAAATAGTCATACTCATGAATATATACATATATGGTTATAGAATATTTATGTATACCAAAAAAGTAATACAAAATATACACTATTTGTTTAATGAAACTCGTCAATCGCCGTCTATTCCATGCGGACGGTGTCGCGGGTACAGCTAGTATTATATAAAATAGAAAAAAACATATGCCGCAGCAACAAAAGAGCAATCAGACTGTATATTAGAAACAATAGATTGGTGTGTAGAGATGCAAATGGCGCTAGTGTTAAAGTACAACAATCAGGCTACTCACCAGCCGCGCTGAGCCTGGAGACGACATCCTGGGCCTGGTCTGCAGGCACCGATGGTGAGCCCGCGCCCGCCACGCCCGCTGCCACCGCCGCGTCCTCCACGCCGGGGAAGAACGGCGACTTGCCTGCAACAAACGGAGAAGAAGGTAAACATCGTAAACGTAAGCGTGAGCAACGTACTATGTCAGGTTGACCTCTACGTGGTACCTTCTGGAAACATCGTGATAAATTTATGGTTAATTTACCACGATGTGCTGACACTGAACTGACTTGACCTCATTGCTCATCTTATCCTCCACTGGTGCCCCGCCAGCGTAAAACGTTAGCGCAGGCTGGTGCATCGTTCCATTATCATCCGTAATATAAGAAAAATTACTTACGAATAGGAATTACTGGCAATAGTCTATATTACATTTAGGACAGGATCCTACTGTATTAGTGTCTTTGTAATTGTGAAAACAATTTCTACATTGTAAATAAACTATGATTTTTTTTAAATAGAATAGAATAGAAAATCATTTATTTGAATAAATGATTTTCTATTTTATTCTATTTAAAAAAAAAGTAATTCAATTGAGTTTATTGCCAGTACTTCTCAATTGGATCTATATACCGAACTGGACGGTTAAAATGTTCTACATAAATAAATGATTTTTAAATCAAATTGCTTGACAGTATCAGTGGTCTAGTGGAATAGCTTGCAGCGTGATGGTCGCTGGTTCGATTCCTTGCACTGTACAAATATTTTTTCTTTATTTATTTACTAAATAATGCTCACCTATGTACATGAACAATACTCTGACATTCTGCCATAACCATCATCTAGTTGCCACCCATTGTAGCCTCGCCTGCGAGAACCGTTCCATCACAGTCATAAAAAAACCTATTAACAAATATCTGTTCTAACTTGATGCAAATACATGTCACGGCATGTTGAGTAGAGAAACAATTCTGTTACAAAATAACTAAGTCGATGGCATGTACACAAAAACATTTATTTGGCATCTTTCCAACTGCCGTAATTAAGACCAAGTCTAGTGCTTTACCTAGTATCGACCATTGAACAGATCTCTCTAAATAATATTACATATTGTGTAGTAAAATTACAGTATAAAAGGCATATCTTAATCATTAAAATGGACTACAAGCAGCACTCGTTCACGAGTATGACGGATGAGCCAGCTATGACTTCGCTCGATCATATTTTACGGAGTCTAATAACCCGGCCCACCACGGAGGAAGAGAGTTGTCAGTAATGTGGACTAAAAATCCCATAGCAATGTACCATGACAGGTTGACCTCCACGTGGTTCACCTGGAAACCATCGTTATAAATTGCTGAATTTACCACAATGGGCTGACTGCCCTAACCTCATGTTCTTATCATCCTCTACTGGTGTCCCGCTAGCGTAAACCATTAGCGCAGGTGGGTGCACCATTCCATTATCTATACATATAAATAAAATTGGAGTGTCTGTTTGTAATATTGAAATAACCGTTTTTTACTACATGCGCATATGAATATCAATACGGTACATACACCAAAATATATTTTTTTTACAATCTTCGTCTGTCTGTCTCTTTGTTCCGGCTAATCTCTGAAATGGTTGGGCCGATTTTGACGGGACTTTTTTTGGCAGGTAGCTAATGCAATACGGAGTAACTTAGGCTACTTTTCTTAGGCTTTCTTTTCTTTCTTTCTAACTTAGACGACGAAGTCGCGGGAACAGCAAATATATAAAAATACTGAACAACTATTTCATTAATATTATACATTTATATATTCAACTTACAGATATAAAAAGGCATGATATCTTAGTCTTTAGAATGGCAACACATGAGTGGAATCACGGGTATCATATGATAATGTAATGTCCACAGTGCTGAGTATATAGGTGTCAATATATGACGTAGCTTTTTCATTGCAAGAATATTTCTAAGTGTAACAACACAATTTTTGGGGTCGGTGTTACAAACAATACGAAACGAAATAAAAAGTACAAAAATATAATAAAATAGTCAATGAATAAAGCGACGATTTTGCAGTCGTATTATAAACGGACAAACAAACCAACTAGATCGAGGTTAGTACCCTCAAAATAGGTATCGTTACAGTATTTATATTCCACGTAAGCTGGTCTGTGTATACAATCAAGTTAGTATCGAATATAGCTATGCTCTACAGATTTACATCGTCCATACATGACAAATATTTCAGCGCTCAAATTTGCTTACAGCGCTGAAATATGTATTTAGAATTTTACCTAGTTAGGGGACACCATTGTATCGACCTCCAGCTTTCAATTGCTATAAATTTTATAGCAATTGAAAGTTGGATTTAAAGCAATTGAGCATTTAAAATTTAAGCGCTGAAATACTTATAGTATAAATATTTCAGCGCTTAAATTTGCTTACAGCGCTGAAATATGTATTTAGTATTTTTACCTAGTTAGGGAAACCATTATATAGACCTCCAGCTTTCAATTGCTATAAAATTTATAGCAATTGAAAGATGGATTCAAAGCAAATGAGTATTTAAATTTAAGCGCTGAAAAATTTATAATATAAATAATTCAGCATTTTTTCTAGTATTTTTACCTAGTTACTCGACCTCCACTTTTAATTACTATAAATACTTCAGCGCTTAAATTTGCTTCCAGCGCTGATATATGTATTTTTTATTATTTTTACCTAGTTAGTGTGGATACCATTGTATCGACCTCCCATCTTTGAATTGCTATAAATATTTCAGCGCTTAAATTTGCTTGTGGCGCTGAAATATTAATTTTTTAGCAGTCGTTAGACTTGGTGGATACCAATGTATCGACCTTTTATCTTCCCGTTATGATATTTCAGCGCTTATTTTGCTTAACAGATCTGAAATATGTATGTATTTTAGCATTTCTACCTAGTTATCGACTTTTAGAGTATTCTTACCTAGTTGCCGTGGATATCATTGTATCATCTTCTGAAATATGTATTTTTTAATATATTATACCTAGTTAGACGTTATGTATCTTTTTATTAGCGACCGATTTTGACGGGACTTTTTCCGCACATGGCTAATGTTATCTATACATATAAATAAAATTGAAATGTCTGTTTGTAATATTGAAATAACCATTTTTTACTACATGCATATGAATATAAATACGGTACATACACCAAAATAACATTTTTTACAATTTTTGTCAGTCTGTCTGTTTGTTCCGGCTAATCTCTGAAATGGCTGGACCTATTTTGAGGGGATTTTTTTTTGACAGGTAGCTGATGTAATAGGCAGTAACTTAGGCTACTTTTATTTTAGAAAAATAAAGTTAAATACCACGCGGCTTACAGCTGCGGCTTTACAGCTAGTAAGGAATAACTGATTAGTATAATATTAGGATTCTTTTTTATTATAGATATTTTATTTTCTTTAATTCCACGCTAACTAATCTAAAGTTTGTCTGTAAGAGATTGTTTAGCGATAAGCCCGGCTTTTGTACTCGTCATTGTACATATATATTTTTATATTCATTAATATTTTTCTATATCTGGTGCAATGAAGTGTTTAAATAACATAAAATAAAAAAAATCATATACGACCAAGTGGGCTATCAACTCGGCTGGCATTCCAGATTCAAAGAATAACCTATAGCTACAGCAAATATACTTAGATTGGATTCAAACTTATTCGAGTTTGAATCCCATCTAAATATATAGAGACACATAGGTATGATCTCTTATTAGATGAGAACGTGCCATCTTTACGACTGTGGCAGCCATTTTCGCTACAAATAAGCCAACACTGTGACAGAAAACTGCAAAGTGAGTGCATTTTTGTTGCACCAAACTACATAAAGAAGATAAACAAAGCTAGGAATACACCGAGAGCAGAAAAATAATAAAACATAGGCCAGAGTGTAACAAAACATTAATATACCATTAGAGGCAGAAAAAGCGCACCACCTTAATTTCCGATTGTTTTGGGTTCGATTTCTCGCACAGTATAAGCATTTGTATTCATGAGTATGATTGTTTTTGGTCTGGATGTTTCCAATACAAAAAATGTATTTAAAATGTTTTTTTTTAATGAACTTCACGAATAAACAATCTAAATCTTAATGAAATAATCTTCCTAAACAATTCATACAGCACCATCTAGTCCCAAACTAAGCAGAGCTTGCGTCACGGGTACTAAATGACTAATATATATACTTAAATACATTTTTTTAAAATACATATTATACATAGGAAACGCTCAGTTCAAAAAAAAAATACTCTTTAATAAAAATGGGTACTATGTGAGGAGAATCGAACTCGCGATAATCTGAAAATAAGGTGTGCTAATAATCCGCTAGGCCACTAAGCCCGTTAAATAGTTACACATTTTTGTTGTTTTTACATAAAGTTATAAAGTTTTAGTTGTGCAAGATTCCAATTATCAAGGTTGAATTTAATATATGAGAATAGTAGAAAGTTTTTTTTATAGCACATGGACAAACCAGCAAGCGGCTCGCCTGATGGTAAGTAATTACCAGCACCAGCAATACCAGGGAATTACAAATGCGTTGTCGGCCTTTTAAAAAGCAGGTCTTAAGATTAAGAAGGAACTTGGAGATTCTATTTTTTTATGAAAGTACAAAATAGAGACCTCTCGATGTGTCCCAAACCTAACGGAATACAGCTGGTAAAGCAAGACCCTCTGGATTTAGGGTTCGTTCAACCTACCGTGACCCGAATGGCTGGGGTCAACTAGACACTATATGATCGCGTGTGACCCCACAGGTAAAGGTACTGTATGTTTTGCTAAGAATTCAGGCGGGAAAGCATCGTGACCTTGTAGTTTAATAGTCCGGTTTGGGAACTGTAAGGTCGTGGGTTCGAATCTAGTCAAATAGGAAAACTTATTTTTTTTCTAAATACTTTCTGAAAATGGAAATACCGATAACAAACTAAATTAACGCGAAGGACGGCGGTAGGCTCGCCTCTTGCCGCGTTGTATTCAATTATACAAAGCGATATGTAGACATATCAAGTGTCCCACATACGATCAATAATAGACTATATATGTATTTTTATGGTGTATATATATAGAGTTCACATATAAGATTTTTTTATTTATTTCAATCAATATTACAATA